TGTAGTCACGTGTAGTAGGCATAGTAGTAGTAGTAGTAGTAGTAGTAGTAGTAGTAGTAGTAGTAGTAGTAGTAGTAGTAGTAGGAGGAGTCTTGTTGTTGCCGCACATGGGACTGTGATGGGTGCTGCAAGCTGACACAACGTTGACACACAAACACCTAGGGCACTGCACTCAACATTTCCTCGGGCCACGCCTATAAGATCGCAAGAGCAGCACATCAAACATGTCGACAAGCATGAGTTTGCGTCTCCATCTATGCTTCAACACAAGCTGCCTGCAGGAAAACCGAAATCTTAACTTGCGCCGGTCAAGTGACAGCCAGTGACAGCCACCAGCCACTGACATTGGCACTCGGTGATCTGGCTGGTAGAGCCTTGGTTCACAAACATACAAACACATCCAAGGGACAAGAGCTAAGGACTGCCGACAATCTGACAATCTACAGTATTCGCTTGTGTAACAGCTAGCTGTGTAACACCTCACATCTCCGAAGCGACCAGGCGACTTGAACAATACATGGCAGCACAACCCATTCCCTTTTTGACTGGACAATGCTTGGTACGCAGGCATGTCTTGGATCGACCTTAATCCACCTTGGAAGCGCTGTGAAGCTGTGCTGTTGGACCATGACCATAGCCATAGCGGTTCACAAGTTCGCAACAAGTAGGTCCCTCGACATGATATGACTGTACGTAGCGTAGCATTGTACATGCTCGAAACTGCTCAAGGTCTGTGGTCCACTGACGGAGTCCATGCACGCAACCTTGGGATCATGAAACTCAGCTCACTACTCTGACTCATTGTCGGAGATTGTTTCAAGGTGCCTTTTCCACGGAACCTGATTTGGGCGTCGCTTCAATACACGGCCGATGACGCTACACACATCCATCTTCTCGCTGATACCGATGTCCTCGCAGTCACGTAGCAAGCGCCGCCACACCCCGTCGGACCAAGACGCCATCTGAAGCAACTCCTCGATCTTGCGTGGCTCCAACGGCTCCGGCTGTTGACTTCTTGCATCCAGCAACAGCTCACCCATGAAACGCCGTATGTCAGGCACTGAAATGGGCATGATCCACACAAGTCACACTGTCTAAGACTCTAAGACTGTCTCAGCGGCCACACGGCCACAGGCTCAGGGGCTTCAATCATGTCCAACGCTATTGTGGGCTTCTTCATATAGCTATAGCATAATGTACACCAAAACCCTAGTCACACACGTCACCGCTGCTTGAGACTCAAAATTGCTATGATACGACACAAACATTCACGCACATGCCATGGTGCGAGCAATCCAACTGCCAACTGCCTTGATCAGGTACCCGAGTCAATGCCCATGCCCCAGCGTGACCCAAACTGGTGCCAGACAAGCAGTGACAATCGCTGACATCCGTTGTCCGTTCTCAGTGAGCTGAGTGGCCAAGCCTGAATTCACATACAAACACATGCTAAGACCGCAGTGGTGCGGCTAAGAGCTAAAACAGATACACGCAGGCCCTCGCAGGCTCACTCCAACACTCTGTTTGTCCATCCATGATTCCAGAACACTCCGGACTGCAGCTGAGCTACTGTCGCAACCATGCCTTGCAAACCTGGCAGAGCACCGGCGACGTCTCGATGCGCTGACCAATGTCCAGGTTGTCGTCGATGAAGCCGCTCAGACTCAGTCAATACAACATGCAGCAACATGAACAACCACGTCAGAATTTGGTACTACAGGATGTCAGCATGAGTCATGACTCCAGTCCCTACTGACGACATGTCACATATTGGTGCAGGCACATCACTGTCACATCACTATATCATTCCAAAAACGAATGTCACATGATGGTCCTGATGGTTTGCCTTTAAATAAAAAACCTTTAACCCCCATGCACCCCGACGCACACCAGCAACGTCAGCAACGTCGTTGCTGACTCATCTTGCGTTCCAAGCGACTGTTGAATGAAAGTGTGCAGTCGTCATATTCACACACACCGAATGATACAGTGAAACAGTGAAACAGTGTTCTTACTGTCGCAGCCACAAGCTTTCAACAACAACCGTCGGTCACTTGCCAACAACTGGCCAACAACAACTATCCACTGTCCGGATGAGAAACGATCCCCAGGAAGAACCCACAGCCACACGCGCTGCCGATGATCCAGAAGCTGGCTCCACCGTTGCAAGAATGACGTTTGGCAACTGGTGCAAATGCAGACGTGGGACGCAACTGAATGTAGCTGACCGCTGTGTGGCTGCTTGTGTCATTCTGGTCGTGCATGATGTGTGTGCACTGAGCAAACATAAAGCGCACTGCTCGACAGGAGCATGTGTGTGGCCGCATACTGAGCAGGCACAATGCTGCTCCGTTTCATCGAAAAGAACCTGCTCGTCCATATCTCGCGAATGCAGAGACACTGCCAACTTGAACATTCGAAAAAGCCTCAGGGCAGGTTGTGGCAAAGGCGGTCGCTTGTCTTTCTTAACTCGCTTGACTCCTTCACCCACAGCTGGAAGAATAATATCTCTGACCGCGAAGTCGCGCGGGCGTGATGCAAAATTCACAGGACATATGATGCGGTCCAGATCGTCTAAGAAAACCTCTCGACCCATGGAAATGTTTCGTCGCGTCCACTGCACCAGATGCACGTCCGCCGTTGCATTCGCATCGTCACCGTCAATCTCCAGAAGAAGCGTAAGCTCACCTCTCATTAAGGCAAACCACACCACAAACATGCAGCACTGGAGTCACTGTACTATTACGGGACGACGGAAAGATATCAAAACAAACAAGTGCAACTCAACTCTGTGAGACTGGATCGGCTTGACCGTGAAACTGTGAAACTGTGAAACCAGTGAAACGTCTCACCAGTGAACCCAGTGAGAGGAAGATATCAACAAGTGAAACTCAGCTCTGTGAGACTGGATCGGCTTGACCGGACTCTACTGTGAAACTACAAAGGTGAAACCGGGAAACTGTGAAACCAGTGAAACGTCTCACCAGTGAACCCAGTGAGACCCACTTATGAAGCAGATCTATCTTTCCGTTTTGTACTACAGCAAGGTTCGCCAAAGGACCAATCAGATGGGCCCTGTCGTGAAACTGTGAAACATCAAGGGACTATCAAACAAAAAACTAACAACGAGTGACTTCGTGAATTAAACACAGCCCACGGCTCATGCCTGCTATCGGCAAGTAGAAACATGAACCCTAGGCAGCCCGGATGCTGTTGTCGCCCAACGGTCTCGTGCACTCTCTGTCACGATGTTGTAGAGCTTCGCAGGTCATCCGCATCGCAGCCTGCCATTTCTGCCAGAACGATTTGGCATCGTCATCATCTACAGTCCGCGGCTGGGTTGCCGCACCTGATGCTTGATCACCCTGATCAGTTACGACATCCGGTCGCAAGCTGGAGGAATGCACCTCGTCCTCGTTGATGGAAGTTTGGCCCAACCCGTTCACAAAAAGCTCTTGCAGAAAGGCTTCGGTCTCTTGATCTACTGGCGCCAACACACTGGATGCTTCAGCAGCAAGAAGCTCGTCATGGCGACCTTCCACCTTGGTGCCCATGCCGGGAAGCTTCATGTCTGCCGCTGTTGCCGCGATCTTCACGTTCAAGCCCTCCAGCTCAGCCATGTCATCTACGTCATCTTCGTCGTTCCCTTCGTCACCAAAGTCATCCAACCCCAGCAACAGACGCATGAGCTGTTCATTGTCTAGGCGGTTCGTTTCCTGGCCTTGGGACCCCGGCATATTCTCGTCGACGTCGTCCCCAAGCATGTCAGCGTCGTCATCGATGCCGTCGGGATCACGGTCATCGCCGTCGCCACCTGAGTCCTGATCATCCAATGGATCCGTCCTTTCAGCCCGCTGGTACCGAGCACGTAGCCGACACAATTCCTGCACAGCCCCAGCAGCGACAGCCCCTGGCATGGAAACCTCCTGTATGTACAGGATGTTGTGATGCCGCTTTTCAGCTACACGACTGTGTAGTTTCGCAATGAGCTGCGCACTGAGCATAAACGAGGAGGTTGCACCCCCTGGTTCTTGTCGGAAGAGCATTGCCTGTGACCGAGTCACTCCACAACATATCCAACGTTCAAACTCGGCTTCGTCGGCTTCGTCCGCTGGTTGATGATCACAGCAAAGACTTGTTGGCACCAGCAGTGCAATCCAAGTGTCCGAGTGATCTTTGTTGTGTGCCCTCACTGCTTTCATGAAAGTTGCATTGTACTTCAGGGCCCATGAGTGTTCTGGGGTGGGTCTCGCAGCTGGGTTGTATACTGCAGGATCAGCAGGTGTGAGACGCGATTCTCCGCAAGTGTGCCATCGTGCTTCATCTGCCAAATACTCTTTGTGCGGCCCGTGCTGCAGATAGGCAGATTTGGCAAACGCCGCCGCGACCGGCACCACGTCCTTATATCGCCAGCCGACTGCATGCAATGCCAGCAGCTTCCGCGTGAGCACCCTTGAAGATAGGAGCTCCAGTGTGATCCTGTTGTTGCCCGATCTTGCAACTTGATGTTTAACCATACTGTTTAAAGACTCCAGCTCCTGCACATCCAGTCGCAGCATGCTAGCGCTGAGCAGCAATGAAGCTCTGAGGCGGCCATTCATGCGGAGACGTCCCGTCACCGCGACCTCTTCAAGCTCTGCCCAACATGATGTACGGATTTTCCGTGTCGTGCACTCGAGCACTTGCTCGCTGCTGTCCAACAACTCACGTGCCACACCTGATGACTCATGACTCATGACTGTCATGACTGAGAGGACAGGATAATTCGGAAGTTCAATTCAAGCAGATGCCTAATTTAGCCTAAGCCCAATTAACAAATAACTTAACAAAGTAGCCGCCGCCTTTGCGCTTGTCGCATGCATCTTGAGGCGCACTCTTCAACATCCAGAAGATACGGAACGGCCACCTGCAATAGTTCTGCAAGAAGGCCGATGATTCGATGATGATGATGATGTGGACCGATTAGAGATTAGAGATTAGAGTCTAGAGTATCGATTCTGTCAATGATATCGGGTTATAAGTACAAAGATGGACTTGCTGACACGGGTCTGAGAAAACAAGCCCACTATCCTGCGCTTGTAAGAGGCGTGGTTCAGCATCACCACCCGCATGGCCATATGCTGCAAATCTTCCAGTAAAAGTGCATGGTTTGCATCCCAGCAGATCATCCCTTGCAGAGACGCAAGGGTTCGTTCGCACCAGCAAGGTATGTTGTTGCGCAGGTCATGAAATTCGTCATCAAGCTGCGCAAGCCGAACCGTAACAAGATCCACTATGGGCAGTTCATGCGCTTCACAGTCCGTGCACGGATTGCGGATTCTACTCGACGCATGGCCACTGTACTTGCTCAGGATAGCAAACATATGGCGGAAGGGTGACCGCGACATGAAGGATACTTGCAAGAGGAACCAAAACAGCGTATCTTGCAAGCAAAGCAATGAGCCTTTGATCCACTTGGTTACCTTTGATCGGTATTCAGCTGCCTCTTCCAGGCCCAGTTCGTCCACATCGTGTTCCAGCGCCGACTGGTCTTGACGTTGAGCGTTTCGTTCCAAGTAGGCATTGTACTCCCCCGTGGCGAAGGTTGCAAGGAATGTTCTCACGACGTAATCGGGAGTAGCAGCATGAAGGAAATATTCCTCTGCACCTCAAATCAACCAGAAACATTGAAGTTAAGAACACCTAACAACTAGTACTAAGAGCTGAGATCATAGCTGAATGCCGCCAGCATTATTCGGCCTTTCACGCAGACGAGCGACAATCAATGGAACCCCATCTTCCAGCGACAGCTAAAGGAGGGACCGTGCAGGAAGCTTTGAATTCAAATGCTCGAGGAACGATTACGTTCCACGTCTGGTTGACTTTGGCGCCGTGAGCACGCCACGTATGGCATACCTTCGCCACTGAGCCGAAGTAGTTATAGCTTCTGCCCTTCTCTTCAAGCAGTTGGTTAAGCAGTCGCAACGAGTCCTTGCACATCAGATGCAGTTGATGCTTCAGGCAGGGAACCTCGAAGACCCATTGGTTCCAGAAAGCAGGTGCTGCGAGCACAGTCCGAATAGACGCTCGGAAGCTTGCTTGATCGGGACCACAATCGCCGGAAAGACACCACACATGAATGTGGCACTTGGGCAATGCACCTGTCCTGAATTGAACTAACAAAGTGAAGCAACAGTGCACAACTCCGTAGGACTGTATGCTGTATGCTGTGTAACAAAGAGACAATCATACTAACGACCGACGACTGCCGACAACAATCTAGGTCGAGGTTGAGATGATGTTTCATGATGATGATCATGATCATGATGATGGTGCTGGCACTGTGAAATTGTGAAATTTATCACTTAAAGACATACTGTCAGCAGAGTGTCCTGGTCATCTCTGCAAATTCGTCCCATGTGGGCACTTTGATGCTGTTGAGCTGCTTCAACACAATCGCAAGATTGTTGGCGGCTGTTCCAGTCGAGCACACTTGCAGATCACACCTTGGGCAACGAACACATCAACAACGTCTACGATATGGCTGCCACATGTCAGTCTGTTTTAACCAAGGTGTATGGAACTTGTTGTCAGACACAATAATCAGTTGCTGTGGATTGAGGACCAAATTGTCGGTGATGTTGTTTCCTCGGTTCTCAGTTGTACTTTTGTTTTGTATTGCCGGGCCGAGACACACTGTGTGGTGGAACACGAACGCTTGCAGGAACTGGTTGAGACTCTCGATACGGCGCCCATGCGTCATCGTGCCAGTCGACACAAGGAGGCCTTGAAGCTTGTTCCGCCTCCATATGCCACTGTTCGTGGCATCCCCGCAAAACGAAGTTGACGACAGTGAATATGATGCATCAGCCCCAGCACGCCTATTGTCTGAGTCAAGTGGCGTGGCTACCCAGCCTGATATCCCACTTCTATCCCCGTCTGGGTCTGGGTTCAACCCGAGATCACGCTCCACCAGAACCTCATGCGAAATACACTCCTCGGAAGCGGCAACAGCAAAGGCCGCCACCTGCGTGTTATCGGGAGGGTCGGTGTTGCTGGACTCATTGGTGGACTCATTCCACGAGTTGAACCACCCCGCCACCATACGCAGATTCCGTCGCATAGCGACATGAAAAGCAGCCGATCGGGTTGTCAGCATTGCCCAAACAGCAGTTTCGCTTCGTGTCACTGTCTGCCGTGATACATCCACAAGTGCAGCCAACGGAAATCCCACCGCTGACGTGACCGACAAGCTTTTGCGGATTCCAAGTGCTACGTATCCTTTTGAACTGAACCTCTTCCCTTGCTTACCGGCTTTGGTGGTTTTCTCAACGCACAGGATCTGCTCGTCAGTCTGGTCTCCGGCTTTCTGAATCTGCAATTGCAGTTGCTTCTCGAGCTTCTTGTTTTCAGCTACAGTTGTTCGCTGTTTCTTTTTCGCTGCCTTGAGATCTATTTCTTGCTTTGCACATTTGGCTTCCAGCTGATGAATTCGCTGGATCAGAAAACTACGATGGATCGTGTCCATGTTGCCTTTGATCTGGTCCCATGTCAGCCTTGTTCTTTTCGAAGTCGAAGTTGACTGTGTTGCATCATCATCATCATCATCATCATCTGTTGGATCCATCAACACCAATTGTTGTTGACTGCTGTCACTATCGCCGTGAACAGCATCACCACCACTGGTGGGCTGACTGGACTGACTAGGCACACTGGGCTGCGGCTGGGTTCCCTGACTGGCACTGCTATTGGCCCTTTGATGTTTCCTCATACCCTGTACCCGCGATGGCCCGAATGGCTGAGAAACAATCTCGTGCATACGAACCAGTGTGCAGGCCACCGCCGATTCGTTTCGATGTTGTCTTGCCTGAATCTCACGCCGAATGCATGCGTCCACATCCAATGAGACTGGCTGTAGCAGCGGAAAAAGCGCCACTGAATAGAACATCTCGTTCGATGCCACCGATCGCAATGCCGTTGTCTGCTGGCCCGCTGCAAGTTGCAACAAAGCCTGAAAAGTTGTAGCACCGTGACGTCTTGCGACATTAGCTGAAGATGTTCCGCTTTGCAAGGAACTCAGATGTTGGGTCCACCTCGGTTACATGATAAAACACTAAAACACACTAAAACACATCGAACAAAAGGATTTAGATTCAACAATAACAAGAACTAGCGGGTGACACTATGAGAGTCTCAAACATACAAGATATATCAACAGTATTCGGAATTCCAAGCAGCTGGCAACGGGTGAGACTGAGACAGGTGAGTGAGACAAGTACACAACAGGATTCTGAATCAATTGACGTTAATGCGTGAGACTGTGAGACAAGCGATGCCGTGGTGAGACGTGAGACTGCGAGCCAGGTACTACAGTGAGACGTGACGGTGAGACATTGAATGACGAGCCACTCTGACTCTGTCATTGCCAAAAAACGTGTACTGCTGCTGCTCGTCATCGCACGGCGTTGAGCATAACGTCGCGAGCTTCAGCAATCGAATTAGTTTGGTCGACATGGCTTGCTACCCTAGAAACCTGTTGCAATGGATGGAACCTATCTATTTACGACTCTTGTATCTGTCGTCTTGCCTGAACGAGTAATGAAACTATACGTGTTGATTTGGAGATGCATTGCGAACGCAAGCTATCCATATAACAAAAAGAATGGTCCAATACATTTTGCTGCAGCCTGACCCATGGCAATCACACTTCCAAGTGTTATATAGGGCGCAACAAAAAATGCAATGGCATCATAAATGACGGCTGTCAGAACATGTCCAGGCAAGAGAAAAAGCCATCTAAGAGCGAATTTCAATTGATGCTACATATCTAAGACTGCACTGTGATTTTCTTACCATAAGAAAAATCCAATGGCTCCCCTAGTCTTGAAGCTGCTCCAGTCTGATGGAAGTCTGCTGGGCGTCGGCCGGGCGATGTGAGCGACACTTCAAACCCTATACCAGACCCAGCCCACCAGTGGACATGCTTAATCGTGGACTATGCCAGCTCGTATCAGGTTATGGTTCCTCTTAGTGGTAGAGCTACGGGAGAGATGATTAGGCAAGCCTTCCAAGAACGATGGGTTACTTGGACTGGGATTCCTGAAGAGATCATCGTAGATCCTGATCAGGCAAACCTTAGTGCTGCCCTGACAATTCCCCAAGAGCTCGCGGGCGCACATGTGTCCGCCACGGCCGCTGAAGCACACTGGCAGCTTGGAAAGGTTGAGGTGCACGGTGGTTGGTTCAGCCGGGTCTTAGATAAGGTCCTAGCCGAAGCCATGCCCCACACTCGAGAGTTATGGCTAGAATGTGTGTATGCTGCTCACTGCAAGAATGAACTAGTTCAGGTGTATGGCATGACGCCTGCTCAGTATGTGTTTGGGCGCAACCCTCGTATCCCTACGAACCTCTTAGACGAGCCGCTGCAGGTGATTCCAGCTACCGCAAGCCTCTACGAGGAGAGCCTGGCCCGCCAGGTGGCCGTTCGACAGGCTGCTCGCAAGGCGGTTATCGAACTTCAGGATGACAAGGCTCTTCGGTTGGGTTTGCAGGCTAGACCGCGTGTTGTGCAAGCCTATGAACCTGGTGCTAGAGTGGCCTACTGGCGTACGCAGAAGTCCCATGAGGGTGTGATTGAGCGTGGCGGTAGATGGTATGGGCCAGCGATCGTGCTGGGCTATGTAGGTCGGAACCTTGTGGTGATCCACAAGAAGCAGATCTTCCGATGTGCACCGGAACAGGTTCGGCCATCTACTGCGGAAGAGCAGGTTCTAGCAGATACTCCGGGTTTAGAGCTTGTGGGTATCAAGCAACTGCTTGATGCAGGGGGTCTTCAGACGAAACAGTATGTGGATCTAGTTCCCCAAGGGGTGCCTCCAGCATCTGCCAATCTGCCAGCGAGCGCCGACGATCAGTCGAATGCACAGGCGGCGCCGGAGCCCAGCGCTCCATCTGCACCTGCGTCACTGGAAGAGACGCCTCAGCAGGCCTTCCGCCGCCAAGCGTCAGAGCCCCCTACGGATAGACCAATCGTGGCCGATGCATCTCCCTATAGGACTGTAGACCCTACACCTGAACAAGAGCCTAAGTATGGACCAGTGCGTGCCCGAGTTCGAGGTAAGACCACCCCTGAAACCCTACTTCGTCCAGATGCCATGCTGCAGGATGACTTTGCGGAGATGATGCAAGAGGTTGTTCCTTGCCTGGTGACCCAGGCCCTGCAGCAACCTGATGTGAGCACAGCTGATAATGTCAGTGAGGGCCGCGAGTCCTCTCCGTCAGGTGCCCGTGGCACCAAGCGTGAGGCTTCAACGGAGCCAGCCGGCCCCAGTGAGAAGCGAGCTGCGAGTGAAGCTGCGACCGGATCGGGTCCCGATGAGACCCTGCTGTGTGAGTGGCAGCAGTCTGCCGACCCCATAGAAGCCCTAGTGGTAGCGCATGTAAACAAGAGAGCAGCTAAGGAAATTCCTGCCTCCAACAATCCTCCCGAGTTCCAAGAAAAGGTTGACGAATCTAAGTTGCTTGAATGGAACACTCTGACCGGTCGCCATGCTACGCGATTAGTGTTAGGCCGTGAAGCCCGCGAGGTTCGCAGGCGCCACCCGGACCGGATCATGGGTAGTAGGTTCGTAGTTACTTGGAAGGAAGAGGAAGACCAGCCCGGTCGAGTTAAGTCTCGGTGGTGTCTGCAAGGGCATCTGGATCCGGACTTGAGTGCCAAGGCAGTGGCCGGTGACCTTCAGAGCCCTACCTTGTCCCAGTTAGGTCGTGCCCTCCTGTTCCAGATAATCGCCTCCAAGAAGTGGACCCTTATGGTAGGGGATGTCAAGGGTGCGTTCTTAGCGTCAGGTGCTCTGCCAGAAAAGTACCGACCACTGTATGCATCCCTACCCGCGGGCGGAATTCCCGGAGTTCCGAGCGATGCACTGATCGAGGTTTTGGGCCGGGTCTATGGGTTGAACGACTCCCCGAGTGCCTGGAGTAAGACTCTCAACCAGGCCCTTGTGGATGTAGGTTTCGAAAGGTCTCGCCTCGACCCGTGCTTGTATTTCATGCGCGAAGCCGGCAAACTGACCGGTGTGTTCGGGGTGCATGTTGATGACAATGCCACCGGAGGTCAAGGTGACAGGTATAATCAAGCCATCGAAGCCTTAAAGAAGCGGTTTGAGTTCCGGAAGTGGCGCTTAGGAAATGGCGACTTTTGTGGTGCCCGCTATGATCAGGATCCCTCCGCTGGTGAGATCACAATGACCCAGGAGTCATTCGTTGATAAGCTGAAGCCCCTTCGTTTCAGCCGCTCGCGTTCCCAAGATAAGACTGCAGAACTTACCAGTGAGGAGGCCCGGTGTTTTCGGGCAATCAATGGCAGCTTGAATTGGCTGACAACCCAGTCGCGGCCTGACTTGTCAACTCAGGTCTCCTTTGCACAACAGTCTTTTCCAACACCCACCGTAGCAGATGCACTTGCAGTGAATCAAGCGGTCCGACGTGCCAGACAGCATGCTGCTATGCCGATTGTGTATCGTTCCATTCCGGTTGAAGCCTTGACCCTAATGGTTCATTCGGATGCCGCTTATGCAAATGGCCGAGACGGGGCCACGCAAGCTGGTTATGTTGTCAGCTTCACTGAAGATAAGATGCATAATGGTTTCGCTTCTGCCTGGACCCCAGCCTTTTGGAAATCATACCGCCTCCCTAGGATAGTCAACTCAACCCTAAGTGCCGAAGCGCAAGCGATGACAGCTGCAACCGGGATGGGAGAATGGGCTCTTCTTCTGCTGAGCGAGTGCTTAGATGGCCCAACCTACCTTCGAACCATGTGGAACACAGCTAGTAAGCGTCACGCCCTGGTTGTCGCCGACTGCAAGAGTTTGTATGATCATGTTCAGTCCCAGTCCGCCCCTACTCTTGATGATCGCCGTACTGCCTTAGACATAGTGATCCTCCGTGAAAGCCTCAGTAAGACCCTAGGTTCCCTTAGGTGGGTCCCAACGACGTACATGTTAGCCGACTCCCTCACGAAGGAGAGTCCTGAGGCCTTTGATCTCCTGCGTGGATGTGTCCGACAGGGGTATTACCAGATTGCCCCTGAGTCACTTGTGCTGCAAAACCGAGCTGATGAAAGAGAACGCCGTAAACAGCTCAGTGCCGCCAAGTCCGTTCCGAGCAAGATGGAGTGAATCACCTCCACACAGTGGTGAGTTAATGCTGGTGCTATCGTAGTAACGGGATACTGTGATGGTGCCCCTGCGCCGAATGCCTGTACAGTGTGTGTCTATGATGTGTTCCTCTTTAGCCTGTGAGCTGACCGAGCCCACCTGTGAAGGTCATCCCTCTCGCGTGCCCTAGCTTGAAGCATGGCATACCCGAAGGCCGCCGCCCCGAGTGCCGCGGAGATTTGGATGCCTCCGTCGGTGTTCCTCCGCTGGGAGTGGCTTTCTCAAGGCCTTCCAGAGGTGGAGCGTGCGGAATGCCGCCGGCTCCTTATCCGAGCCATCCTCGCCGACGAGAGTGAGAAGATCATTGCGGATGCTGTGAGCGAATTCCGAGCCCTCCGTGGAAGGCTCCAGGACAATGGCGATTGGCCATGGTTGGTGCAGTTGTACCAGAATGGCCCAGGTCCAACTACTCGCAAGCGAGCTACCGCCGACGGCCAAGGATGCCGCGATCTTCTTGAGACGAGCATGGATGAGGACCCTTTTGACGGGGTCTCCGATGGTTGGTCCCACCTCTCCGGTGATGCCAACTTGGATGATGACTTCTCCGACCTCCTGGCCTCCCCTTCGCCTACGGAAGAGGCCACCGAGCCAAAGCCACGCTTGGGAAACGCCAAGCCGACCTCGAAGCCGAACCCCAAGGTGGACTTGCCACCTGATGTTCCGAACCTCGAGCAGTGGGGAAGAACCTTGATCCTCTTCGGCAAGTACAAGGATGCCAATTTGACCTACGAGGACCTCGCCCTCTCCGATGAGAAGGACAAGAACTCCTACAAGGTTTGGGTGGTATCACATCTCAGCACCACCACCGGCCAATGCCAAGACCTCGGCCGCTTCCTCCGCGCTTACACCGAGGCCGGAATGATCAAGAAGCCCACGGTGATCCCCGGCACAACGGTGGTCCGCAAGTATGGTTCGGCCTCCAGCTCCTCTTCTGGACGCAACCGAGATGGTCCGTCGACACCCAAGAGGAAGTGAGTAAGTCAGCGAACTGACTGCATAACTACCTCCTTTTCCAGATCCTCACGAGTCTTTTCTTCGTCCGCTACCAGTGTATGAATGTGCGACGTATATCTTTGCGAATTTTTCTTTAAGAAGGATTTGATAGGAGTGTTTGTGCAGTTCTGCTGAGCAGGAACGCATCTTCGACCGCAGGCACATTCATGGCCCAGGAATGGAAAAAGGATGCTTCCGGTGAAGCATTAGTGTGCTGCCAATAGGGTTTAGGGTTTAGGGTTTAGGGATTAGGGTTTAGGGTTTAGGGATTAGGGTTTAGGGTTTAGGGTTTAGGGATTAGGGATTAGGGTTTAGGGTTTAGGGATTAGGGTCAGGGGTTCAAGGTTTGAAGCCTAGATGTTGGGCTACCTTAACTTAGACCAAGGATCCCGTGAGAAATTTTGGGTACATTCCTTAGCTCGGACTTTTCGAGTCTCCGGGAGAGATAGTAAGGGAAATCACGCCTCATAGCCTCGGCGATGGCCCTGAATACTTAGAGGATCATGGGACTTAGTAATTAGGTGATAATTGGGGTTAAGTCCCCTAAGTGGGGTTATCCTCATTATAACCTACTTATAACCTTACTTGCTAAGTCCCATGAGCCTTCAAGTAGTAGGTTAAATAACCATATACCATATAATCCAGTAACCTGCTATTTAGGCACCCTCAACCCCAAACCCCAAACTCTAAGGCCCCCTCATTTGTGCAGTGGCGCCGCAGTTCAGGGCTTGACCGGTTGATTGAGAGCTTATGGCGTACGTAGAGGTGTTCTGTTGGCAGAACCCTGAAAGGATCCCAACACCCCAAAACCCTAAACCCTAAACACCTATATAAACCCTAAACCCTGAACCCTGAAGCCTAAACCCTAAACACACACAGAACCCAAACACTGGCCTCTTGCCTCGTACTGCTCTGATACTCATACTCTGGGTTCTGCCCGCACCCTTTGCCGCGAGACCCTCGACCCCAGCTCCGCTTGGGATTCTTGCTGGGGGAATACCAGGTGTACGATAGTTTCACACAAAGACTGCAAGACTCTCTAGTTCCATAAGCCTGAACCCTCATAAAAGCCCCTGAACCTTCAAATGGATGTTGCTTCTTCAAAGAGGTTTATCCCCCAGCCATCCTCAGCTGTTGGTTAAGGGTTTTAACCCCTTTTTGGGATTACCTAATAGGATTCTAAATACGAACCCTAAAAAGGAACTACTTTGGGGCCTATGGGTAGGGACCTTCAGGCCCCAAAGCCCTAAACCCCAAACCCTTCTGGAGTCTCTGGGTAGGTACAACTCGCCATGCAGCAGGGACGGGCTGCAGCGATGCCGGAGGCCGTAGGCCAGGAACATCGCCCGCCAGATCTGGGTTCGGGGCTTTATGTGGGAGTTTCCGAAAATTGGGGACCCTAATATAGTAGCTGAATAGTAGGATCCTTATTATAAGGACCCCCAAATAAGGTACCCCCAATTTTCGGAAACCCCCACGTAGGATGACGTAAGCTTAAACCTTGCTTCAAGGGATTCACCTCTGGTGGATCCTTCGAGCAGGTCTGCATGCAGGCCTGCCTTTTCCAAAAAAGCCGACACGGACTAAACGTAGCGGTCCTGATGATTAGAAGAGGGTTTCGGTGCATCTGTACTATAGTTATACCAATGAGCCTCCGGGCATAGTCGTACCTGCTCAAACTCCTACTTTAGATGCCCAAGTGATTCTGTCGAATAGTTCAGAGAAGTTGCCCCACCGATCTGTTTCTTCTTCATTAGGGTAGGTGTCAAAAGGACATCCATGACCTTAGACCCAAAAATGACATCCTAAACTTTTTGAACCCTTGCCGACCGCTTGTAATTAGCGCCCTTACAGAGTCCTTATGAACCCTTCTAGAACCCTTATAGAATCTTCCTATACAAGTTCACTAAGGAACCCTTAGGTACTCTCTCCTCCAATAACCAGGCCCAAAAACAGTTCTCAAACTTTTTATGATAGACCAAATAGGTACAGCCAAGAAGTTTAAAGTTCTCCAATTGGCTAAGTTAGGGTATGAAAACCGCCCCCCAGGGCGCCGGATTCGAAATGCGGAGCTGCTCGTTCACGTCGGCCCGAGCCTGTTGGGCGAAGTCAAGGAGGTTCGGGCTGGGGGCTGAAAGGGCTAAGGGGGTTTGGGGTGCAGGGTCTAGGGTTCAGGGCCGAGGGCTTAGGGTTTAGGGTCGCGTAACTGAGCTGCTCAGCTGATGCATATGTCGAACCACATCGGCTGTAGGGTATGGGATTTCTCCCCATGACTTAAGCTCAACCCTAAACTCTAAACCCTAGAAATGAACCTTACGACTATTCCTAAAATCAAGGGTGTTGAGTTTTCATTGAGTTCTGTACTTGGAGGATCATGGGACTTAGTAAGTCTGGTTATAAGTGCCTTAATTGGGGTTATAAGTACAGTTACTTAGAGGATCATGGGACTTAGTAAGTAGGTTATAATTGGGGTTATAAGTCCCCTAAATGGGGTTACCATAATTATAACCTACTTCTAACCTTACTTACTAAGTCCCATGAGCCTTCAAGTAGACCCTAAACCCTAAACCCCATATAGATCCCTTTAAGGAACCCTATAGATCCCTTTAAGGAGCCCTTTAAGAACCCTTACTAAGTCCCATGAGCCTTCAAGTAAGGACCATTTTCGGCCTCGGGGCTTCAAAAAGGCCTCCCAAGAAGCCTCTCATGTTGAGAACTACGAACCTTTTCGGATACGGTAGGAGTAACAGCTGTAAACCCTTACAGAATCCCTGAATCCCTAAAGCTTCGTAGAATCCCTGAAGCTTCGTAGAATCCCAGGAAGCCCCGGTAAAACGAAGCCTACGAACCCTGGGATCGCCTCGAGGAGGGTTTCGACGATATCCATGGAGCTGTTGTAGAAGATGAATGCCTGGGTTGCAGTTTTGGGGCTATGAAAAATATTTACGGATAGGTACCTCTCTAGCAACCATAAAGGGGAATTTAAAAAGTTTCCCAAACTGCCACCTTGATGCTTGGTGAAGCCGAAACTGCAGGCTCACCTGGCTTACCGCGGATTTCGGGGCTTGGCAATGTCTTGATGAGGCTTTAACTTTATTGTGGCTTCACAGGGAAGCTAGAGGGTTGTATCAAGGGGGGCCCTAGGCCTTTAGGGTTTAGGGCTTCTCTACGGTGAGGTCTTTTCATTAGGGGAAGAAAGGACTTGTGAGGTTCAGAAAGGTGTTATGCTGCTGGGTATGGCTGCATGGTGTCCTTATAAGGAGATAATCTCTTGGTTCATGTGTCGGTTTACAAATTCGAGGGCTGAGGGTGTTGGGGCATGCGCGGATAAGGGAGCACCTCCAGTGCCCGAGGGATTCTACGAATACCTGAAGCCTTTATCAAATGCTAGATTATACAACCTTTAGAAAGCCATAGAAAGCCCCCTGTACAAACCCCTCGTCACCTTCATACAGTCCTCAAACGATTCTTATGAAACCCCATATAAGCGTAAGACTACCCCCATGGCCTAAACAAATGTGTGCATGTATGTGTATAGGTATATGTATATATCTGTGTATATATATATATATATATGCATTTCTATGTATGTGTATGTGTATATCTCTATCTCTCTCTCTCTCTCTCTCCCTCCCTCTCTCTCTCTCTCTCTCTCTCTCTCTCTCTCTCTCTCTCTCTCTCTCTATGTACATATATATGTATAGATATGTATATATACATATATATATATATTATGTGTATGGCTGGATATATATATATATATATATATATATATATTTTTTATTTATTTATTTATATATTTATATAATAGTAAAACCTATACAAGAACGTATCTCCCACCTTGGGGTTGAGGATCAGCAACTCCTGCGTGACCTGCTTGGCTCCAGCGCCTAGCCGGCTCACAGAGGCTTTGGTCGCTTCCCTGTGAGTGTTTTGTGAGTGATCGGTTTAGGGTTTAGGGTTTAGGATTCCTCATTGAGGAGTCCTTTGAGCGTTCCTTCGAGGGTTCTGTGAAGGTTCTATTAAGGTTTCCTTTCAGGGTTCGGCATTCGGCATCAAGGTTCTTGCAAGGGTTCCTTAAGGTTCTTTTGTGGGTTGCTTTACGGGTTCCCATTGGGCTCCTTTTGCACAGGGCTCTTCGGGAGCACATTACTTCCAAAAAATATGTACAGACCAAACACCCACCTCCCGAGCCCCATCCCAAAACCCTAAAGAATCAACCGTCCGTACTTTGTATGCCAAATCTTTTCGGCCTCCGTACGAACCGTGTGAAAACTCAAAAGCGTGTGAAAGACACAATGTCCAAGACCCTATGACAACCCTTGAAACCCGGAATCCCTGAAACCAAGAACACTCAAAAGGAACCCTTTAAAAGCACCCTTCAAAACATCCCCTGAACAGGAACCCCTTAACTCAACCCTTTGAAGGAATCCAAAAGACCCTGAAGCCGAAGAGTTGGGCCAAGGGGCCCACGGCGCACTCCAAGCTGTCGAAGCCAAGGAGCTGCTTGATTCCAGCATCCGCACCTATTCGACTGGGGGGTTTCCGAAGATTAGGGGTACCTTTAAAGGGATCCATAAGGGTTCCTTTAAAGGGATCTATAAAGGGTTTGGGGTTTAGAGTGAAGTCCTATGTAGGAGTTTCCGAAAATTAGGTGGTACTATAAGGGTTCCTTTAAAGGGTTGCTATAAGGGTACCATAAGGGTTCGTTTAAAGGGCTCCCCAAGGGCTTAGAGTTTCCCAAAATTAGGGGTACCTTATTTTGGGGCCTTATGATAAGGATCCTACTATTTTAGGGTACTGTTTTAGGGCCCCCTATTTTCGGAAACTCCCAATTGGAGGTTCCGGGTAAGGGTGCAGGATGGTTTAGGGGTTTAAGATTTAGGCTCTGGCTTTTGTTTAGGGCTTAGGCCTTTTGCTATCGGCTGCCTGAAGAGTTCCTACAAGAGCTCCTTCCCAGGCTCCTTTGAGAGCTCTCTTCTTCAACAACCGGGCCCCAAAAAGTTCAAACTTTCTAAGATAGAGCTAATATATCTAATATATAAGGCCAAAAAGCTTGAAGTTCCCTTGTTCACTATCTAAGAGAGTACCTTTGAGGGATCTTCTCCAGAATGCACACAATAATGCATTACCTTAAGCACCCAAAACAATGGGAACTACGGGGCCTTCGTTCTTATGGATGAACGGTTTTGTCCAGCAGCGGTACTAACATATGGCGGCTGTGTACATGCAGATCTCTTGACAGAAATGCAAATCACGCCTGCGCTAAGCCGAGATGCATCGAAACAGAGGCCTAATCGAAAGGTTTTACCCTAGCTCTTGAACCCCTAAAGCCAGCGTAAAGGGATGCATAGCTAATCATAGCATCCCCTTGTAGTCCCAAATGTCAGTCTACTGCAGTATCCCGCAAAAGCCTATTAAAACTAGTTTAGTCCACAAACTAAGTCCAGAATCCAGGCACCAGCCGCCAGAAGGATGCGGGCAGCTTCCAAATTGTCGGTGTGACACGCCCATTGCCTTTCTCAGCTCTCTCTCTCTCTCTCTCTGGCATTTACAAAATATTTCTTGCGCTAAGGGTTGCGCAAGGAATCAGAATTCATTCTATAAGGTCTTTGTACGCGTGGTCTTGGCGATAGGGCACTACGGCTACTGGTCCGATGACTGGCCTGGTCGTTCCCAGTTGCTCCCTTTAATGCTTAAGGTATGTGGGTACGGGTCTTTGGTTTCGATTGATTTTCGAACACAAACCATAAACCCTAAACCCTAAACCCTAGACCCCTAAACCCTAAACCCCTAAACAAGGCTCCAAGAAGCTTCCGGGTTTCGGGTTCTAGGTAGGGGCTTTGGGATTCGGGCTTGTGGGTGCATATCGGCGCTTACAGCTTCGGCTCAGAGAACAAGCTGAAGTAGCATGAAGCATTTGGGTAGTTGTCAAAATTAGGGTCCCCTTTCGGGCACCCTAAATATTAGGTGCCGTATTATATTAGGGACCAAAAAAGGTACCATAATTTTGACAACCACCCATTTTGGGATTTTGGGCGGGCTTGAGCTGCGGAGGGTTTCAGGGTGCGGATCTCCCCAGCATGTTATACTGAACTTAGGACCCTGGCAAAAATTGTAGTTTGAGCTGTTTCTTAGGAATTATAGTAACCAAAAATTAAAAATTGTTTCTAAGTACCCCTAAGTGTTGGTTTTCAAGAAAGCACCTACTGTAACCCGATCCCCCCCTTGATTCACAAAAATCCCTTGTCAAATCACGTGACTTTCTGAAGGTCTCCTTTTCATACGCCTTACATGTCACAGCCGTCAAACTTTAAGACCTTAAAGCTCTCACACTCAAACTGTATATCGAGCTGTCTGAACCCACGCCCTTGCGTTAGAGGCTTCAGCTTTGCCTCAACTCTCCGAATTTGTTGGAGCCAAGGCACAGGGCTTAAGGCTTGGAGGCGTAAGGTTAAGGGTTTAAGGCTTGGAGGCTTAGAGGTTTAAGGTTAAGAGCTTAGGGCTTAGAGGCTTAGAGGTTTAGGGTTTAGGGTTAAGGGTAGAGGGTTTAGGGTTTTAGGGTTTAGGGTTGAGGGCTTGGGATGGTTAGGGCTTGGGGTTTCTGGTTTTGGGAGAATTTCGGAAGCACTCCGAACGTGGACCTTCGAGGAATCAAGGATGCACATGCAATGGCAAAGGCAAGTTGAAAATGGTATTGGTATGAAGTTGTATTTGATAAATATTGGTACATAAGGATTGTAAAGTTGGTAAACGATGAGATGTAAAATGTGATAAGGAAGAATAAAAAAACTAGTAACGGCGCGGGCGCGGAGGCCCCATGTAAAACTTGGCCTTTGCCTTGGCCCTGGCTTTGGCCTTTGCCGCAGCCAGTCCTGCGGGCTGCGCCTTTGGCGCAGCCCTCCGTGCACGTCTAATTTGATTAAAGATCCGGTTGCGCGGAACCGGACCGTCGCAGCGGTCGCTGCGGATTTGTTGGCCTGTCGGCAAGCAAGGGCAAGACCCCCAAGCACAGAACCCACGAACCCGAACCACGTCCAATTTGAAACCTCGCGCACTGCAATCCCTTAACCCACAAACCACTCAAAACCCACCAAAACAAAAAACAGCAAACCCCGGCAACCCGACAGCAGAACCCCCAAACCCCAAAGATAGGAGGCCAGGCCTCGCGCCACGTTACAAAGGCATCGCGGGCAGAGCCCGCATGGCAGAAACCGCGTGTTATACGCCCGCCTGTCGCAAGCCGGAAAAGAAGACAAGACATGCAAAAGAGAGTAACGGCACAACCACAGCCTAAACCACAGCCCGAAACACGAACGAAACAAACCCTCGCCTCGCGCGCTTCGTGGGACTTTCGTCCCCGATGCCACCACACAGGCTAACCTCAGTTTGCATAACAAACAAAACGACCCCGAAGGCACAACCACAAAACAAGACAACCCAAACTCGAGGAGCCGGAACCTCGTGGCTGCTGCCGGCCAGTTCCTCACAACCACAAGGCATGTGAAAAAAGAAGTGCAACTCCGAACCCAAAAATCCACAAGCAACAAGACAAGACACAAACGGGACCAGCAACTCCAGGCAGAAGGGATCCACCTCCAGCTGCGCCTCGGAAGCAGCACGCCAAGCAAACCCACGAAACAAAAAAAAAAAAAAACGCAAAAGAACAGTGCATTCAAGTTGCGGCGAGCTCCCTATCATGCCGCGTGGCCTCGCGGTCGCAAGCAAGAAAAAAAGACCCTACGCTCAACACAAAATGCTAACCACGGCCCCCACAACCCCCCACCCCCCGTCACCCCCTCCCCTCAACACTGAGTCGCCGACATCGTTCTCCGTGAACTCCTCCTCCTCCTCCTCCTCCTCCTCCTCCTCCTCTTTCTCTTCTTCCTCCTCTTCCTCCCCTTCCTCCTCTTCCTCCTCTTCTTCCTCCTCCCCCTCTTCCACCGGCTCGCCGGGGTAGCCCTCGAAGAGGACAGCGACGGCATCCGCGTCTAGGTCGGAGGAAGCCCCGACCATCACTGGCATGGGGATGTAGGGCTCAGAGCTCAGATCTTGGGCGTGAAGTTGACCTTCGGTCTAGGGTTCCGGAAGCCCTACTATCTTACGCAGAGCCTGAGTATCCCGAGCATCTCATGCAGACCCTAAACCATGAACCCGATACCCAGCCGAGGCACAAAGGGACGGAGTGGCGACTATCGCGCGCATTCACGTTTGCCCTGGCTGCCAGCAGCACCTTGACAACCTCGTTGCTGTGGAAGTGCGTGGCAAGGGAAAGAACCGGCATTCCTTTTGACATGGCTAGCTCGGGCTTCTGTTTAGTCATCTTCTCGTTGCAATCCGCACGTTTCTCCAGCAATGACTGCACCAAGCTTGAATTACCAGACATGGCGGCATAACACAGGGGCGTCCATCCAGCTTTGTCTCGCTCCGAAATGCTCCGGAAGCCGTTCTCATGCAGAAACCACTCCACATGGTATGCTGTACGGTCAACGAAGGGATCGCTCTTTGGCACAAAGCCTGGTATTAGGCCCTCCACCGGAGGAACGTTCAAGCCCTTGAAGATGCATGTGGGCTGCGTATTCAGCAGGAATCGGTAGCCGTGCCAGTCACCCTCATCCAGCAAGAACAGCAGCTTCCTCCAAACTATCTGCACGAGAACTTGGGCAATCTGGAGCCTGTCCTCCTCGATCGTAAACTCTCCTTCCCCGGGCGCGTCCAGGTATCTGCGTGCATCGATCATCAGGTAAAGCCTGGGCTTCGCTCAGGACCGTAACGTTAAGCTACCGCCCATAATAGGGATCCTACTATATAGGGTAGTATATTATATAATAGGAATCCTACTATTTAGGGTAGCATATTATATAATAGGAATCTATCATCGTATAATGTAGTTAAGCTACCATGGTAGTTCTACCATATGCTGCAAACCCAATGGTATCTTTTCCCATGCTGCTCAGACAGAGAGCTCTCAAAAACTTGCCTGGGGGGGAGGGTTTAGACTTCTGATACTTGATGCGGCCTTGAAACCCTGATGCAACCAGGTTAAAAGTGAACGTTCGAAAAACCGCTCTACGTCTTAGAAGGCCCTAAACCCTAAACTCTAACACTCTCCAACACCCAAATCGCTGATGCACATGGGCCTTCATGATTAGATTCTGAGGCTTTGGGGTAACCCTAAACCCGAACACCCTCCAACACTCTAAGAGCCCAGCAGCTGCGAAGCACTCTCGATCACAATGGTAGCCCCGTCCTTGCGCGCTGCGAGCTCCCGGGCCAGCCGCTCGGTTCCTACGGGAGCCATCGATTTGGGGATTACATAGGGTGGTGGCCAGGCTCTAAGGTATCGGTCTTAGGGGCTTAGGGGTTTAGGGTTTTAGGGTTTAGGGCTTAGGGGTTTTAGGGTTAAGTTTTAGGGTTTAGGGCTTAGGGGTTTAGGGCTTAGGGCATCCGGGTGTAAAGCGGTGGCTTAAGGGCTTCAGGCTTGGAGTTAAGAGTCAGGCTTACGACAGGCTTTCGTGGGGTGCTTCGGGTTGAGGCCCCGGAAAGGCTTCCAGCGAGCTCAACGGCTCTTAAACTAATCCTTACAACAGTTGCGGCTCGCTCCTTCGTGTGAGCTGAAGAGAGGGGCGGTCATTGGGCGTTCGGGGATCTTACGTTGGGTTGGCTTGAACAACCGAAAGCGATGCTGACGGCCCGCAGGTCAGGCAAGCTGCGGCACCACCCGCGCTCTGCCCAGCTCTCCTGCCCAAGCTCCTGACGTTGATCCAGATGCGTCAAGGCCGGACAGAGGATGACGAAGTACTTGCACCTTGGGTTTAGGGCTTTTGAGTTCGGGGTCTCAGGCTGATAGAACCCATGGTTTAGGCTTTCGGGTTTGTAGAAGCGGCTGAGTACTTGCACAACACGCAAGTTCAACAAGGTCAGGGTACATCAGAGTGTTGTTCCTCATAGCTCTCATTCGTTCTTGCTGCTCGGCACCCGGACCCTAACCGTCGACCTCTTAACCCCTCATACCCCAACCCCCCAGAAACCTGCGATGGCAAGGCACTGAGAGATGTAGCTCACGATCGAGCTGATTGCCTGCTGCCGGTGGAGCGTGGCTTCACCATGGCTTCCCTGAGGACAGGAGAAATAGTCGTACCAGATGTACCTCACGGCTCGCACACCCAGTAGATTCGACAGCTGAAGGGCTGAGGCTCAAGGGGTTTAAGGTTTAAGCATCTAACGTTTGTGATCTGTGATTTCAGGCTTAACCTAGGGCCTAGGGGCTTCAGAATTGAAGTATCGCTATGCGGTGCGGCAAACCATGACTTGTTATTCGGGCCCCTACATGTGTTGCCAGCTACTTCGGGCCCTTACATGCACAAAGCGTGCTCAAGAACATCCGGAGAACACGGAAGTCCCAGTGAAGTCCTTCGACGAAGGTTTCGACACGCGCCCGAAGAGCATCTCTGTCACAAGGGGGATGTGGATGTTGCTTCTGCCTGGCCGACGCCAACAATGTATTACGGGGGACTACCTGGTACCAGTACTTCCTTTACGGCCTTTTTTCCCTGAACTCCTACTATGCCCCGAATCCCGCCGGTCACAAATGCCTCCATGGTAAACCCCTTCCTTAGAAGCCCTCAACCCTTAGGGTGCTCATCACAGAGCATGTACACAAAGTTGTTGAAAGACCGTATGAGGTAAAGAAGAAAGTAAAGGCTTGAAAGCACCCCTGTAACGGAAACGGTATCCGGAACAAGCTACAGCAAACTGAACACGGGGTTGCATGGGAACAATGTTATCTGTTGTTACTCATTGTTCAACCCCCCTTGAATCAAACCTCCCAACGCGCTCTTCTAGCCCTTGGGAGGTTACAACACTACACTGATTTCAAGGTGAGTGGTATTGCTAACACTTCACCACAGTCCGTGCTACAATCCCAACTCACGCATCAACCGGCCAAAGCAAGGTATCTACATAAGCCACTTGTAAGACCCTGAACGAAGGCTCTAAAAACCCCAGATGTGCTTTGCTGCCCCTTCACCCAGAACCCGAAACCTGAAATCCTAAACCCCGGGCCTAAACCCCTAAACCCTAAACCCGACACCCTCAACCCTCAACCCGAAACCCTAAATCCTGAACCCTCAACCCTCAACCCGAAACCCGAAACCCTATAGATCCCTTAAAGGAACCCTTAAGGATCCCTTATAGATCCCTTTAAAGGAACCCTAAACCCGTCGGATGCCTGAACGGATGTTCTCCAAGGCATCCTGGAGAACCTTCACCGGCTCGAAGTAAACCCTACTTAGAGGATCATGGGACTTAGTAAGTAGGGGGTCCTTAAAGGGTTCCTTTAAGGGATCTATGAGGGTTCCTTCGAGGGATCTTTCAGGGATCTATAAGGGTCCGATGAGGGGAGTTTAGGGTACTTAGCGGATCATGGGACTTAGTAAGGTTCCTTAAAGGGCTCCCTAAAGGGTTTAGGGTTTAGGGATCTATAATATAAGGGTTCTATAAGGGGTAGTTTAGGTTACTTGGAGGATCATGGGACTTAGGGTTCCTTAAAGGGCCCCTTTTAAGGGATCTATAGGGATCCTATAAGGCTACTATTTAGGGTGCTATATTTATTAGGGTTCCCTATATTAGAGGATCATGGCTTAGTAAGTAGGGGGTCCTTAAAGGGCTCCTTAAAGGGATCTATCGGCTTCCTTAAAGGGATCTATAGGGTTTAGGGTTTAGGGTCTACTTAGAGGATCATGGGACTTAGTAAGTAGGGTATAGTTGGGGTCATAAGTCCCCTAAGTGGGGCTTATCTTAATTATAACCTACTTATTATAACCTTACGTACTAAGTCCCATGAGCCTTCAAGTACTTGGAGGGTCCATGTGTAGCGAGGATCTCGAAACTTCGGAGATGTCGTTCGTCCTTAGAAACCCTCAGAAATAAGCCCAAGCATCCTGATGGGAAGTAAGATGCGGGCTTATAAGTTAGGGTTTAGGGTTTAGGATTTAGGGTTTGGATTTAGGCTTTAGGGGTTTAGGGTTTGGGGTTTAGGGTTTAGATAAGTAGGGTAACCTATGGTTATAAGCCACGTTGAGGGACTTATCGGTTGGAAGGGTAATGTCGGTCCCTGATTAACGAACCCCCACCACCTTGCAGGGGATGCTAGGGATCCTAATCTTAAGGGCATTTTCTGAAAGGGGGGCTTTAGTAATCCGGGTTCTACATTACCGAACAATCCCAAACTGCCACGCCTTTGTAGAACCCCTTATCTTTGAGAAAGCTTCCCAGAGAGCCCGATACCCCTCAATTAATAATATGGCTTAAATTATGTAGGGCCTCATATAATGATATAAGCTATATTCCTTAATTAAGGGGTTTTGGGCTCTCTGGGTTAGCACTGGAGAACCAAGCCGTAACCTTCAACTGCTCGGCGTTGGGATCCGGATGGTCGTTGGCAAGCCACTGGTGCGACACGAAAATCGCATGCCCCAAGCTCTCCTGCTGGCTGCGGCTGCTATACTAAAGGTTCTTAGAGGTTTTAGGGTTGCTAAGGGTTGCTTGGGTTTCATAGGGTTTGGCGTCTGGGTCGAGGGTCTAGGGTTGAGAAGATTCAATAGGATCTCTTGTGGATCTAAAACGGGTTCGTTCAGGGTTCTAGGGACGAGTCGATTTTTGGGGGACGGTGATGTTTTTCAACTCTTGCATCAGCTCTCTTCAGCCTTGACCCCATGGGCTGTGGGGCCGTGCGAACCACCACCGCACTTGACGCAAGTGCACCCCGTGAAACCATCCCAAAAGCCTTTGAAACGCCATGAGACACAAACACCCTAAAAGGAACCGCCCTAAACGCATTCCTTGAACTCCGTCAACTTGCCGGCAGACATGAGTGCTTCGTGCGGCTGCACCTGGTGTTTACAGTTTAGGTTTTGGGGTTTAGACGTTTGCGCGTAGGTTCCGGGTTTAGGAATTTGGGTGTGGGCGCTGCATAAGACTTTAGGAATAGAGAAATTGTAGGGATTCTTGCGCAAGACACTTGGGGACTTTAGAGGGCTACCGTCGGGTCTCTAAAGAATATGCCTCAGATTGTATTCTGGATCCCTCTAGAACAGGTACAGTACAGTGCTGAACTCAAGAGCTTTGGAACTTTTGGGATCCCTATGAAGACACCGAATAACAGAACTGCGCAGGGTAGTTTCGACAGGAGGGACACGACTGCAGGCCGCGAGTACTGGAAGGGAAAGCATACAAAAAGGCCACAAGTGACAAGAACAGAATCCCCACCGGAAGCCACGATCCGAACACCAAAAGCCTGAACCCTAAAACGCCCAAGCCCGTACACCTCAATAAGGCTCCTATATTATAGTACCCCTCGAGATCCCTTATATTAACCCTTGTGGACGACCCCTTGAAAGGAACCCACTTCGAGTTCCCCTCTGTTAAAGAAGCCCCCCCCACCTCCTGCAGCTGCAGGAAGCTGTCAAGTGAAACCTGAGCAGCTGGAGTATCGGGGGTTCCTTTCCAAACAGTTCCGCTGAGGGCCCGGGATGGAGGGTTATAGGGGTTTAGGGGTTTAGGGCCAAGTTTAAGTTTAGGGGTTTCGAGCTTAAGGCTATATAGTAAACCCCAGAAAGTTGGAACATAGACTAAGGATGATGAGTGCTGAGATCCCCGATACTTTCCCTGAAGGGCATGAGGATAGAGATGTTCCAGCTTTCTGGCTTCTACTTTAGGATGCTTCAAAGGGGAAAAGGAGGAACCCTTAATGGGGACCCCTACCCTATAATGGGCTATATAATGGGTATATAATAGCTATATTAAGGGTATATACCTAGCTGTCCTTATTAAGGGTCCCTCCTTTTACCCTTGGAACGTTCGGATCGCAGAGTTCAGGGTTTATAGTTTTTCCTCTGGGAGGTTGCCTCTTAAACGGTTCCTCCAAGGGTGAACTCCAGAAAGGGGGCCTGGCCTCCGAATAGCTAGCACTACTTAGAGGATCATGGGACTTAGTAAGTAGGTTATACTTGGGGTTATAAGTCCCCTAACTGGGGTTACCCTAATTATAACCTACTTATAACCTTACTTACTAAGTCCCATGAGCCTTCAAGCAGTATCCCCTGGCACTCCCAACACAAAAACCGTAGTATACCAAAAAACCTTATCTCGACTATTGTACAGGACTGACAGGGAGAAATATTCGGTGATCACTAATGCTTCTAGAAAGAAACCTAAAACCCTTGACTCTAAGCCAAGGTGGCAGTTCCAGACGCACAGTTTTTAGCAAGCTCGCGGAGATGTCTGAACAAGCAAACATAGCCCAAAGGACGTAACGAGGGCAAGCAAGACGCTGCAAAATCCAAAGTTAAACTCCCAAACGGTTTTGGGAGGCGATCGCAGGCCGGCAAGCTCGGGGCTCATGGGGTGTTTTAGGGTTTAGGGTCGACATAGAATAGCTAAATAAACCCTATCATCATATCCTTATAGTAGCCTCCAAAGCAGCCGTTTGGGCACCCGAAGCTCTGTTGCAGCAGGGCCACTACAAACATTGGGAACTTGAAGAGGCTGTTCTCTCGAGAAACGGGATCTCCTGCGAAAGAACACTGGAGGTGCAAAGCACTTAGTAAGTAGCTATCTAACTCTGCTCAGAACCAACATACTAGGATAGCTCAGGCTCGAAGTACAGCAGCCTGAGGCACACCGACGGAGCAGCACTCCCACTACCACCACCTTCGCCGCCACTACCGCTGCCACTGTCACTGCCACTACCACTACCACCACCAACACCACTGCCACTGCCACTACAGATTCTGCTGCTGCTGCTGCCAACTGCTACTGCTACTGCCACTCCTTACGGCTTATGGCTTAGACTACCACTACCACTACTACTGCTGCTACGACGACTACTACTGCTACTACTACTACTACTACTACTACTTCTACTTGTACTTCCACTTCTACTTCTACTACTTGGCTTGCGCGCCTCCTGGCGCCTGGTAGTTTGCAGGTGTTGGAGGGTCAAAAATACCGGTTTTGTACAGGGTTTTGTGAAAATTGCAGTTCAGTTACGTTTTCAAAAACTACTTTGATTTACTAATAATTACACTATTGGATGACGATGATGATGCTAGTGTGATACTACTGATGATGATGATGATGCTGGGAATGACAACTATGTGCATGTTATTGGAAGCCACTAGTAGGACTGAGGACTACGGCCACTAGTGCTACTACTACTACTACTACTACTACTACTACTACTACTACTACTACTACTACTACTACTACTACTACTACTACTACTACTACTACTACTAGGCCTACTACACTGCTGCAGAACGACTCGTGCCTTCATTGCAGCAGTTCACGTCTTCCGCTGTTGCTGGCACTTTTTTTGTTCAAGGCAGCTCTCTTTGGCACGGTTGCTGTCCTTAGCGACATAGTCGGTGCGTAGATGTCCGCTGAGATGGTGCGGGCCCCCCCCCTGACGACCCCCCCGCACCAGTGAAAGAAAATCCTTCGAAAACACACGAAAATCGAGCCACACTGTGGGGATTGCGAAACCGGTTAAAATTGCGGTGAAGCATGTCGTGATTGACACCCCGACCATGCCCTCCCCTCCCAGTCGAACAAAAGCCCCGTAAAACGCTCCAAAGTACCGGCACTGCCAGTGTTTTTGGCAACAAGAAGACCATTGCGGTCGATCATATCGTTATTACCCCCCCCCCCCCCCCCCCCCCCACGCACCCAAAACCTTCCCGAAACGCTTGAAAACAGAGGAAAACACCAGGCGCCAGGAGGCGCGCATGGCTACTACTTCTACTACTCCTACTACCACCTTCTTCCACACCACTGCTACTGCTACTACTCCTCCCAACAGGATCAGTGTGTGTTCGCCCGTTCCCTGACGGCCTTGATGTCTTTCCACCTGAGCATGGTCCATGGCACATATACCTGGCTCTGGATCGCGAACCGTTCACCGTTCAGGTGGCTCGTCCATTGTGCAAATTTCTGAGCCGATGCAGCATCCGAGCATGCACAACCAATATTTCTGGTCACAGATTCAACAGCCACCATCACCGTTGAATACTGCTATACTGCTATGGGCAATACTATTATAGCACTATACTACTGTACTACTATACTACTATACTACTGTTATACTACTATACTGTTATATTACTAGCAACTGCAGCACCACTTGAGGTCAAGGAAGGCCAGGTCTTTTGCTTCATGCCCGGGCGATCCTCCTAAAGAGAGTCGTAGACGGCTTTGATCTTTGATCATCCATCACGGTTTTGACAACCAAGGAATCCTAAACATTAACCTGCCATCAAAAAAAGCTCGTCCAGAGCATCTCAAATGCCGGGAAAAGGTTGAGAGCTCCGAGAACCTGCCTCGCGAGGGGGATGCCAGACTCATAAGTCCTTCTTCCCACACTCGCGAAGCTTCAACACCCTGCCTTAGCAAACCAAAACTTCCCCCTGGAACTTGCCGCCTCTTGAGACCAAGGCTTTAGGGTTTAGGGTTTAGGGCTTAAGGTTTACGGCTTAGGGTTTAGGGCTTAGGGTTTAGGGTAATAGCCTCAAGAGGCCTCAGATGGAGAACGTAGAGGGCGTGGCGCAGACGCCCTCCTCCTGGCCCTCTAATTGGGCGACGACGGCCGGGGGCGCCTCCACCTCTTGTCGAAACGGAGGAAGAGCTCCGCGAGAGTTTCTATGAGGGTTCTAGAACGGCTTTGCAACGGTCCTATAAGAGTTCGACAGGTTTCTCTCTGGGTGGCACGGTGATTCTTCCAAAGGTTCTCGAAGAGTTCTATAGGTGTTCTGTCTGCAAGGCGCTAGGGCTAGCGGGATTTATAGGGGCTTCGGCATTGCATGTAGCAAAAACAATACCAGTTTCTACGGAGAGCACCGGAGAAGTCATGACAGCTGCCATCCTCCTGTCACTGCCGCTGGACCGAACTGCGCAAACCCTACACTCTAAATCCCTTAAGCCTAAACCTACCCCATACTGCAAAATTGCTGGTGTCCTTTTGTCTTACAAGGCTTGTTTATCACCTGTAGCACTACTGACAGGAAACTCCTGGAGTACTCCCAAAACCATGAACCCAGTCCCTAAACCCTCAGGACCCGAATGCCTGAACCTTCACTTGTAGTATCCTTAAGGGAGGGGGGTCCAAGGGGGGTATATAGCCTAGTGAACCCTAATTCTCCCTAGTACTCCCTAAGGTTCCCTTACAGTTCCCTAAGGATTCCTTGTACCCTCCCCCCTTGAACCACCCTCCCTTAAGGATCCTATAATTCACACCTGACGCCTGAAGCCCCAAAACCCAAAGAACACCCTGAACCCGAAGCCCATCAAAACCGCTGCTTACCCCAACACGAAGACTTGAAGCGTTTGGACAAGAAAGCTGCCAGAGAGGAACAGGCGCGGAGACGGATGGTTACCTAAGAGTTCCGTAAGAGTTCTTTCTGCCAGGGTTTAGGGTTTAGGGTTTAGAGTTCTTTCTGCCAGGGTTCTACTAAGAGTACTAAGAGTTCTGTCTGGATTTACAGTGTGCCATCTTCCGCTTTCCATACGAGGATGTCAATGTGGGTGGTTGTCAAAATTATGGTCCCTTTTTGGGTACCCTAAACATTAGGTGCCATATTTTAATACGGACCCAAAAAGGGACCCTAATTTTGACAACCACCCATGTGTTCAAGAAAGGTTCACCTTGAGCGCGCCAGGAAAAGCCAAAACTCACCAGTCCCCAGAGCAGCCGGAAGCCCGAAACCCCCCAAAAACCCCTATGAACCCTAAACCCCCAAAATCCCCAAAGCCCTGAATCCCACCTACATAAGCCCTAAACCCTAAATCTCAACCCTAAACCCCTAAACCCTAAACCCCTAAACCCCTAAACCCTAAACCCCTAAACCCCTAAAACACCCCTAAAACCCTAAACCCGAAAACCCCTCGTCCGCGCAAAGAGGCCTCCCGAGCCAGATCGGCCGCGGTTTTCCCCCTGCCTGGGCTAAGGACTTCAGGGATTCCAGGGCTTCAGTCGGAGGGTTCAGGGTTTAGGATTTGAGGGACACTGAGGGGGCTAAACCCTAAACCCTGAACCCCACCCTAAACCCTAAAACCCTAAAAACCCTAAACCCCTAAACCCCTAAACCCTAAAACCCTACAAACCCTAAACCCCAACCCCTAAACCCTAAAAATCCAGAGTCCCGGGTGCTGTTTCGGATGTTCACGTCCGCGCCGGCTTGGAGCAGCAACCGGGAAGCCCCGAAGCCTCCGCACCTCCGCTTTGGGGGCTTAGTAAGGGTTCTTACAGGGCTCCTTGAAGAGATCTGTAGGGCTCCTTAAAGGGATCTATGGGTTTTTTTTTTTTTAAGTGCAATGACGCCCCTTTCTCCAAAGCGCGCCTACCCAAAAGAGGGCATACACTGAATCAGCACAGTGGGGTTTAGGGTTTAGGGTCTACTTAAAGGCCCAGGGGACTTAGTAAGTATGGTTATCAGCTTAATTGGGGTTATAAGCTTAGTTCCCTAACTGACCTACTTTACTAGCGGGGTTAAAAAAAGCAAGGTAACTGTAGCTGGAACCCAGACTGGTGGACTTATGCCCCGACTTGCGACTGCCCAAGAAGCTAGTTAGCTCGGAGCCGCCGTCCTCCCAGGCGAAAAGTGCACCCATAGAACCCCCCTGAGGCCTACTTGAAGGCTCAGGGGACTTAGTAAGTGAGGTTAGAAGTAGGTTATAATTAGGGTAACCTATGACCCCAATTATCACTTACTTACTAAGTCCCATGATCCTCTAAGTAGACCCTAAACCCTAAACCCCATAGATCCCTCTAAGGAAGCCGATAGATCCCTTTAAGAAGCCATCTAAGGAACCTTACTTACTAAGTCCCATGATCCTCTAAGTAGGGTTCTCAGATCTGCGGGAGTGAACAGGTCCAGGAAGCTAGAGCCAGACCCGTCGGCGAGGTTAGCAAGATTCCCTGAAGCGGCACAGCTCTCCAGAGGTCCCCCACTACTCCTTCATCTTGGAATATCCCTTACAGCATAGTAACCAACCCGAAATAATCCGAAACCCTCATCCCGGAGTATGGGGGAGTCTCTTGGAGTCTTCCTGGCCACCGGAACATCCCAATATAGAAGCTTAGATGATTCTGTAGGGCCCCCTGACTAACATTAACCCCAAAGCCACAGTCTGTAGGACTCTAGGGTTCCTTCATCTGGTAAGCCTAGAATAGACGCCAAACGCCCTATGTTGATCTCAAGGGTCGCATACTATGATTCCTACGAAGTTCTTCTCTTCAGGGCTCCTATTAAAGGTTCCTAGAAACCCAAGACGAGTTCTGCCGAACTCTCCGCGCGCCCCAATCGTTCAACCCAGAACCCTAGATTCTAAACACTACTGTAACCCAAAAACCGAAATGGGAGTTTCCGAAAATTAGGGGTACCTTATTTGGGGGCCCTTATAATAAGGATCCTATTATTCAGGGTACTATATTAGGGTCCCCTAATTTCTGAAACTCCCAAATCCTGTAGTTTCAGCAAGATGCAGGATGCTCAACATCAGGGGCGTCGCACGCTGGTGATGGTGCGCAAGTTTCGTCAACCTCACGGTTTAGGCTTTAGGGTTTAGGGTTTAGGGTTTAGGGGGTTAAGAGCCACTACTAGCCACAGACTTTAGGGTGGGCTTGGGCTGAGGTGGGTGCGAACTCACAAGTCCAAGTAGCTGTCATGGGAATGCCGTCATATACTGTAGAGGCGCGAAAAACATAGTGGCAATATCCTCTGAAGACCCGCTGTATAGTTGCGCTACGAAACACCCCCACAACCCCAAGCTTATCTATCCTTGCTGGATCCCCTATAGATCGCCCACATAGCTGATCCTAAACCTGTAAACCTTGACGATCGAATCCTTATACAGCTGTTCCGACTGTGATACCGAATCCCAGGGTTAAGTCCAAGATTCCCATAAATGCGGTATGGAAACCTTGTAAACACCTTCTGAAACCATCCAAAACCGACACCCTTTGAAATCTTTGAGCCCGCTACAACCCCTAGTAACCCTAGTACATAGCACGCCTCAACAAAAGAACCGCAAAAACCCTGCGTTGAAAAAACACCTTGAACATTGAACAGCCCCTACAAAATGAAAAGAGAAGCACCCGCAGTCATAACAAGAAGCCGCAAAGCTATAAAGGCCAAGGCCCCGCAGCCCCAATAAACACCCTCTACAAGACACCCAAACCCTGATGAGGGGGTTTGGGGCGTTTAGGGGGTTTTAGGCGGTTAAGGGGGTTAATTTAGGGGGTTTAGGGGGTTTTAGGTCTACGAAGTTCGAGGGTTCAGGGGTTCCTTTCAGGGGTTCTGGTTCGGGGTCTAGGACACTGGAGAAAGATTCCACGCACATTTCAGGGGCCTTAGCAGTTCGCATTCGCCTGGAGACATGTTCTATTCTCAGTCTTGTAGCCCATCTTTTCCCGTACTTTTTGAGTAGTTGACAAAATTATGGTCCCTTTTGGGGTACCCTAAATATGAAGTGCCGTACTATAATAGGAACCCATGGTCCCTAATTTTGACAACCACCCATAAAATACACGCCAAAGACCCTCTTCCAATTATTAAGCAACCCATATCGAACCCTGAACCCTTCGAGCCCCCCTGCCGGGACCCTTATAAGCATCCTGAAAAGAAACCATCTCGTCATCTATGTGGCGCCTCCTACTTGTCGGGTATCATGGGGAACTAAAGGCCAACCTTTTTGGTTGTATAGGGGTTATATGGGACTATACTACCCAAACAAGGTTAAAGGTCACCTACTCCACTACTTACTAGGGCCTTTTTAGCACCAGGGCACAGTGATGGGCTGATGCGATGACGGAGGCTCAAGGCCATGAACATCGTCCGCCAGATCTGGGTGTTGGGTTTAAAGTTTAGGGAGCCACGGTTTAGGGTGTCGGGTATAGGGTAAGACTTGTCAACTACTCTTTTTCAGTCCCTTAACGGATCAATAAGGGTTTGGGGGATCTGAGTTTCTGGTTTGAGGTTCCTGGTTATGGCACGGGGTCTACAACGGCTCCCTTACGTTTTGTGAGCGCTTATGAGGGCTTCTCAGAGGTTTGGGGTTTTAGTGCTTGGGGTTCGAGGGTTCCAATCATGAAGAGATGGCCGGGCTCTTTGGGAAAGCAGACAGAGTGCAGAAGTGCTGTAGGGGCCATAATCATTTGGGGGTCCCTTACTATAACTTTAGTAGAGTATACCCCCAAACCCTATTCCAATGATTAAGGCACCTACATTACCCATGCGTGAAGCCGCGCTAGAGGTCAGACTGACAGCTCAACGCAAATTGCCGAGCAGCAGAGTTTGCAATTTGGAGCTGCTCGTCGACGTCTGCCTTGGCCTGTAACAAATAGGAGGGGGCTGAAACTGCTATTACTACTACCACCACCATCACGAAACAATTACACTAGCTCTGAGAGTAATTTCTACAGCAGCCCCCAATCGAACGCACGCAACCCCCAAACACCCACCCACCTGCACCGCCCTAGGCCTAAGAACAACATTCAGCAACCACTGCTTTAAGCCCCCAAACCCTAAAACACCCAACCCTACACTCTCCTCCAGCTTACCTTTGGTTAGTAGGGAATGGAAGAATGGTAGTAGTAGTAGTAGTTATAATTTTACCCCATTCCTCCATTCCCCACAAACCCAAGGTAAGCTAAGCCCTTCAAACCCTTTTGACCACTACTTTATATAAGGCCCAAAAAACCCTAAAAACCCCGAAAAAAGCCCCTCAAACCCTCCGTATACGGAGAGGGAAGAAATACCCTAAACCCTAAACCCTAAACCCCGAAGAAAAGGCCTCCAGCAGCGTGGCGACGATCTCCGTGGAGCTGGAAAAGAAGATGAGAGCACCATGGAGTCGGTACCGAAGGCTCACCTTCAGGGTTTAAGGGCTTAGGGTTCAGGGCTTAGGGTTTAGGGTTTAGGGTTTAGGGCTTAGGGTTTAGGGCTTAGGGTTCAGGGCTTAGGGTTTAAGGGTTAGGGTTTAGGGCTTAGGGTTTAGGGCTTAGGGTTTAAGGCTTAGGGTCTAGGGCTTAGGGTTTAGGGTCTTTTTTTTGAACCCTCTTTTCCGTCTGCCTGGGTAGGGCTTAGGGTTTAAGGCTTAGGGTTTAGGGCTTAGGGTGGTAAGAAGAAGAAGGCTAGGAAAGTAGCAACTAGAAAAAGAATACCAACGAAACGATGTAGAAAGAATAACTAGATGCAGTTGTGAGAATGAGAATAACGGCAATAACTAGGAGAGTATGCTCAAGTACGGCTTCCGTTAAGGGTTCTATAACAGCGAGGGATTGGGGACTAGGGTTTAAGGGTCTACTGGGGCACTGTAAGGGGACCTGCATGGGAAGAAGAAGCAGAAGAAGAGCAATACGAAGCTCTCTGTAACTCGTGGTGTACCGGGTCTGGAGAACCATGAGCCTGTAGAGTACGTTGCAGTTCGCACAACCCTGGGTGTCTAAACTCCAACCCTCCAAGACACTTAGCTGGTGAGCCCGACATCGATGAGGAATCCTCCTGTGAATGCAAATTCTGCCCCAGCTAGGTGTCCGATGGTGAATAGGCAACACCGCCAGAAACCAATATGAGTCCTATGATCTTGTAAGCACTCTGCAGAAATCGAGTAGGGCCCGTCATTATAAACCTACGCCCTAAACCTAAACCTTTGTGACACATTTCGACGTCCTTCGAGAATTTCAGTTTCAAAAAATCTGAACCCTAAGCACAAAACTCTGATACTCCTAACTCGCTTAATTATAGCAACTAACTTTTGCTTATGCGCTATTTGGGTGGTTGTCAAAATTATGGTCCGTTTTTGGGTCCCTATTATAATACGGCACCTACTGTTTATGGGTACCCCAAAAGGGGACCCGAATTTTGACAACTACCCATTCAAAGGATCCTCGAATCCTTGAATCTGAAGAAACGCGAAATCCTAAACTTCGCGAAACCCTGAACCCGAATCCCAGCTTTTGGACACTTGAGGGGTCCTTAACAGTTAGATTGGGGTTTTGGGGCCATTATACTATGGCTATAACAAGGAACCAAAGTAGTATAGGTAATTATTAAGGCCCCTATATTAACAATGTTATAAGAACCCCCAAACTAGTATAGGTCGGTAATTGTTAAGGCCCCTATATTATGTATTGAAGCCCCGCTGTTTGCAAGGTTTCAGCTGCGCCTCCGGGTCAATCCGAAGCAGCTCTCGCGTGACTTTCACGGCACCTGAACCTGAACCGCCACGGTGGAAGTTTAACAAACTGCAGGCTACCCCAATCTGGAACCCTGATGGTTTGAGACCCCGCGCCGTGGAAGGCGTAAGTGTTTGGGTTTAGGCTAGGGTTCAGGGTCTAGGAGTTGGGGTGTGGGGACGTGGTATACCGGCTTCAACAACAACTGGCACAGGGATTTGCAGAATAGTCTACTCTAAGATAACAAGGAAGCCGATGGGATGGGGCTTCTACCTTTCAAGTTTCGGGGCGGTTTTGCGGGTCTTAGAGTCTTAGAGTCCTTCTTTCGACTAGGGTGCAGCGCGTGCGCACGATGCGTTGGGCACGCAGGATGTATGGCGTGGGGTCACTTGGGGTTTGTATGCTTCAAGGTGAGCCCCTTTCTACGGCCTGGGAAGTCACCGGGAAGTGCAGTTTTGAGCACCGGGGAAAGGTATTGCAACGCCCCTAAACCCTAAACCTAAACCCTAAACCGTAAAATGTCCATGGGATCGAGGAGCCCGCTGCACACGCGAAGGCGTCGAATCCCAACAGCTGCGTCATACGCAGATCAGCCCCAGCATGAAGAAGAATTCGCGCTGCTTCTAGGTTGTCGGAGTGGCATGCCCAATGCCTGCATTGCTTTAGCATACAACAGGACCATTGAGCTTAGCTGCCTTTGAGAAACGGTCCAAGACACAATCTAGGCAATTTAACAACAGCTCGGTAGTTGTCAAAATTAGGGTCCCCTTTTTGGGTACCCATAAATAGTAGGTGCCGCATGATAATAGGGACCCAAAAAGGGACCATAATTTTGACAACCACCCAGTTGTGCTCAAGAACATCCCAGATGCAAGGGGATGGAATGGCGACTGTCTCGCGCGTTCACCTTCGCCTTAGCGGCCAGCAGTACCTTCACGACCTCGTTGCTCTGAAAAAGCGTGGCAAGGGAGAGAACCGGCATGCCTTTCGACATGCTTAGCTCGGGCTTCTGTTTGGTGATCTTCTCGTTGCAGTCTGCACGTTTTTCCAGCAAGGACTCCACCAAGCTTGCATTGCCAGTCATGGCTGCATAACACAGGGGCGTCCATCCAGCTTTGTCTCGCTCCGAAATGCTCCGGAAGCCGTTCTCATGCAGAAACCACTCCACATGGTATGCTGTACGGTCAACAAAGGGATCACTTCTTGGCACAAAGCCCGGCATTAGGCCCTCCAGAGGGGCGACGTCCAGGCCTTTGAAGATGCATGTGGCCTGCGTGTTCAGCAGGAATCGGTAGCCATGCCAGTCACCCTGATCCAGCAAGTACAGGAGCTTCTTCCACACCATCTGAACCAGCCTTGGCTGCCCCTAGCATCCTCTTGATACTACGGGTACCATGTTTCCTTTCATTCAGTGTTGACAGGGAACCCCACCGAACAATAGATGGCACCCTTTTCGAGCCCTAGAACAATTCTATAGAAGCCTAAGTGACCTTGGTGGAACCCTTTCAGAGGGGTACTGTTGGGGGTTCCTATAAAGCCCTGCAAAAGCCCCTTTCAACCCCCAATGGAAGCTCTTCAAAGCCCAGCAGCACCCGGGCAATCTGGAGCCTGTCCTGCTCGACCGTAAATTGTCCATCTCCCGGTGCATCCAGGTATCTGCGCGCATCCAACATTAGGTAGAGCCTGGGCTCTTGCGCGGCTCTACTTTGAGCGAGACATAAGAGGTGTATGTAGTCATAAACATCATGTTTTCTGACTGCCTGACAACCATACCAAAAGCCCTACGAAACAAGATATTTAAACAGAAATCTTCCACAAGCCTCGTGGACCCTACATCCCGTAAACCCCTAAACCCTAAATCCCTAAACCCCCTAAACCCCTAAACCCCCTAAACCCCCTAAACCCCCAAACCCCTAAACCCTAAACCCTATAGATCCCTTAAAGGAACCCTTAAGGATCCCCTATAGATCCCTTTAAAGGAACCCTAAACCCCCGTAAAACCCCAAGGTTTCACCAAAATATACCGAGGAGCTGTGAAGCGCTCTCGATCACGATGGTGGCACCATCCTGCTCGGGGTTTAGGGTTTAGGGTTTAGGGTTTAGGGTTTAGGACAGCATCATCAGAACGACTTTCCAAACAAAACTATTATTACCAATGTTATTCTTCTTATTCTTTTTGTTATTATTATTATTATTATTACTACGATTAGTCTTATGATTACTATTGTTATGATTATTATGATTGCTAGTATTATTACGTTGCTACTATAAGAAGTAGTATTGCTATTTTGTAATTAAAGGGATCCTTAGGGGCTCTTTCAGTAGGTTTCTTGAGGTGTTGTCTAGGTTTGATTGTTTAGGGTGCCGAACAGCGGGAACAGGGCTTCCGTGAAGAGGTTCTTTACAACTTCTATGAGGGCTCCATAAGGCGGGTTACTGCAAGAATTCTTGTATAGGGGCCTGAACAACTAAAACATGGTTTTGGTAATATACTAGGCAGACCGAGTGAACCCCAAAAAACCCTAAACCCTAAACTTTACCCCTAAACCCTAAACCCTAAACCCCTCAACCCTAAACGTCCACGCACCACCCAGAGAACTGTGAGACCATCCTTGCGCTCTGCAAGCTCCCTGGCCAAGCGCTCCGTTCCTGGCTTCTCAAAAGCGCATCTTTCACGGTTGACTCTCATTTAGGATGACCCCACCTACCTTTTTCCCACCTCCCTAACAGGTACCCCTTATACGAGGACTCTTATTTAGGATTTGGGCTTGTTATAAGTTACAAGATTCGAGGGTTTAGGATTTAGGTTTAGGGTTTAAGCGGTTTGGGGTTTGAGGATTTATGGCTTGAGGCTAGGATAAGGGGTTGGGGCAGAAGAGGAGTACTGGTTAAGGGTTTTGTCTTTGAGGTTCCTTTCGAGGGTTGCTGTAGGGGATGCAGGAGACACAGAAACTGCTATAACGGCCACTAGAAGGATTCTTGTAAGAGGTGTTACAACGGGGGTTCTAGAAGGATTATTACTATTGCGACAGGTTCTGGAAGGTTCCTGAGTTTTGGGTTTGGTTTCATTATACGAGATATATCGAGGTTTCTTTCAGGGTTACATAATTATTCAGGGTTTGAGGGCCTGGGTTTAGGAAAGCCGTGCTGACGCTCGCACGACCCGTCTCAATTCGCTGCACAACCCTACCCTAAACCCCTCAAGCCCAAGCTGGGTAGACTAAACCCTAAACCTTTACAGCTAGACAAACCCCAAGCCCCCGAGGTTACGTTGCTTCACCCCAGAATACACGGCAGCTGTAGTGCAAATTGATCTCCACAGGTGAGTTCGGATCATGCAACGGTTTTGGGATGGTGTACGGTTCATCACGTAGGGTTAGAGTTAGAGCTTTTGCTTTTCAGGTTTGGGGATGTGCAGTTCAGGGTTTAGGGCCAGGGTTTAGGACTCCTCCATGTAATATCGGGGCCTGAATAATCAGAATAGGGTTTTGGGGTATAATATGGTCTAACCATAATCAGGAACCAGCAAAATAGTATAGATACTGTTAAGGCCCCTCTACTTGGGAGTTTCCGAAATAGGGGACCCCACCCTAACAAAGTACCCTGAATATCAGGATCCTTATTATAAGGAGCCCAAAATAAGGTACCCCCTAATTTTCGAAAACTCCAAACCCCAAACCCTTTATAGAACCCTTTATAGATCCCTTCAAAGGAGCCCTTATGGATCCCTTTAAAGGTACCCACCCCACCCTAATATAGTACCCTAATAATTAGCAGGACCTAGTAGGATCCTTATTGTAAGGAGCCCAAAAATAAGGTACCCCCAAATTTTCGAAACTCCCAGACTTCGCCCTGAGACAGGTCGAGCTGCTGCACCAACCACGCTCCGCCCAGGTCTCCTGACCAAGCTCCTGGTGGAGATCCACATGGGTCAAGGCCGGACAGAGGATGACGAAGTACTTGCACCTTGGGGTTTAGGGTTTAGGGGTTAGGGGTTAGGGGTTTAGGGTTTAGGGGTTAGGGGTTTAGGGGTGAGGGGTTTGGGGTTTAGGGTTTGGGATATTTAGGGTTTGGCCGGGCTTCAAAACAGAACCGGGGTTTAGGGTTTGGAGCACTCCAGCGAAACTTTTCCCTCGGCTCAAAAGGTGCGGACAATCAGCACTGCTTACCCAAAGCCGCATACTCTACACTGACTCTACACCCTACACTCGTCTTGGCAAGGCACTGAGAAATATAACTCACGATTGAGTTGATGGCCTGCCGTCGGTGGAGTGGGGCTTCTCCATGATTGTCTTGAGGGCAGGAGAAGTAGTCATACCAGATATACCTCGCGGTTCCCGGCGTCAGGTTTCGACAGCTTAGGGCTTGGGTCTGGGGTTTAGGGTGTAGGATTAGGGTTTAGGATTTTTTCGATTAAATAGGTTGCAAAGTTTAAGGCCTTAGGGTTTAAGCATTGGCTTCTGGCCTGTTTGGGACTGCGTGTGACACACAAAACGCCTTTCAAGTGCATCTGGAGCTCAGGGACGTGCCGGTGAAGTCTTTCGACGAAGGTTTCGACACACGGCCGAACAGCATCTCTGTAACGATCGGGATGTGGATGTTGCTTCTGCCTGGCCACCACCGCCAGCACTGCCGGGAGATTTCTTAATGCTACCGGATGCCTCTTTACGCATCCTTATTATTTATGAGTCCCCGTGATACAGATCCTTCGAGTCAATCTGAGTTGGACTCAGGCTGCCTCAATGCCATTGTATTAGGTCGAAACACTTGACCTCCTATTGAATATCCTGACCCAGTGAACCTTCATCTGGGAAACTCTCTCGCATGCCCATACTTTTCCTGGATGATCCGAACCAAGATACCAAGCAAGGACACTCAGGCTCTTGGAAATGTGCAGTTGCATGGACCCCGTTTCTCTTTCCTCTCTACTTGGCTTCTTCCCCATGCTTGGCATACTCTACACTCCGGGGTGGTCGCAAGACTCTGCTTTGCAAGGGAAGCATAGGTCCTGCCACATGGGATTCTTTTCCTGGTTCCATAAAAGTCCTGATATGTCCTTGCTCCTCTTAAACATCCTCCCCTAAACATCCTACGAGCTTAGGGCCTGCTTCTGCCAGGCGGACATTGGGGTTGAGCCACTCACGTCTTCCAAAGAATACATGGGCCTCAATCATTAGCCTACTCCCTAGGGTTCCGGTGCTCTACGTGTGAATAAAGGTATAGAATATTTCATTAAAGCGCCTAATAGCGGTATACGATGCTATAGATATATAGGAACCCTGAGGACTCGTGTTGGCAAGCATTCACTCTTCCATTTTGCGTGCATGAATGGGCGCTACGGCCTAAAGTTTCGCGCTTGGGGTTTGGAGTTCCGGGTCGAAAGAAACCAGGTTCGGTCATGCATGCGCCCCTGCTTCGTCCCTAATCCTGAGAACTCGGTGCGCATCCAGATCTCAGGAAAAAGAACTCAGTAGCCTGAGACCTCACGAAGCTGGAGATAAGTCCCAATTGGCAGCGTCAGGGAGTAGCAGTTCAGAGAATAACCTTAGATAGTGGGTCGTTGGTTATGTTCAATATCAAGAATCCCCAGATAACACAGATAACCCAGCAAACCTCATAAACTGTCCGGGAAACCCCTCGAAGCTGCTACAACGCCCGTCGAAACTTTTCTCCGCGAGATAAAAATCCCCTAAACCTCTACAAGACCTCCCTAAACCCTCAACCCTAAACCCTAAACACTAAACCCCAAACCCTAAAAACCTAAAACCTACAAAGCTCGGGAGCCCTGCCGTCGGCTTCGGCCGAGGCCCAACCATTGAAATCTAGCCCCCAAACCTTAAATCTTAGTTGCTGAGTTCATAAGCCCCGAAAAGTGTACACTTTTTGTCCCATAGTGGGTGATGTTCTCCCAAGACGTATACACTTTTGGCTTCATCGTATGTGATGTTATCCCAAAGAAGTGTAGAGTCACTCTCCACTCAGCTAAGAAATGCCTGAGCGGATGTTCTCCAGGGCATCCTGGAGCACCTGAAGCTGCTCATTTTCAGGTTTTTGGGTCTAGATCCCTTATAGTAGCCCTTATAGACCCCTTTAAAGGGGGTTTTGGGTCTCGGGTTTTGGGGTTGGGGGGGGGGGGGGGTTGGGGGTTTTGGGGTTTTGGGGGTTTGGGGGTTTGGGGGTTGGGGGGGCTTGGGGGGGTTTAAGACGTAGGGGTGTTGTTAGTTAGGCTCTTCCACCGATTTAGGGGGCGCCATAAAGGCCCTCAAAGGGCTGCGGAAGGGCTTCTATCACAGACCTTGCCCCTCTAAGATCGCGGTTTAGGTGGTCACTTCTGGAGCTTAAAATGGCTGCTATAGCGTTCATACGGCTAAATTTCCTAAAAACCCTGAAGCCCGAAGTCCTGGGGTTCAGGGCTGGGGTTTCAAAACAGGGTTCAGGGTTCCATAAACCTTCCTTTGCCCCAGGCCCATCGTTCAGGGCTCGCGGTTCCGGGTTGGGGTTCCCGGGATTTTTCGACCTTGGGGCTTTCAGCTTTTGGCCTTGAAGCCTCGGGTCCAACTGCCCTACCTGAAGGGATCCTTGATGAGACAGAAGAAACTCAAGCAAAAAATGGCTTAAGAAAAAACACGATCAATTTCGCAAGGAAAGAACGAACAACTAGTGCCACCCTGCACTGGACAAATAGAAAAAGATCAACACCCAGTAGCCTTCATCTGCTCGGCGTTGGGGTCCGGATGGTCGTTGGCCAACCACTGGTGGGAGACGAACATGGCCGCCCCCAGGTCTTCCTTTCGGTTCAGCATTTACGGGTTTAGGGTGTTAGGGTTTAGGGCTTTAGGGTTTAGGGTCTAGGCTTCTTCAGGCTGCTTTGAAGGGAGTCTACGCTCGCGCGAAAGAGGCCTGTAGGGTTATCGGGTCCTAAAAATGTTTCGAGAGTGTCTTTCTGATCTTGCAATGGCATTGCCATGTGTCCTTTGAGATATTAAGGTACTGTACGACATCATAGTTTGGTTGGGTTCGATCAGGGTTTTTTGAAGCCGAGAGGGTAAGGTTAAGGGTTCGGGCTGCAGGGTTTCTATCTGGGGAGTCTAGAATTTGAGCGGTTCCATAAACGCCCTTATAAAGTCTCTACGAAGGCTCTTAGGGTGTCCAGAAACCCCTAAACCCTAAACCCTAAATCCTGAACCCAAAAGCTGATAGGGCTTCGGCAAAGGAGGTTTCGGATTTCGGAATTGAGGGTCTGCGGCTTAGGCTCTAGACCCAGGAGCCCTCATCACAGAACCCTTGTGGATCCTGAAACGGGGTTCTTACCGGAGCCCTATGAAAAAGCAGTTCTTCATGGTAATACATACTATAAGAAACATACAACACAATATAACGCAATCCAATTCTTGAAAGATGTACACTATTTCAGAAACCCTAGACCCCCCAGACCCTAAACCTTATAGTAGCCCCCAAAAAAAAGGCATCCTTAAAGGAGCCCTCAAAGCTACTTCTGTCAAAAGAGTAGAAAGAAGACCTGGAAGTGGGTGGTTGTCAAAATTAGGGCCCCTTTTTGGATCCTTATCATAATACGGCACCTAATATTTAGGGTACCCCAAAAATCCAAGGGCAAAAGGAGGGACCCTTAATAAGGACCCCTAGGTATATACCTCTAATACAGCCATTATATACCCATTGTTACATAGCCCATTATAGGGTAGGGGTCCCCCATTAAGGGTCCCTCCTTTTCCCCTTTGATCAAGCTAAACCCTAAACCCTATAGATCCCTTTAAAGGGACCCTTATAGATCCCTTTAAAGGAACCCCAATCCCCATTCAGGGTCCCTCCTTTTCCTCTTTGAAAAAAGGGACCCTCAATTTTGACAACCACCTAAGTGGCGGCCGGGGCCGTCCCTTCCGGGCACCAACTTCAGGGCTCCCTCGCAGGGGTTACCTTTAAGGAGGGTACTTTTCTGAGGGCTCCTTTTAGGGATGCCCTTCTTTTTGGGGGGCTACTATAAGGTTTTGGGTTTGGGGGCCTTAGGGTTTTGGAATTGAGGGTGGAGGGTTTAAGGTTTAGGGTTTAGGTATGTTTCAAGGGCGACTTGAAGGGTGATTATCTAGCCCATTAAAACCTGCTAGACTCTTTTCAAGACCTTACCACAAGATCCATGCATCCCCACAGAAGCTCTTAAATAGTCCTGAAGGTCTACCCCAAAACCCTGGGGCAAACCCGAGACGCCAAACTGAACCCTAAACCCTAAACCCTAAACACCTAAACCCTAAAACCCCAAAACCTGAACCCTAAACCCCCAAACCCTACAGTACAACCCCCAACCCTCAACCCCTAAACACCTAAAACCCTAAACCCCAAAACCCCTAAACCCTAAACCCCACAGATCCCTTTAAAGGAACCCTCAAGGATCCCCTATAGATCCCTTTAAAGGAACCCTAAACCCCCTAAAACCCCAAGGTTTCAGGCTCTCATCGCCTCGAACTCCGTCAACTTCCCAGCAGACAGGAGCTCTTCGTGGGGCTGGACCTGGGCTTCGGGTTCTCAACTTACTACTTAGGGTTTAGGGTTTAGGGTTTAGGGTCTCTTACTACCCCAAATAAGCCACCTAGGATACCCAGTAACCTAAGAATAAAAAGGCCTCTCTTGTTGGTATTGGGTAACTTTATAAGGAACCTAGGACCATAAAAAGGGAATCTCAACTTGGGGGTCGGGGGACTTAGTAAGTAGGTAGTAAGTAGACTTATAAGTACCCTAAAAGGGACCCTAATTGGGGTTATGGTACTTATAAGTCCCTAAAAAAACCAGTTACTAAGTCCCCCGACCCTCCAAGAAGGCTTACAGATAGGGTCCAGGATTCTACGGTTCAGGGTTCAGGTTTAGGGTTCTAGGGTTTAGGATTTTAGGGTTCAGGCTTTAGGGTTCGGGGTGTAGCGTTTTAGGGTTTAGGGCTTGGGGCTTAGGGTTTAGGGTTTTCGGGTTTAGGGCTTAGGGCTTAGGATTTAGGGTTCAAAGTTCAGGGCTTAGGATTTTCGGGGCTTAGGATTTTAGGGGTTTAGCATTCTTGAAGTTTTTCGCAAAGCAGACCTCCTTCAGCTGCAGGAACATGTCGAGCGAAACCTCGGTCATGGGTTTTGGGCTGTAGGGTTCAACATGCTTTAGGGTTTAGAGTGCTGTATTACTGTATGCCCCCAACCCTTACCCCTAAACCCTAAACCCTAAACCCTAAATGCTTCAGGGCTTTAGGATTTTCAATTTACGTGGCTTATGGGTCTACGGGTTTTTGCGGCTTCAAGGGGTGACCCCCTCCTCTTCTGGAGCCTCAAAATGAAGGGCTTTAGGGTGTAGGGGCTTCGGGTGTAGATGGGAGCTTCCGAAACTCGGGGCCCCTAATATAGTGCATTAAGTAATAGGATCCTAAATCCTTACTATAGGGACCTCAAAATAAGGTACCGCTAGTTTTCGGAAACTCCCATATGGTGTTCAGGGTTTTGGGGTTTTGGTTTCTTCTATCTTAGGCTTAAGGGCTGAAGCGAATCAGCCCAGGGACCCTCCAACCCAAGCCTAACCCTGAGACCAAAAACCCCTAAACCTCCTTCTTGGAATCCTAGAGGACCCTTGAAATGTGACCCTACAAGCCTTCTTGGGGGGATCCTTAAACAACCTAAAACCTATATGCCATCTGGAGGGGCTCCTTCCCTGCACACTTGGGATCTAAGACTGTTGAACAAGGTTTAGCCCAAATCCTAAGCGCTAAACTCTGGTGACACCCCTGGACCCTACTTGAAGGCTCATGGGACTTAGTAAGTAAGGTTATAAGTAGGTTACAATTAGGATAACCCCACTTAGGGGACTTATAACCCCAATTATAACCTACTTACTAAGTCCGATGATCCTCTAAGTAAACCCTAACAGATCGAGGTTCTGTAGTTCTGGAATGGCTGCTCAAAGGTTAGGGCATTAGGCTATGGGTTCCGCAGGGTTTTGTGAGGCTCTGTACGGTTTCTATATGCATTCTACACGGCCTCAGTGTCTATAGGGCTGTCATGGCTTTACACATATGTTTTCTGTGGAATTCAAGAGGATTCTCTGTCGGATGGAGCTTTCATATACTTGTCGTTTAGGGCTCCATGTTAACTAGGATACCCAGTAACCTAAGAATAAAAAGGCCTCTCTTTCTGGTATTGGGTAACTTTATAAGGAACCTAGGACTACAAAAAGGGAATAAGGGTACTACTGGGCATCCTATTTAATGAAAGCCTTTCAAAGAACCCCAGAGTAATTAGGGCCACTGCGAAAGGCCGACCTGGAGATGCATACGGGAGGGGTCGTCCCAGCTGTAAGGCGTAGGGGGCAGACTGACTTCGGAGTTTGATTTGAAACGGCTTTTGTGCATTTCCTGTGCAGAAAGCAGAGACGGAAAAAGTAATGACTGTAAGGCGACATGAAGCCCCATAACCTGAACCCTAAACCGTAAACCCCAGCCGCTGCGGACATTGGTAACCTGAGCCAAAAACGCCCCACCCTCACAAAGACTGATTGTAGGAAACCCGCAAATCATCGCCTACCCATTACACAAAAAACTGCGGAAACAAATCAAAAATCAGATTCCTTTCCTAAACAATGAGCCTTCAACCGGAAACCCATGCCCATTCTCATAATGACTTGATAAGGGTCTAAGAAGGCCGACTTAAGGAAGTATGGTACCCTACCCCTTACCCCCCTACCACCCACATTTAGGGGATCCCTACCCCCGTCTCCCCTACCTCCCATTTAGGGGTCCCTATGATGCTCGGCTCCAAAGCAGCCAGGCCGCTGTGTACATCGGAAACCTGAACTGGCTGTTCTGTCGAACCAGAGCCATGGGAGCTCCTCCCCGGGGGGGGGGGGGGGGGGGTTAGGCTTTTTAGGGGGTTTTAGGGTTATTTAGGGATGGTTGGTTGAGGTTTGAGGGTTGAAGGGTTTAGGGGTTTAGGGTTTAGGGATGTTTGGTTTAAGGTTTAGGGTTGAGGGTTTAGGGTTGAGGGATTTAGGGTTTAGGGAGGGTCAGAATAGGTATCACCAAGGACAGAAACAATATGTAACGACAATGTGACGTCAGCGAAGGTAAGTGATGCAGTTGAATCGATACCTTGTACGCGACATTATGGTAGTTTCAAAAAAAGAGGAATCCAAACATATTTACCGTACCTCCCCCCGTCCTCTCTTGGGTAAGTCTGAAACCATTGACATACTTTCCAAACCATTGCGTAGAACCTGTCTGAAGCTCTCTGACACTCTTTATACAGCCTCGACGACAACTTGGTTAAAACGCTGATAGGAACCAAGTCTGGTATTCCTTGACCCTAAACCCACCCATGAAGAAACCCTGTTGGTAATTGGTGAAGGAGCCCTCAAAAGGAACCCTAAAGGCTCCGTAAAGGGAACCCTTAGCAGAATCCTTTGAGGAACCCATTGCAAACCCCTTAACCCCAAAACCCTAAACCCTAAACCCTTAAACCCTCAACCCTGAACCCTCAACCCTGAACCAAACATCCCTAAACCGCTACCGCTACTGCTCCTGCTGCTGCTGCTGCTACTTAGCCCTTGCCCAGGCGTCCTTGAAGGCTTCCCAAGGCGTGGATCACTTCCCGACCCACTTCGTGCGCCATACGTACCGGCTCCACTACTCGCAAGTTCTGAACCGGCACGGCTTCAGATTTTCCGGTTTGCGGCTTGGTGTCATAGAGTTGACAACTACCTTCACCGCTGCCATCACGAGAACTGCCACAAGGAACCCCTTGTCTTTTGCTTTATGCCTCCGGCGTTCTACAAACGGATTGCGCATCGGCAAAGTCTCAAATGCAGGGAAAAGTTTGAGACCAATGCCTCGTGCTATATCGGAAATTGAACGTGTTAAGCACCGCTCCGTGTGTTCAACAAATTTGGCAGACTTGCCACTGTCCACATATGTACAAGCCGCATCGTCGGCGCACCAAGGTGTCGGAGTCTCATCACCCAAATTACACCAAAGTGCTGCCTGTGACCGGAGTTGTGGACAGGCTTTGCAAAAATGAATCGACCTTCCAGGACTTCAGATGCGGAGACCTCCGCGTGACCGAGGGCCGCCGGTGCTTCCACCTGCACAAATCGCACTTAGCCTCTGTTGGTCTTGCCGCTACTTGTTGCTGCTGCTGCGACTAGGACTACTACCACTCCTGCTCCTGCTTACTACTACTACTACTAGTACTTCTTCTTCTTCATTCGCAGCGAAACAAGTCCGCTAAGCGTCCCTCCGCGACGGCATCGCCGGCGCCCCATGGCGCACTCTGATTTTTAGAGCTCGGTGATCACTGCTCCGGTGCTAACACCAGCAAGCGCCTCGAACCTATGTCGAGCACTGATAATAAGAAAAGAATGTACAAACCCCAGTATTGTGAAAGCGACATCCCAGCATTGACCAGCATAAGGCATTGTAGATGCCAGAGCTGGGGGCATACCGGATGATCAAAGGCCCTCCACGCTCAGGAGAATCGACACCTTGCCAAGATGATGATGTAACCATCTGTAGCAACATTAGCAGGCAGATGCTCGAGAGAGCAAGCCCGCCTTCCATCGTCAGTCTCCCAGCATGCACTCCTGGGCAGAGCGCTCGGCTCCAGAAGTATAGAGGTATAGTGGCCAGTCATCGGTGTGTCACCATGGTGCATGAGAATCGCCGTAGGTGTATAGGTGGCTCTGAAAGTTCTGAGATCACGGCCAAATATTGGTAAAGTGATTTTTCGAGAGATCGTCACACCAGAGCGGTTCTTCTTGACCACTCCCGTCAGCCCCAACTCATATCTGGCCAGTTGGAGAACAATGAGGGCATAATCACAGAGAAGGCCCTGAATTGTGCCCGCCTGCAGATGCCAGCGATCCACGCATCCCTGCAAGGTGTCACCATCAGAAGAAGCAGACTCCGGCAGCAAGTGTAGCACAAGGGGAGATAAGAGGTTGCCTCCATCCACTGTGATGGCAGGCCCCCAGCCCGTGGGCTGTCTGGACTGCCATTCCCCTCTCAAGATGAGTGGCTTCATGATTGCAAAGAGATGCTGTACAAACTCTGCAACATCGTGTTGAGATGCTGGCCGAGACCAGCCTCTGAAGAGCCTCTTCCAAGAGGGAAGACGATTCACGGTCACAGGGGGTGAGCCGTACAGAATGTCCCGCCATGCCTGGGCAAAGTCCCCAAAGAGCTGGGCATCAGGAGCCTCAAGAAGACAGTGAGTCCATAGGTATCCCAGGATCAACGAGTTCATGTAGCAATGCTGTGACGGATTGTTGAGAACCAGACCTAGCACTCGTTCAGCATCTTTTGAATGTCGTTCGCCAAGTCTGAGCGGCTAAGTCCATCCCGGCGTAGCTGCATCCCACATAGTTGCAGAGCCGACAAGTTCTGCATCTGCTCTAGGCCCTGCCAGACATCCATGACTCCTGGGGCTCGAAGCCCAACCTCCAGGAGGAACTTGGACGTACCCACCTGATCCGCTGTCACAGTATGCGTGGCGTTGAACCTGTGGATTATGTCCTTCTTCTTGACTGCCTCGGCCATTGAGCCCATCAACCCCACAAGGTCTTGGTGGGCCATGGGGGCCCGATCTGTGTCCGCCACCAGTACCTGACCCGCTGGATCCCAGCGTTGGTATACCCACTTCCCCTCTGCAGTCATCCATCCTTTGGCCTGAGCCGCCTTCTGCTGATCCTCGCTTGCTGACATAGCCTGAAGGCAATGAAGGACTGTCTGAAAAAGGGTGTGCAGGAGCTGAGCTCGTAGTGGAATGTCCATAGGCTTGCTCTTGGCTTCGTTGCGATACGCCTCGGATGCCTGAAAGAGCAGGGGAATCGGCCCCTGTGGGCCCGGCTGCAGATATACATGCCATGCCGAGTTCTGCTTGAGCACTTGTATTGCTGTCTCTTGTCTGATGAGAAGACGGCCCATGGCCTTGATCAGAGCAGCCTGGCCTTTGGCTTTCGGAGGCTGGTTGCCCCCGAATCTGTTTCCCCCAGAGGGCCGCGAGGGTTGGCTGTTGTTTTGCCCGCCCCATTGCTGCCGACCTCTCTTGCCCCCGTCCAGTTTTGCAGCCTTCAGCGGCTGCTCCTCCTGATTGGATGGTGCTGTCAGAAGCTGCCCGAACGCCACTGCCTGTGTTTTGGCCAAACTGCCAAAGATCTCCTCGTGCTCGTTCATCACAGCCAAAGGTCAGCAGGGATTGTTCCGAGGCAACAGCAAGCAGGCAAAACTGCCAAAGGACTGAGCACTGAAGCTTATGATGCCTGAGCTGCTTGACAACCACTCCACAATATTGGCAAGGGGAGCCACCCGATGGGAAGGTCTTACAAAGGTCCGTGGCTTTAGCACTAAGGGTATGAAGACCAGGATGGGTGCCCTTATAGTGCATTTTCATGATTGTGTGAGTAGCCGTCCACTGTCCACAGAGCAAGCAGTTCTGTGCATATCTCCTCTTGTGAGGCACATGTAAGATCATGTTCCGGCCATGCTTAAGGAGTGTATGCACCATGCTGTCATGATATGCCAAGGGAAGTGAGTCAGAGTCCTGAGGCTGACTGACGGGCTGAGCAGGTGAAGCAAGGATCACTGTTTCAAGAGACAGCCAGGCAGTTTCAGCACACTTGACTGGGCAGTGGTCACCTAGAATGTGTCTCTTCAGAAGCTGCCAGCCTGGGAACTTTTTTCTGCAGTGTCTGCATTGTGGCAGTCCCAGCACAGTCCGTAAGCCGAGAGAAAACCGGCTTTGGACGAGCTTGGCTGACCTCCGGATGCTGCTTAGCAATGTGTGTTTGCAATGCGGCACGAGTGGCATATGTGACACCACAAATAGCACAAGCCTGTGCATCCGGTGGCTCCGTATCAAGACAAAGCAAGCCTGGATAGACCTGATTGGCCAGGCTATCTCGGATCTGACCCAACCATGCATTATCCGGGTAGCAGACCAGGGCATCAGCATGCATGCGATCAAGTCTGTCACCTTCACTTTTAAGCAGTTCACTCAGCATGCAAGTGGGAAGCGAGAGGCCAGCCTGAGCACAAACCTGTTCATTGGTCGTGTGGCTGATGTGGGCCGGTAGCCTGAGAATGGCCCGTAGCTGCTTAACCATGGCTGTGTTTAGCTTTTGATGGCCGGCCTCGGTGAGGCCACAGCAGGTGAGGCCATAAGAGACCGTAGTCCACACACAGGACCTCCAAAGGTTGATACGTTGTGAGGTGGATAGATGGTGTCTGCCTTTGAGCAGCTTGCCCAGGCGACTGTAGGCAGCAGCTCCCTTGCTCAAGCGATGATCCAGAGTTTGGTTTTCAAACCCCCTATAGCTAACAACCGTGCCCAGGTAAACAAAGTGATCAACCAATGGGATGTGAAGGGCATCAGCCTTGGTGGGCACATGTAGAACTTTCCCTTCGCCTGTCGGGTTCTTGCGGACAAATCGTCGTCGGATAGAGTTGCTGAGAGAGCCTCTTAGTACAAGAACTGCCTTGCTTTTGCTGTCCGAAACAAGCATACCAAAGGCCTCAAGGACCCGAAAGAGGACCACAATTGCCCCCAAGAGGGCTTCCAGCCCAGGCAGCGAAGCGAAGGAATCAGCCATATGATAATCATCAGCAAAGATAGTGAGGAGCCGGCAGACAACATCAGCACCCAGTCTTTCTCCTAGAGCGGAGCTGACAGCATGCGAGAAGATCAGCCATAGCAATGGTGCAACAGAACAGCCCTGGCGTATGCCCTGGGTGGCATGGAACGTTCTGTGGTCTTCAGCATGTTGAATGGTGTAGTGGACACCAGCATGCCACTGCATGAGCACATGGATGAGATCAGGTGGCAGTGAAAGTTGACACATGCCCTCGTAGAGTTTTGATCGAGGCATTTTGTCGAAAGCTTGAGTCAAATCTATGGTGAGCATGAGCGCACCGAAGATGGAGGCAGGGGTAACCCCGGCGTGCCTCTGATGCAGATTTCGCTTGTGTAGCTCCAGTTGTTGTCGAACCTGATTGCAGTGACAGAAAATCGTCTGAGTGCTGCAAAGTGCGAGCGACCCTGCTGGTAGGCAAACTGAGGAAAAAGCTGAATGGTCTGCGTGATATTGGCCACATGCGGCTCAAGCAGGATCGCAAGCAGTTTCTTCCCTAGAGGGCAGGCGAGCCCCATGGGCCTAAAATCCTTAGGTTCCCTTCCAGCTTTCCCAGGTTTGGGCACAAGGGCCAGGTCGACATCTGACCAGCATCTGGGAACTTGTATCGCCCCCCCTGTCCAGATGGTCTCAAGGCTATGGCACAGCCATGGTGCAATCAGGTCGGCACATAGCCTCCAAGAGGCACTGGGCGGGTGACCCGCCGGGAGCGCCTTCCGTCGCGGAGTTGCCTGTATGGCTCGACAGAGCTGTTGGGGGTCCAGGGTCAGCCCTTGCATAGGGGGCCAGCAGACCGATGCAAGCCGAAGGTCAGCCTGCGTGCGAGCCGTGAAGCGTGCAGCAAAGTGCTCACGGAGCTTTTCCAGCTCCTCCTGAGGATGAAGCATGCAGCCATTCGGACCCTTCAATTGCAGACGTCGGCGTGCCTGCTTGGGTGCTAGACGCTTTATAATCTGATAGACACCCCTGGCATTATGTCTGGAGGCATGTTGTTCAGCTTCCAGCATGGAGGACAGAAGAACTTGTCGCCGAGCTTCCCTGCAACGTTTCTGGTGCTCACGATACTGACGGTCAAAGGCTTTCCAAACCTTCCAAGCAAGGAACCACCCTCGTAGGCCCTGTTTTCTGACCTGTTTGAAGGCTCGCCACTTGCACCACATCTCTTTGATTCCTGACTGCACCGAGTCTGTCTGCCAGGGAACCAGTCGGGCCTCCCGCTTGCCATCCGGAAAGTGCTGTTGACAAGCCTGATGCAAAACAGTATGGAGGGACTGAATACCTTCAAGGCTCTGCATTTGAGAAGGGTGCATGGCAATGTGTTTGCTCACCGCCTCGCGAACTCCTGCAATTCTTTCAAGGTGTGCAGCTTTTTGGGGGTGGTCCAAGGCCTCAAGAAGTGCTTCCTGATCCACCTTCGGAGAGTGGAAACCGGCAGACAGACCAAGAGTGGAATATGATGCGCCCCACTTTTGCGCGCAGCTCCCACCGGGAACTGATGTAGAAGTCGGACCTGTCTGGCCGTAGTGCTGGCATCTTGCAAACGTACCAAGGCATAGTCTATTTGGGCGCGAACCTCGCCCCATTTGAAGGTGTGAAGACCTCCTGCAGGCTTATACCAGGAATTTAGGGCAGTTAGGCAGGTCTGAAGTAATGTTTCAAGGTCCCCCAAGTCTTCGGGGGGGTGTTGTTGTTGTTCTCCAACCATCCTGCCCACAAATGGAGCAAGTGGTTTAAGGGTGGTGTTGAGATCACCCAAGACAGCCACTTGGTCCCTGGCTGGAATCTGATCCAGGCAACGTTGCAAGGCCTGCCACACTTGATGCCGCTGCTGTTGTGAGCTCGTCTGTCCCGGCACATGGGTTTTCTGGTACACTGCAATGATATGCAAGTGCCGACGATCAGGACCCGCAATAGGCAGTCTGACATGTAGCAGTCTGCCTTTAAGAAGATGTTCAAACCTCAATTGTGAGGGAAGTGCAACTCGGGAGTGTACAAGAACTAGTAGTCCGCCCTGTTCATGGGTCTTACAACCGCTATGCACACATGCCCACGGGCCTGTCGAAAACTCCATGCACTCGGTCCATTTCGATTCCTGGATGATGGCTATGTCGATAAGCGAAGCCGACAAGTGTGTGACTAACTCCTCATATTGTCCTCCGCCGAGTCCACCGGCGTTCCATGATAGCAGCTTGAGGCCAGCAGCCTGTTTTGGTGGCTGGGGGGACACGTCTTGGATGCAAGCTGATGGTGGCCTCTTGTCGACGATGTGCAGGCACTGCTTCAGCCTTCAGAGGCCGACCTCTATATTGGGTTTGTCCGTATTTCAGTGCTCGATTGCATGCTCTCTGATACGCCCTTTTGGCGTTGCGCGAATAATGCACATTGAGAGTCGGACGAGTCATGTCAGGGAATCCGCCTGGCTTCGGTGACGAAGCAGAGAGGTCAAGTGTGATTTGCACAGTGCCACCTCCCGCAACCTCGGCGGCTGGGGTTGCAACCCTCGCTTCTGGCTGTTGACCTGCACGAGCGGACTGCAAGGAAATGAAAAGTAGGATTCCACGCAAGTGCAGAGACAGCAGTCCCCGGGATTTGGGACCCGGGCGGCTGAATTCTTGAGATTTGGCAGTTGCCGAAACATTGGCTGTTGCACCTTCAGAGGTGCAGCTGGGACAAAGGGCAATGGTATTTGTGGCTGAGATGCTTACTGCCTCGCCAGCACATGGCTGGATCTCCGTTTGGGCACCATGGTGCAGCCTGATCAACCTGGGCCAGCACCGAAACAGGAGCAGGGAGATGGCAGCTATATGGAGAGTCCACGAATGGACAGGTGAGCCTGCCTCGCTGTGTGGCTGCATACGGCCTCCTGCCCTGCAGTGGACCGAAGGGTACCTGGAAGGAGGATTGCAAAGCAGCACAGGGGCTGAAGCAAGGCTGATCCAGACAACAGCAACGCAGTGCAGGGTTGCCCGTGCAATGGCATGCAGCAGCACGACTTTTTTGCATGGAGAGGCCGGGCTCGGTTGCAATGGTGAGAGCCGGCTACACTGGAAGAGCAGTAGGAGAGACCATAGGAAGAGCTGGCAGAGCTGGCAGCTCACAGCTGGCGAACATCTTATGCCTGACCATCGTGCTTCACCTGGGGGGTGGAGCTTAGGACTAAGGAAGGCAGCTGTGGCTGGAGTGGACGTGATGAGGGCCCTAAGGGTGTATGGGATAAGGGCCAAATGTGCCCACCTTTCGACCCGGCAGGTCACAACCCTAGGGACAGAAGGATCAGCAGGTTGGGGGGTCTCTGGTGCCCACCTGGTGCCCGAAGCCGGAGCTGGTGATCGGGATCTTGATCGGGATTCCGGTCCGCTTGCTTGGGAGTCCAGTGTCCCTGGGTGCCGATCACGGTGGTGGTCCTCGCGATACATGTGGAGCCTTTCTCGAGTGGCATGCAAGGCACTCGGTAGCCTGCCCCAGGTCAAAGCAAACCAACCCGTCCTCCGACTCATACAGCATGCCTTCTTCATCGGGCCCCATGCCTGTTGGTTCTTCGGGAGGCAGGTGGGCATCCGTGGGCGGCGGTGCAGAGGTGATAGAGGTCGTCGCCAGGGCAGCAGAGGGAGGCCGTACAGCAGCAGGATCACCTTCACTATTTGAGTCCGAGTCCGAGGTGTTCGGGTCAGTGGTATGCCCCTCCGATTCCGGCTCCGGTTCTGTCCCACCTTCCTCTAGGCCTCCATGGTCTTCATGTCCGTCCGGCAGATCGAAGAGAGGATTGCGAAGGTCCTGCGGGTCAGTACGCACAAGCATGTACTCCTCAGCTGGCGTAGCCTCCCTGAGGCTGATCAAGAGGGATCTCCATGTGGCGACCTCAGCATACTCAGGGGCCCAAAGGCCGGTCCAGGCAGTTGGAGATGCTGGAGGATGTTGGCCGCTAGAGTGCGATGCCACCGGAGCGCCCTCTGCTGCATCTTGTGGGACCCTGGTAGGCCATGTCGCAGCTATGCCCGTAGAATCCACTCCAGCTGAAGCCGAGGATCCTGCACTGGGTTCGGTCCTTCGAGCTCTGAAGTGGGCCATTGTTGTCGGAGCATTAACTGGCTGAGGTGGAGGTGGTCCATATGGCGGTCCATGGAGCGGAAGTGCAGTGGTCGGGTGTGCCCGTTCTGCCGCCGTCATTGGAGAGGTAGGAGCCGACCCATTGTCACTCTCAGCATCCTCTTCCTCAGCCCCTTCAGTTGCAGTGGCATCCTCAAGGACACTGTCATGAAGAGGATCGCGGTCCATGTCTGCAACGGTTGGGTTAGGGTGTTCAGGGCCGGGTTCAGGGCTGCCTACATGACCAGCTGTCCGCACCAGCTGTGGCAAGCAATGAAGGTTGTGAAGCTTCTGAGGTCGCAGAGGTGCCTTGGGCCTAGAGTCAACCCTAGGGGACCTAACCCCGAGAGGGCTTAGGGCAGGGTAAGGAATCGGCGATGCAGTGCATGTGACATGCGGGTATGGCTGCCTGCTTGAGCACTGACCAAACCACATGCTGATGGTGTCTCCGGCGGTAGGCTTCTGTTTCAGCTGCATCAGACTGCAAAGCCCTCTGAAAGTCACACAGCAACCTTCAATGAGTCATGCAAGGGCGCACTGACACAGTACCACCACTTTCGAAAAAGCATGTAGAGGAAGGCGGGCAGCAGCCCGACGAGCCTGTGCACAGCCAGGCAGTCTGGTGTGTGTTCTCATGCGTCTACGTGGGCGTTTGGGAGCCTGTGGCTTTAGTCTCCAAAGGCGGCATCGTCGACCTGGACATAGGGAAGGAGGTAGGGGACGGCTTATGTAGGGCTTATGGCGCTGGTTCCTAGGTTCCCCACTGTAGGGCCGAGGGATGAGGATCATTCTATCATCTGGGCCAAAATCAGTCCATTCCCTCAAGAGCTGACTCACAGCATTGAAGTCGACCGAGAGTACGTGGCATCCACAAATAGAATGCCAGGGCCGGGTGCACCTTCCTACACCAGTTTTTCGTCTCCCCCAAATCGGAGGGATACTTGGAGGCTGCCAATGCTTCCAACACTTGCTCCGGATCCTTTCGTGTAAGAAGTGTCTCGAAGAGATCGAAATATCTATGGTCCGCCCTGTAGCTACCTGCAAGGCTGTACATTTCCAGCAGGACCATTCGTAGGAAGTCGTCCTGTATTCGAGCATCCTGACGAGCGCAGTCTGCCAGTGCAGCACATTTCGAGCATGAAGCGGGCCGTTGGGGCACACCCCAGTCGTGGATTTTATTGCATCCGTGCAGATATCCAACGAAACACAGGTCAGTTGTATCGACAGAGCTAGCAGAGACAGCAGCCATTGCATATTGCCCTGAGGCGAAGCCTTGTTTGGTTGGTGGTCCCAGGCCTTTTAGAGAGCTTACCGTTCGAAAGGAAGCCCCAAAACAGTTTCGGCATTGCCCACTCACTGTGAGCCGAGAAGCTTCTACTACTACTACTACTACTACTACTACTACTACTACTACTACTACTACTACTACTACTACTACTCCTGCTGCTGCTACTACTACTACTACTACTGGCTAGTACTGGATAAGAAAGTTCAGGCCGACTCCCTGTCCAGACCTCAAACCCAAAATCCTAAACCCTAAACCCTAAACTAAACCCTAAACCCTAAGCCCTAAACCCTAAACTAAACCCTAAACCTTAAACCCTAAATCCGTTGAGGGTGTCTTCGTATCGGCTCGGGAGCTACCTTTGGGTAATAGCTATGGATGTCAGAACGTGATATTGTAAAGGGTTCAGGGTTTAGGCTTGGGGTTTAGTGGCTTAGGGTCCAGGTGTATAGGGTTTAGGGTTTTAGCTTCTGGAGTGTAGGGTGTTGTATGGGGTATAAGACTTTAAATGGTAGCAAGGCTGGAGGATTATGGTCCATATAAGGTTTAGGGCATGAAACAAAAGCTCCGCGATCACTCTAAGGCCTTGTACATGCCTGCATGAAGTTCAGCTCACACCCTAAACCCTGAACACTAATTGTTTCGACATCGCTTTCCATGATCCCTCTGACGTGGAACAGTGCTTCGCAAAACTGCAAGTTAGCCAGCAGGAACGAAGAGGTATGCTGAGCGAGCATGTCGGCCTTTATTTCTCCAGAGTTGCGTTTCAGTGCCACCTTCCACTGCTGGTTAGAGAGCGCACGAAGAGTGCAAAAGCAGGATCTGAACCACATCAGCTGCCTCCATGAGACGACCCTATGAGTCGATCCGGGCGGGAGGGCGGGGCCCTCAAGGAGTTTGCGAATCACTTGAGGAGAGATTGAAGCCAAACAGGCCTGCAGAGAAACTCAGTTGATGCACCATTTCATCTCTTGGCTCTGCAGACTTCAGCATGCTGCAATCCAAGCGAACGCTTGCTGCAACAATAGCCCCCTCATTGTTTCGACATCGCTTTCCATGATCCCTCTGACGTGGAACAGTGCTTCGCAAAACTGCAAGTTAGCCAGCAGGAACGAAGAGGTATGCTGAGCGAGCATGTCGGCCTTTATTTCTCCAGAGTTGCGTTTCAGTGCCACCTTCCACTGCTGGTTAGAGAGCGCACGAAGAGTGCAAAAGCAGGATCTGAACCACATCAGCTGCCTCCATGAGACGACCCACTTTCCCGCACTGGTGGCATGAAACAAGCCGCCGCAGAGAGATTTTTGCGAAGCCAAAAGCCCACTCTTCCATCAGCATCAGATATGTTCCAAGCCGAACCATAAAACATCACGAATGGAGCAGATCGTGGGAGCCCTTCTCGAAGGCCACAGTATCCAGCCTCTCCTGCAGCTGGTCGAGATCACTGTGCTCAGAATGCACAGATAACTCGCGCTATACCCGGTAACCTTCGAGAGAGCGTCAGTGGGAAGGCCTGTACAAAGGAACTTAAAGAAAGCACAAAACCGGCCCGAAACCAAAACTACATTCGGAACTTCTGCTTGCCAATGCTGCTGCGTACTGGCCGATTCGCAGGTGGTCGCTGTCGTCTTCCACGGCTCGGACGGTCAGCAGGATTTGACTCACTAGGAATGTAGATCAATCTGGGCAGGAGGTTAGCTGCCATGACGTGCGCGGCTGCTGACCGCAAGCAGGTGCGCAATGAGCGCGCAGAGCTTCTGCCCTTGGTTATCGCTCCCACCACCACCTTGGCATCGATCAAGAAAGGCACCTTGTGCCCATGCTTTTTGGCATGCCTGCAGATCCATTTGAGTGCAAGCAGGAAAGCATGGGCTTCCAGCACTCCTGAATGTGCCATCCACCGGGCCTGTTCAGAGATGACAGTCTTGAAATTTCGCTGTGTGTACCGAAGCTGTCGTGGCTTGCCAAGCCGAGAAACATAGGCATCATCGCCTTCTTCTGCAGTGAGACGCACATAGTCACCACGTCGCTCTGCTAGGCGGCAAACAGTGGCAGCTTCGGCCTGGGTGCACCCACAAACGGCCACTCCAAAGCCGAACTCCGGCGCTGCATCAGCAGCGACCAGCTGCGGCAGCGGTTGTCTGTCGAGCTGAGTGGTCAAAAGTGGCGCCAGAAGCAACGTGACAAGCATCTCGTTGAGGACTGCTGGTGGCACGTTGATCTTTTCGGTGGGCGGCTCCCGCCTCACGAAAGCGTACACGGCATCGTATATGGAGAAAAAGCCTCGCTGCAGCAGTGCAAACCATTCCCACACACCCAAACTTGAGTTGAGACCCACCGGACTGGCTATCTCTTCGGTGAGCAGGTCCAGTGTGCGGCAAATACATGCGCAAAGCTTGCTGCGGCTCGGCTGAGCAGCGGCTGGGCTGTTACTGAGGTCACAACCCAAAGCTGGTAGCTTTTCAGCTAGCGAGACGTCCTTGGCTGGATTCCTCGGGACGCAGTGTTCCTCGAAGGCCTTGTCCAAGTTTTCCAACCGCTTGGCGCCCTGCTCAGGATTCTTGTGAACCAAAACAGTATCATCTGTAGCCACTAAACAAACTTCATCATGGCAGCTCGGCGTGTCATGATCCACGCTGAGAATCTGTTCCTCAGGGATACCTGCGGCCTTGCAAACTGCCAAAGTAGTGTCTTGCGCCACTGCTGAAGACCACGAAAAACCCATGGGCCAGACTGCATAAACAGGGTACACGCAACAATCCCCGCAGAAATCGTCACGCTGCACGTCTTGACAAGCTTCCCAAACCTCGTCGATGCTCATGCCACCAAGTACAAGTTCCTTCACAGTCACGGGTGGTTGACCGAAGTAAGGCTGCAAAGCTTCCGGGACCTGGAGGATGTCAAAGTACGTGGAGGCGTCTCTCTTGGAAAAATATATTCGCTGTCCTGGTTCCACCTCCATGTCGAGGAAAGATGCAGGGCTCGCCAGACGTCTGGGTCTGGGCGGCCGAGCTGCAACTTGTGACAAGCCTGCGCCGTTCCATATTTTGCGCTGTCGACCACCGGATTTTGCAGCAGCGAAAACGCCCCCAATGCCAGCAATCTCTTGGCGAAGCTTCAACTTCCCGCAGCGCAGCTCTCTGACCGTGAGTGCTATGTACTCGGCTCGTTGGCTCAAAGGAATGCCCTGCTCCAACGTCGTGCTTGGGCCGGCAGGAAAAACTTCAGTCGCAAACTGTATCTGTGCACGAAGCTCATCTCCCACCAGCTTGGACGCGTTGCAAGTAGCAGCCTTTGCAGGAAGATCGACGGCTTGTGCCCTGATGTGCTCGTAGGAAGCAAAGGAACCTGGTTCACAAGCTGCGAAGGAGCCTCGCCAAGGCAACGAAGGGCCAAGTTCCTCCTTCAAACGCTGCAGCAAACAAGCGGTCATCCTGCAGACGTGGGTCTGTGTGGCCTTTTGAGCTGCGGACGGCGACTTGTTCATTGCAGCATGCCCCAAACAAGCTTTCATGCCGGTCTGCAAGCAGTTCAGCGCACCCAAGCAGAAGTTGGAAACTTTCAACACCACTCCGACGTCCTCGAAAGAATGATGTACCTCGTCCGGCCACTCACGCACAGGGGGGACAGGAAAAAGCGCCCGCAGCCGAGTCCCAGGAGCTTTGGGCAGTGCGTTTTGCCACTCCCTGATATAAGAAGCCACATTGAGGCGCGAAGATGCAACCAGCGACTCCAAAGCCTGCAGAAAACTTTGGGCTGCACAACCACGATTCGTCACGGTCGGAATGTCGCGCGTCTGCTCCGGCTTCGAAGTCACATCTTCACCCACGGGCTCGCCTTGTTTTAGGCCTCGGTGCCGCGGACAGCGTATTGTTCGGGCTACGAGCGTCTTCAAGCGGTGCAACGTGGCTCGCCATCGATTCCTCCTTTGCCTGGCAGGCGAACTGTGTGCTGACTGTGCCAACTTCTCCAATCCCATTCGGGCGGCAGTAAAGCAAATCAACAAATACAGAAACCCACCATGGCGGCCCTCAAGGAGTTTGCGAATCACTTGAGGAGAGATTGAAGCCAAACAGGCCTGCAGAGAAACTCAGTTGATGCACCATTTCATCTCTTGGCTCTGCAGACTTCAGCATGCTGCAATCCAAGCGAACGCTTGCTGCAACAATAGCCCCCTCAACCCTAAACCTTGAACCCTGAACCCAAACCCTAAACCCTGAACCCTGAATCCTAAACCCTGAACCCTGAACCCTAACCCTTGGACCCTGGATTCTGAACCCTCTTAAACCCTGCACCCGGAAGAAACGGAGCAAGAGCCAATCATGACTCTGCCCAAACCACAAAGAAAGCTGCAAACCCCTTGGTGTTTAGAGTTTAGGGTGAAACTGCATGCATAAATCCCGTATAGGTCAGTTCACACCAACCCATCCTACAGAGTTGTACTAATCACCCACTTAGCAGAGCGTGTCACAACCCTGTAGAACTCTGAGCCCTCAACCCTTAAACGCCAAAAACCCTTAACCCCAAATGCGTTCACACAACTGCATCCCCGACCCTCAACTCCAAAAGAAATACCTGAACACCGAACCCAAATAAACCCCAAACCCCTCGAAAAGGGCACCTTGCAAAACCTCTGGCCTGTTTTCGCTTACTCCTAGGCGCTGAACCGCCGGCAACGAACCCAAGGAACCCCGGACTTTCGCATCTTGTTCGGCTGTGGGGCTCTTCCAACTTCGTTCAAAAGGATCCCTCAGGGGTTCCTTTGAGGGTTGCTTGAAGGGCTACACGGGTTCCTTTAGGGGTTCTCTTAGGGGTTGCTTTCGGGGTTGACGGGATGGAGCTTAGGGTTTAGTGTCGAAGGTGCGGACAGAGAGTTTGGCATGCAGGGCTCATAAGTAGCCGGAACCACAACAACGAGGTCTGAATGACTGGTAAGACTGTTCCCTTTCGGTTCATGTGTAGTAATACTACGACTTACCCCAAAACGTTTCTTAAATTATTGAGGCTCCTATACTGATTGACAAAACGGATCCATCGATCTCGCTGGGTTCCAGGATTGGGGGAGGAACCTCTGTTTGGAAGACTGAAGAGCTGCAACCGCAACGCTCCTACTTGGAGGGAGGTTCATGGGAGTTGAAAATTAGGGTTTCATTAAAGTGCCCAAGTCTGGGTTATAAGCAAAGCTATCCTATTTATAACCTTACACTTATAACTGCCCATGAACCTCCAAGTACTGCCAAGTCTGCGGAGTTTCTCAACTTCCAATTGCTCTTAATCTTAGGACTTTCGATTTAGATTCACGGTGTAGGGTTCAGGGCTTTTACTTAGATGCGAGAGTGGTGGCAATGGCGGATAATCCTGATCTTAGCTAACGCAATCACGGATAAGGGGAAGCCATGAAACACAGTGAACTCCGAATCGTTTCGAGCAGCTATATAGAAGGAGTCGTAGGTTGAGGTAGTGCCGGGTAGTAGCATAATTACAAGACAACAGGATCATGCAACGCAAAATCGCAAGCATAGGACAGCGCCATCGAGAGACGCAAAGTGCCCTGAGGAGAAATCCCCACGCATTCCTAAGCCTAGTGTCGGGATAAGAAGCAACCGAATCGAGGGAGAACAGTGGTCGCCTTATCGAGAAGTTGGGTAGGGCTTCCCGGCAATGAAAGTGCTTGAGAAATTGAGACACAACCCATGATGTGAGCGTCGACATGCCGCACGACCGCTTCGAGCAGGTGCAGCATGTAAAACGGGCAACGAAACCTTAAAATCGGCACCGTTCTGGGCTGCATCCTGAAGGACCACTCTTTGGACGAAACATCCGACATAAGTTCAAGGACTGTTCCCAGCCCGATGATGCCAACTCGTTTTGACCTGGAAGGCAGAACGATGAAACTTGGTGAAACGACGCGGACGACAGGGGAGACAGGTATGCAAAGAATGCGTGGTACAAGGCCATTACAAGGACCAAAAGAAGAATCCATTGCGAACCATTCCGACCTATATACCAGACACCTGGTGCCCCTGGCTGGCACAAGCTCACGGCATGAAAAACGCGTACACGGGGAAGTCCATGTTATCCAAAACACTCCGCTCCCAGCGACAACCGTTTCCTGAGCTGATGAGATGAGGTATCCGTTTAGGGTTCTGCTTATGGTTTGAAGGTGCCTAAATTACGACAACAAATACTGTCTGGTACCAACACTATCGAAACTAGCCCTCGCCTTTTTATCAGGATCCTGTAACAGGAAGGTCTACAAATTCACGTTGACATGGACCTCAAGGAACCGAAAACCCTGACACCCCCAACCCGAGGTGTCAACAACTCGACGTCCTAAACCGTCAACTCGTCGAAAATCCAACCCGCAAGTCCACAAACCCGAGACGCTTTGCTTTGCAAACACCGATCCGGCGATGCAAGGTCCATGTTCTGGCCACTGAAAACCCCCCAAAAATGGAGTCTTCTCCTTCAATAACCATAGACCCTCTACAAAACCCTACAGTCTTCGCTGAGGGCACCACAACCGCCACCGCGGAGCCCGAAGCGGCCCGAGCTCCACGGAGTGGTAAAGGGATAGACCCTAAACCCAACCATGACGTTACCACACCCAAGACCCTAAACCCCAACCCCCCTAAACCCGAAAGCCTTGAGTAGAACCCTAAACCCTAAATCCCTAAACCCTAAACCCTAAATCCCTAAACCCCTAAACCCAAAATGTCGAGAGTCCCAGGGGGAGTCCGGTGTCTGGGTGGATGGGAGCCAACCGATCGAAGCACGCATCTTGGGAGACCTCGCAGGCTTTTGCTTCAGGGCTTCAGGGTTCAGGGTTTAGGGTTTAACGCCTGTTGTTTCAAGGATTGGGGATTTAGGGCTTAGGGTTTCGGGTCGTTTGTTTGAGGGTTTAGGGCTTTGGGACTTGGGGGTTTGAAAGTTTCAGGGCTTCGGGGTTTAGTGCTTGGGGGCCGTAGGGCTTGAAGATTTAGGGTTTAGGGTCTTGGGGCATTTGGCGGTTCTGGGGAAGTCGCTGAGGTGCTTCAAGGCTTTTGAAGGTTCTGGTAGAGTTTAGCCTGGAGAGGGCCGAGCACTAAAAATACACTACATATATATATATATATATATATATATATATATACGTATGTTTACTTCATCGGAAAGGTGTTGAAGGGGCTCTGAGGGAATTATGGGGGAAGTCATCAGGGTTTGATCAGGTATGAAGAATGTTGGACAAGGATCCTTCCGGATCCTTTCAGGCTTTGCCCGGGCTGTTTTGCGCTCTCATCAAGGTTTCATAGACGAGCTAATTTAATTTAAGGATTCCGTTGAGGATTCCTTCAAGGGTGCCTTCAAGGATTCCTTTATAGGGGCTTTAGTAACGCTGTCGCAAGCCGGTTTGTTGCGGCGCCAGGGTTCTGCATGCTGCATGCTTGTACGAGGGCTCTGTAGAGATCCAGAGCTTGCAGTTGAGAGTTTGGTGGTACGTGGTTATTATTTTGATGAAGAGGTCTTTGGCCTGTAAGGCTGGGGTGCTTCGGGTCTGGGGATTTAGGGTTTACGGCTTCCTAGATCTTTCATGGCCTCAAGACTCTTGCTTCGAGGATTGATGAGTAACACTGTATCACGGTTTAGGGTCTAGGGGCTTAGGGTTTGGGGTTTAGGGTTCAGGGGTTAGGGGTTAGAGGTTTAGGGGTTTAGGGTTTAGGAGGGGTTGCAGCCAAACACCCCCACAAGAACCCAAAAAGCCCTTGCACAACTGTGTCTCGAAGCCCAAATTCCCAGCGCAACCGCAAAACTCTTAAAGTGAGCCTCAACCCCCTGATAAATCCTAAACCCTCCTACTGTAAGGTCCTTACTAATTCGAACGGGGTTTTGGGGCCCATTCTACTTTTCTGATAACAAGGAACCCCCAAGCCTTATGTACGGTACCCTTATGGATCCGAAATAAAACTTATAGACCTCTGAGAAGGAAACCTGGGAAATCCTGTGGTAACCATTAAGCACTGTATTACACGTTTAAACCCCCCAAGGCCTGGATCTTTCCTAGCCCCCAGCTGTCCGGCCGGCCGTTGCGGAATCTCTCCCTCAGCGAGGGCAATTCAAGGGGCTTCGGAATTCAGGGTTTTAGGGTTTAGAGGTTTAGTGTTTAGGGTGGCTTTTTTGAGTGAAGGTTTAGGGTTTGGGGCCTAAGGGTTTAAGGTTTAAGGTTTAGGGTCTAGGTTTTAGGGTGGAAAAGTCTAGGAATTCAGGGCCTTGACGGCAATTTTTGGGCTTGAGGGATGGAAGGCTTGAGGGGCCGGGGTTTGAGTTCACGGAAGTGAGGGAGATGGGATTTAAACCCTAAACCCTAAACCCGACACCCTAAACCCTAAACCCGACACCCTAAACCCCAGAGATCAGAATCCAGGAGCAAGGCATGGAGCTTCCTGGTTTGTGTGGTTGGGGTTCTTGCTTAAGGCCTGGGGGCCTCGACCTTTGAAGCCCAGACGTTGACAAACATCTGGGACCTGGGTTAAAGCCTGAACCCATGATGTTAACCGGTCGCATCGGATGTGACAAGACTAATATAGGGGGCTTAACAATTAGAATAGGTTTTCGGGTATGTTATGCCATAATTATCATCAGGACCCCCCCAAATGGTGAGGGTAATTATTTAGGCCCCTGTTCTAGCCATCGCACTCTTCAGCCTGACCAAAATGAAGACAAAGCCACGTTGCAGCAGGACACGTCCATGTTTCTAGACCCTGCAAAGCCCGAACGCAACAGCTACAAAAACACGTCTGCAGGCCTACAAAAAAAACTACTATGGCCCTAACACCTAAACCCAAAACCGCCCACCTCAACCCTAAACACCCCAAAACCCCCCGGAAAACTCCAAGTCCAAGCATCCTCGGCAGCTGCAGTCGGTCCGCCACCTCGTCCGAAAGCTCCGACGATCCGGCACCGAATCGCTCCACCCAGGTCTCGGCTTCGCCGTAATCACACGGGCATGTATGTATGTACGTATGTATGCATATACATCTGAGTATACATTTTTTGTATGTGTGTGTATATATGTGTATATGCTATACGGTGGACAGATATACGTAAAGGTGTATGTGTATATACACATGCATATGTAAATAGATAGACAGATAGATGCGCATGGTTGTTTAGGGTTTGGGGTTCAGGATTGCGGGTTTAGGATTCGGCTTGGGTTGTGGTATTATACGGGCTTTAGAAGGGGATTTCTGTAATGATTACATGGGGTGATGCTTGGGACATGCATGGGTTCGAGATCAGAAGATTCTACAGGTTGAGCGTAGGGGTTGGGGTTTAATATAGGGGCCTTAATAAGTTCATTAGGGTTTCGGGGCCCATTATTCTATAATTATAGCAAGGAGCCCCAAAACAGTGTAGGTAGTTATAAAAGCTCCTATATTGGAGCTGGAGGGTGTTCAATCTGCCTCACGAAAGCCCGAGGCTCGGGTGAAAAGATGTTTGAGACAGTGCAGCAAATAACGCATCCCTCCGCATGGCGCTGGCGGACCAGTCGAATCCAGTGGCAGCACCAGCCTTGGAGGAAAGATTCGAAGTTCGGGGTTTAGGGTTCATCGGGAGCAACACACATGAGGACAACTAGACTGAAAGTCGCAACAGCATGCCGCAGACTTCGACACAGAGGAGCAAGCCCCGTCGAAATGAAAACCGACCGCAGAATTACATGCGGAAATCCAACGAGAAGAAACAGATTTTCAATGGCAACACAGACCAGGTGTATTATGAGCACGGCAGCAACCCGACGTCATCGGGGTAGCAGCAGCTGTAGCTTTCTAGCAGCAGCAGTAGCAGCAGCAGTGGGAGTAGTAGGAGCAGGAGTGGGGGCAGGAGTAACAGTAGAAATAATAGTAGTAGGAGTAGGAGTACAAGTAGGAGCCGGAGTCGGGGTGGGCGCAGGCGTAGCCGTAGGAGTAGGAGTAGGAGGAAGCGGCGCAGGCGGAGCAGGAGGAGGATGAGGAGCAGTGGTGGTAAGTGCTGTTGATGTTGTTGTTGCCGTGGCAGTAGCTGTAGCCGGCGCAGTAGCACATCACAAGAAGCAGTAGCAGTAGTGGCCGTCTCAGTCGTAGTCGTAGTAGTAGCGGCAATGGCAGAGTGGCAGTCGTAGGGGCAGCTGCTGCTGGTGGTGGTGGTGGCAGCGGTGGTAGTCGTGGCTCCTCGCTCAGCTAAACAACGAGACCTGCAAGAAGAAGCACAGAAAAAAAAAAAAAAAACAGTATCCTGAACCCGAAACCCCCAAAACCCTGAACCCTGAAACGCCAAACCCCGCACCCCACAACTCCTCAAAGGTGTACGGGAAAAACCCGTCTTTAGCGCCCGGTAGCAGGGAAAGCGTTCGCCGACTTTGGGCTCGCGGCGCGAATTCCGGCACTCCACCAGGGCATCCCACTTCCCATCGCGCTCGGCGCACGGCGGTGGCACCGGGACGTTGTCCCTTCGGCGCTGGGGAGACTCTGGCTCATAATTCTTGCATAGACTATATTGCGGGGGGGATTAGGGGTTTAGGGTCTGGGGTTGAATCACCTAGGCTATTCGGAGTTGAAGTGCGGGGCTCAACGCATTGAGTTTCAGAGCCTGTGGCGTTTCCACAGGAGCAGGCAGACTGGGCCTTCAGAGAGACCCTAAACCCTAAACCCTAAACCCTAAACCCTTCACGACTCCCGAAAACTCTGAGGCCCGAAAGCCGCATAGCCCCAAAGCCCTGAAACCTGGAAACCGCTAAACACGGAAATACCCTGAAGAGGCCTTGACCCTGAAAACTTAGAGCCCTAAAACCCAAAAGCCCCAAAACACTAAAGCCCCAAAGCACTAAAGCTTCAAAACCCGCACTTCATAGCACCCCGGTATACACCGAAGGAACCTTGAAAATGATTCTTATAACCTTTTACATGCTGATAGGAATCCCTAAACCCTAAACCCTCATCTAGGCCTTCCACAGTCGTGGCTCGGATGCAGCCACTTGCCGCTGTCGGCCGTATGGCCGAAGACCAACTGCTGATCAAACCAAACCGTTGCTGCGCCTTTGCGTTTACGGGCTACAGGGGTAAGCCCCCTTGCTGTACCTTTAAAGGTATATGTGAGGGTGCTGTCAGGGTTTTATGACTCTAGAAGTGGCTTATGAGAGGGCTATAATAAGACTTAGCCAAGCTCTAGAGCCTGCAGGGGTTCAGGCGCTGAGGGCTTTAGGGCTCCGGGGCTCTAGAGTTCGGTGTTTAGGGAAAGAATCAAAAAGGCAGGCAGATGTGGGCAATTTCGCAGCTGTGAAGACTGGCTTGCAGCTTCGGTTTAGGGTGTAGGCTTCAGGGCTTACAGAAGGCTGAGGGTGCAGGGCACTTCCACCGCAAGCCTTTTCTGCCAGGCGGCGGGCCAGGCCACTCGCTTCATTAGCATCCGTGACTTTTTTCATGACCTCTTCGTATGCCTCACCACCCGGCACCGATGCGACAGCTGTGGGGAAGCTTTTCCGCATGTAGTCGAGGCAATCGTAGCTCGCATAGTACGTGAAAACCAGACCAGTACCCGCCGTCCAGTCACACTCCGCGCGGAAACCTGGCTTCTTGTTCAGGCTTCTGGGCTCTCTTGTCAAGAAACCGCAGAACATACTCCAGTTCTTTAGCCCTAGAACCTGAAGCTCTGCAAAAATCCTACGCAACCTGGAAAAGACTGCAAAGTCCAAGATGCACACAAAACATGAAGCCCTGCAACAAAGAGCCGGAAGAGCAAAAAAACAACGAAGACACTGGCAGCGACTTCATCTAGAGCCCTTCCATGTTAACTCGTTCATGGTTGGGATAGTATTTTGCCCATTAAAACTTTAAAAATGCTACCTAAAACTATGACAAAGCTAAGAACCAAGTCTAAACATGTTTAAAAAAAAGGACTCCGGATCGAACCAAGTCTACACACCATAATCAAAAAAAAAGCCCGAGGAGCCCGGATCTTCCTGCAGCTCCGGCGAGGCGAAGTGCAGGAGCCAGGAGGCTTTCGTCTGGCGCACGGCCTGCAACAGGAGAAAAAAAAGATCGGTCTTGACGGCATACGGTTGAGGGCCTTTGCATATATATATATATGCATATATATGTATATATGTATATATATATATACATATATATACCGGGCAAATGCATGTGTATGCATACACCAACACATACACATCTGTATAAAGAATACGTCTATAACGTTAACCTGCAATAGCAGACTTGAACCCGAAGCTCTAAAGTTTCAAGCTGCTGTTTACGCTATTAGGGAGCCCAACATCTTTTAGTCCTAAAGTGCGGCTTGCAGTGTCCTAGGTTTGGGGTTACCCGAAGCTAAAAAGGACCGAAACCCTAAACCCGTTCAACATAAACGTCAACCCCAACGTTTTAGGGTTTAGGTTTTAGAGTTTAGGGTGGCCTTCGAGGGTATTGGCAAAAAAACCGCCAAAACCCACGAGTGGCTTCCTCAAGACTAAGGGCCCTCGTGGGCATTGAGACATCCGGTTCGCGTGCTCTTGGGCATGGGACGGGAGCCCCGAGCCGAGCCAGGTTAACTCCAATATTCCTTAATTCGGGAATATGCCTTAAATTGTAATAGGGTCCCGAATATCATTTAAGGTGTATTCCTTCGTTCAGGGATACTGGAGTCTCTGGGTTGAGGGCCTGCCTGGAGGTTCACAGGCTTAGGGTGTGAAGCCCCTGAATCTGCTCTAGAGACACGAAGAAGATCTTGTAAGTCGGGTTCCAGCACATACGACCGGGCATCATGTCAGCTGGGGCCAGCAGAGGTAACCTTTTGGACGACGAATCTGACGACCCACTTAGTGGGACAAGATAAAGCATTTTGCGAAGCGGATGAGATACTGTGGACGGCAACCTGGTATATGAGAGTACTTCAACAGGCTGACCCGAAGGAGCTAGAAATATCAAACCTGTTATCAGGTGACTTTCGTATTAGTATGGTGATTGTTGCGGCAAAGCTAGAGACAGTTTATGTCTGCAAGTTTCAACAACTGCGCACAAATAAGGCAAATTACAATGTGTGCCTACTGCTCTGGGATCCAAGGGGGGGTTGGGAAGACACATCAAGCTGCTTGACTAAACTGGAGGAGCTAGACCCTCAACCCGTAACTCTAAAGTCTAAACCCTGAACTCCCGACCTCCAAAAGGAAATCCCGGTCTGCTTTGAGCTCCTCGGACTTGCATGGCTCTCTCTAAGAATGCTTTAGGCAACCCCTGAACCCTACCTTAAGGTGTAGGTTTCACAGGACCCGATGAGGCATTACTCAAGGTCTGTTGGGGGTTCTATCAGGGTTCTACGAGGGGCTTGACTGGGTGATATGTGACTCAACACCGCTTCTTCAAAGGAGTTTCATAGAATTAAGAAGAGGCTCCGGAAGGGTTTGGTGGGGCTTTGAGAGTGCGACACTTCGGTGCTTGGGTTCAGGGCTTGGCAATACAGGGAGTCTGTGAAATTCAATTTTGGGAGGGTCCATGAGGCTAGGTACTTGAACCTTTAAAGCTCGACCCGTATGCTTTACGCTTGGCCTGTGACTTCCTTTCAATGGGGCCAAAACCAAAAAAAAATACGGAAAACACTATTTAAACCTGAAAGGAAACTTCAGAAAAAAAAAAAAAAGAGATAGAGAACACGCCCCAAGTCCTCGGAGGCATACTCCATGGCATGGCCGTGCACCCTCACCGCGGCCAGCACGATCTCCTGGCTCGGGTGCCGGAAACACCCAAACTCAAACCCTGTCAGGTTTAGGGTTTAGGGTTTAGGGTTTAGGGTTTAGGGCAAAAAAAAGAGCCCTGCTGAAACCCAATCAAAACCTCACATCAACCACCCTGAATCCCCAAACCCTACAGCCCTGTTGAAGATTCCCAAACCATGATCTCCCCCAACTAAGAATAGTACTAGTATATAGTAATAATAGTAATAATAGTAATAATAGTAGTAATAGTAATAATAGTAATAATAGTAATGATAATCGTAATTTAGAACCTCTGGACTCCCAACTACATTCCCCTTAAACCCTGTCGCCCTAACCCTACGCCCGAAGTGAGATCCCCACCCCGGCTCAATTCCTAAACCTCAACCCTACAGCCTTTATAGAACCCTTGAGTCCTAAAGGGCTCCTTCAAAAGACCCTTGAACCCCCCTCCCGTCGCAAAAATCCTGTTCCCCGCCTGCACTTGCAAGGGCAAGCAACGGGGCATGATTCCAACCAATGTCAATATTCAAAAAAGCTCGGATCAAACCACGTATTTATTAGTCACATTTCGAGGATTCGCCCAAGATCGGACCAAACATAAAATGGATCCCGCAGAAACAGAAAACTTGTCCATGCAACATCTTCTCTGATCGGCGCAAACATGAACCTCAGCCCCATCCAGGTCATCCCCACAGGTGAAGGTGGGAGTTTCCAAAAATAGGGGACCGTAATATAGTACCCCAAATAATAGGATCGTTATTATAAGGACCCCCAAATAAGGTACCCCTCATTTTCGGAAACTCCCAGGTAGGTTCAGCCCAGCCCAAGCATCTTGGGACCCAAAACCTTTTACAACCTCCATAAACAGACGATAAATATACCCTTTTAAACATAAGAAGGTAATATGTAGAGCCTTATGATTAGAGTGGTAGTCATTCTACACCCAAAACATGAGAAGGTAATATAGGGGCCTCAAAAATCAGAATAATGTAATCATTCTAAACCCTAAACATAAGAAGGTAATATGAGGGCCTTAATAATTAGAATACGGAAATCATTCTAAACCCTTAAACATAAGAAGGTATTATGTAGAGCCTTAATAATTAGAATAAGGTAATCATTCTACACCCTTAAAACATAAGAAGGGGCCCCGGGGGCTCCTGGTTGCCGGGGCATGATAGAGCGAAGCTGAAGGGGCTGCCTTGGACGCCTCTCAGCCATTGCTCACGCTGAGCCTCGGCTGCTTTGAAAGGGAGCTGAGGGCTTTTTAGGGGTGAAGGGTTTAGGGTTTAGGGGTCTAGGGTTTAGGATTTAGGGTTTAGGGTTTAGGAGTTTAGGGTTTAGGGTTTAAGGCTTTAGGGTTTAGGGGTTAGGGGTTTAGGGTTTAGGGTTTATGGTTTAGGGTTAGGGTCTAGGCCTGTAAGTGATCCATCAGCATCATCCGTGGGCTTTGGGCTTAGGCTCCGAGGCTCGAGATGCAAAGCCTAGACCTTACAGCTTTCTTCGAATTCTATGGTTGATGATCTAAATCCTGCATTACCCATAACAAGGAATATACCACAATTCCCATAGTGTAGGGTCCTTAAAGTAGTGCAGGATTTATATCATCAACAGTATGATCATCGGAACCGGTATCACACACAGTATCACTTCCTGCCACATCACCATGACTTCTTTCACCAGGTCTCTTGCTCAGGACCCCTCTATGGCCCTAAACCCCGAACCCATACACCCTCAAAGCCTCAAAACCCTTATACCTAAACCCTAAACCCCTAACCCCCAAAACCTCCAAATCCTAGCCCCCTACCCCTACAGATCCCTTAAAGGAACCCTTAAGGATCCCTTATAGATCCCTTTAAAGGAGCCCTTCCGTTCGGGTCTTTCTCGCCAAGGCGCTGGGCTGACAGGGTCCGCATTCCGCGGAGCGGCCTCGATTTTGCGGTGGGGGGCCCAGCGCGTGTCTTACCCCCCGGGTTTAGGGTTTAGGGGTCTAGGGTTTAGGGTTTAGGGGGTTTAGGGTTTAGGCTAAACTAAGCCCTGTACTCAAGCCCAAACCTTGACCCAAGTTAGGCTTCAAGAGCTTAATTGGAGGCCCAGGGGACTTAGTAAGTAGGTTATAAATAGGGTTATAAGTACCTTAAATGGAGTTACCCCAATTATAACCCTACTTATAACCTACTTACTGAGTCCCCCCATGAGCCTTTAAGTAGGGTTTAGAGCTTTCAGGCTTTTTGGGCTTCGGGTCGGGCTTCTGGGGGCTTCTGGAGGTTTTCCGGGCTTCAACGCCTGAGGCCTTACGGCTTTGAGCTGCACAGCTTAGAGCTGATCAGGGGTTTAGAGGGTCGGAGGCTGCTAAAATTTCGGGCTTAGCGTTTAAGGATGTTGAGTTTCAGGGTTCAGGATCAAGGTTTTAGGCTTTCAGGGCTTAGGTTACAACTCGCAAGCCTCAACCCCACCGCGCCCTCAATCTGGAAAAACTCAATCCGAAACCCCGACGACTGCATCCTACAGCTCCGAACCCTTTTTTCCAAAATCCCAAACCCCTCGAGCTCCAATCTCCGCCCAAACCCAAAACCTATGACAACTCTTTAAGAATCCTGAAATGAAACCTGGCACAAAACCGCTAAAGGCAAGAGTAGCCCATATACTAAGCCTCTTCGTCACTCCTATAGTAACCCTCATGGCATTTATAGTAGACCTTATACTTTCTTCAAACCGTAAAGGTTTAGACCCACCCCAACACCGCTAACACCCTAGACCCCAAAACCCCAAAACCTAAAACCTCTAGAACTTGTTTCCTCTACCCCTAAAGCCTTAATCCTAAGCCCTGAATCCTAAGCCGTGTCCGGCCTTTTCAACTTCTTGGCAGAGGTCGGCCTGGGATGGGCTGATGGTACAAGGGTTACCAAAGAAGAGTCATGCTCGAGCTTGGGGTTTAGGGTCTAGGGTTTGGGGCTTAGGGTTCAGGGTTTAAGGTTTCAAGTTTCAGGTGTTGTTCTGTTTTTTTTGGGGGGGTGGGGTTTAAGTTAGCAAATGTTTGGGTTGTAAGCCTTCTTGGTTTTGGGGCTTCGGCTCTCATGAGCGAGGGACCACGGGTCCAAGCTCGTCGAAGCTCTCGATGGACACGGGCAACTATCTCTCGGCCGTAACGATGTGTAGCTACATAGGAGCTTCAGAAAAGGGGCACCGCGGTGTAACTATGGTAGAATGGGCCCCAAAACCCTATTCTATTCTGATTACTAAGGCCCCACCCATGGGGGAGAGATTACACGCAGAACAGCTGGGCGTCTAGAACAAACCACCCCAGCTTTCCACGGCCCAAGCAATTCCACAGGGGCGTGGGAGGGCAGATGACCGAGTCACTTGAGGGATACCACTGGGCAAGGGGCAGGGGCCGCCGTGGCGCGAACACATATACCCTACAAAAATGGGACCGTATTCGAGGAACACGGAAAGAAGAAGACCCCGTTTTTTGAAACCTCCGCATGAGACGGAGGCTGCTGCAGGTGTAGATAGAGGCGTAAGTAGATAGGGGCCTGCGGATCAGCACATAGCTGTGCGGACAGGTGTATCTGCCTTTCAAAAATAGTGTTTGAACGAAACGTTGCATGTTCATATCAGGTTGCCAGTCACATAAAAGTACCTCACTTCCACTTGATGGCCCACCTATCAACACATTTTGCACGTGCAAATACAGGATGTAAACAAAAAACTTCCCACAGCCTGTCTGTGCGACAATATGCTTGGAGTTTAGCTAGCTACCACTAGTTTAAACATATCTCTACGCACGTCCCCTGTATCTTTTGTAGCACGCGTAAACATTCAGTAAACGATGTGCGGCTGTGCACTGTTGTATAACAACAGGTGGTACACCAAGGGGCTACATTGGTGGATACAGATTGTACATGTATATTTGTGGGTGACTACAGAGATATGCATGCACAACACGATGTAAATCGATACACATGTACATTTGGAAACAAGTAGGTCCCAATATCTTTGCAAATGTACGAGCATATGAGAGTAAGAGTAAACAATATACCTATTCTATATATATATATACATATAAGTCATCACCATCTGTGGGTGTACATACATATATGTACACTTACACATAAACATACATATCTATGTATATGTATATATCCTTATATTTACATGAACATACAATGTTATGTATAGAAGATGTGACTGTACAATGTACGTCGGTCCCTGAGTGTTGCTTTGCATTGCATCTGAGATCTTTAGTTAGTTTCATGCACGCACACATCGCACACGCCTGCCAAAAAAAGTCAGCACAGTGTTAGGGGTCTTGGGAGGTCAGGATTATCAGAAAGGACGCAAATGGGCTCTTAACCAACACCTGCCAGGAAAAGTCAAAACAGTGCAGATGTGCATGTCATGCAAGAGGCTTGCATGCATGCATATGTGCATACATACACGTAGCAGACATATTCACCTGCACAAGCCCGCACTATTCAATGTCGATGCACAGACTTGCAGGCCCATGTGCAGGAACATACGGGTCATGTGCATGTCCACAAGACATACATTGTATACATGCTTTTGGATCTGGAATCTAGACACACAATGCACATGCAAGTACACCCTAGACCAAGCACATCTCTACGGCCTTCAACCCCTCCGCCCCAAACTCGTTCTCTGAGGCCCTGGCTTGAACGAAATAGAAGACGCCGCCGTCCCCTTCGCGCCAGCTACTCTACCCCCATAGCCTACAGCGCTTAAGCCTCGACCTTAAGCTCTGGACCCTAGCAAAATGGACCCGGAGTTTCGAGACTTCGTTGGTTTAGAGCTTAGAGTCCAGAGATTGGAGTCTGTATGCCTTGGAGTTCAAGGCACAGGCTCCCTAAACCCTAAACCCTAAACCCTAAACCCAAAACCCAGGTTGCACCCTGGGCCGCTGGACCCTGCACCTGAAGCCCTTGGCTCAAAGGAGCCACAAGCGGAAAAGAGAGCTCCTACGGTTGATGATATAAATCCTGCATTACCCATAACAAGGAATGTGCCAAAATTCCCATAGGTTAGGCAGCTTAAGTAATGCAGGATTTATATCATCAACCCTATCAGGGTTTGGGGAGCTCGCCGAATTCGAGGTTCTCTGGGTAAGAGCCTACGAGACAGAAGTTCGACAATATTAGTTCGCTCTGAGCAATGTAGACCCTTGATGAATCCAAAGTAAAACCCTGCAACGAGTATTGAAATCCCCCACGATCCCCACACCAAATGCTCCAAACGCCTTTAAAGACTTCAAGCGCTCAAAACTCTAGAAAGCTTTAAACAACAACTATCAGAAACCTTCAGGAACCCTCAAAGGAACCCTTACAGAAACCCGTACAGAAGGAAACCCTCAAAGCAACCCTTGTAGTAACCCTTAGAGACACCATCACCGGATCTCCTTTATAGCCTTACGGAAACCTTGAAGAACTCTCAAAGAACCCTCAAGGTTCGTGTTCCAAACCTTCCACGGACCCTAAATCCTGCTTGAAGGTTCATGGGTACTTAAAAGTGGAGTCATAAGTAGAGTACCAAGTTTGTAACCCACATTGCGGGGCCTGCCCTCTTGTACCTGCTTCTAGCTACCCGTGAACCTCCGAATTGACTGCAAACTACAGGGAACCTGTCATAGGGCCCTAAACCCTACTCCGCTTATGAACCTTTGCACGAACCCAAAAAGTGCAGCAGGATCAGAAAACCTGGAGAGACCCCTACGCCCAAACTCCCAAACCCTCGCAAGGAACCTGAAAAGCTTCAAAAAAGGACCCCAAGTCCACGGTTTAGGGTTTAGGGTTTAGGGCTGAGGGTTTAGGGTTTAGGGGCTCCCCTTATGAACCCAAACCCCTGAACCCAAAACGAAGCAGCCAAGAAGCCTTCCGTCTGCCAGGTCCCACGGAGACCTTTGGCGACGTCCACCAGCCTCTAAGCCGCGAGACAAGGCTCGTTTTTTCCGGGGTTCCTTTAAAGGCGCCTACAAAGGTACTATACTCATGGGACTTAGTAAGTATGGTTTTTGTTAAGGTAACTATACTTATAACCCCAATTAAGGCACTTATAACCATACTTACTAAGTCCCATGATCCTCCAAGTAGGGTTCCACAAACTGAGGTTCCCTTTTAAAGGGTTCCTTTCACGCTTAGAGGGTGGTTCTTGTTGAGGTTCCACTTAAGGCTCCGTTTGGAACGGGTTCCTTTTAGGGGTTCCTTTCAGGGGTCTAGGGTATAGGATTTTCATGCAGTTCGTCAAGGTTTTGAACGGAGGTTCAGAGAGCAAGGTTGGGCTTAGGGGTTTTGGGCTTGGGACATACGTACGTATGTATATATATATATATATATAATGTATACAAATGTATACATAATACATACACATAATATTGTCCTTCTCGGTGCAAACTCAAAAGATCGTCTGGAGGCTTCCCTACTTAGCCGGTATGACTTGTGAACGTTCGCTTCCTTTCGAGAAGTATGATGGGTCGTTGTAAATCCGAATTAGGTCAAAAGGCAGCTATGGCCATCATGAGTATTCTGCACCTATAATTAGGCCTCTACATCCTGATCTCAAAGACTCACACCCTTCAATTTCCCAACAACACAGGAACGTGTAAACCCTCAACCCTTGAAGCACCAAAGCTCTATACTCCGAACTCTGAAGTCCTGACCCTGAGTGCTAAACCTTAAACCCTACCCTTCAAGGAACGCCTATACCCGGACCCTAAGCCCCGTAAACCCTACCCTTTAAGCAACTCTTAAACCCTGAGCCTTCAACCCCAAACCCTGAGCCCTGAGCCCTAGACCTCATTAAAGCAGCCCTCAGACAACCCGGCCTTCCGCTGTACGTCACCTTGGGTCCCCCGCTGCTCCTCGGAGATTAGGGTCTAGCGTGCAGGGCGCTATTATCCTCCCGCGGAACCTGACACCCTTCATTATTTGTACAGGGTTCCTAGAGGTATATGAGGGTCGTGAAGGGTCTTTAAGTTGATACTCTCTTCTATAAGGGGCTTGACAAATAAGATCTTGTGGCAATGTAATGGTAAAGTAAGGGGACTATAAGAGAATCAATTAACCCTCTCGAACGTTTTGAGCTTTGAGTTTATTGGCTTCAGTACTTAAGCAATTTCAGGGGTTCCAAAAGGTACAAATTATGGATTCTAAAGAGGTGCGGAGCTTTCGGATGGATCGGGGACACAGTACGTATGCTTATGTACAAGGCAGCAACAGTTGTCATTACAACCTCAAAGTACCTATGACCGAACCTACTAATAAGAGTCCATGCGCCTTTAAGTAGAGTGTGGAGTGTGGTGTTGCAGGGTGGCATGCCGGCTTTGGCGGGCGCTCTTGGTAATGGCCTGAACCCTCAGCCCAGCTCCCTGGACCCTGAATTCCGCAACTCCCGAAATGCAGCTCCCTAAACCCAAAACCCTGAAAGATGTGACAAGCTGCCGCGCCGCATGCACTGAAAATTGTCAGAATGCAACTTTCAAAGCAAAGCTGCAGCCCGTAATGTGATCTTCAGCAAGAAGGGCCCTGCCGATCCAGCGACGAAGGAGCAAAGCCTGAAACCCGAACCCGAATGCCAAATCGAAGACTGGAAAACTCCCTGACTGAGGAATTCTCGTCGAGTTAATCCGTGAGGGGCTGGGCTACTGAGGCTCTGCGCCTAAACCCTAAACCCCTGAAACACTAAACCCCTATGTTGTCGCAGCCAAGGGCACGTTTTCTCAAGGACAACCACTTGCCTTACCTGGTCCATCTTCCCGCCGATGGTGTAGGGACCTGTGGAGGGCCTTCTTGTTTTCCACTAAAAAGGGACTCCGAAATAGCTCTAGAGTGATTCTACGATTCCGGTGAGTACAAGGGCTCTATGATATGGGGAGCCGCCATGATACTCGGAAGTGGTATTGGACACTACACGGATCCGAAAAAAGCAATCACTAAGTCGTCCGACCTCCAAAGTACGTCGGGGAGGGACCTTCGTGGAAGATCCGGAGCCCTTTTGGCAGGGATCCGAATTCCTAACAGTGTCCCCTAAACCCTAAACCCTAAGCCCTAAGCTCTAAACCCTCGAACTCAAGGATTGAGGAGGAGGAGCCTCCTTCACTCTAAAGGCCCCCCTGAAAAAACGGCCCCTGAGTAATTGGAATAGGGATTTGGGGTCCATTATGTTACAATAAGGAACCCCAAAGTAGTAGTGGTAATTCTTGAAGCCCCTGTAGTAACCCTAAACAAGCGGCACCTTCTCCATCAACGCCCTCTCCATGGGCCAGCCCATCCAAAGTGAATTTCAGAGCGAACTGGCCCATGTCACGTCGCTCTAGCCTGCTTAAAGGATCATGGGACTTAGCAAGTAGGTTATAACTGGGGTTATAAGTCCCCTAAGTGGGGTTATCATAATTATAACCTACTTATAACCTTACTTACTAAGTCCCATGAGCCTTCAAGTGCACCGGGGCAACCTAGGGGTTCCAGGGGCGTGAAGTTCGGGGTGATTTTGGGGGCCTTAGCAGCTAGAGTAGGGTTTTGGGGCCCATGGTTCGATGAGGATAGCAAGGAACCCCCAAAATAGAGAAGTATAGGTAATTATTAAGGCCGCTATAGCAGTCCCAAGCGGGTTCATGTCTACGCCTCCAATACCGCCGAGCCCTTTGCGGAATGCTTCGAAGCCCTCATAGACCTCTCGACAAGCCCCTTGTTGCCAAGACCTGCTAGAATTTACGGCGCGCTCCGAAATAAGGCGAACTCAGGTTTGGGAGATTTCCGGCTTCTGAACGGCCAGTATTGTAAGATTTTGGGCTGCAGGGACTGGAGGCCTAGCGTTCTAGGGTTTAGGGCTTAAGGCTGAGGGTGTAGGGTTGGTCGGCGGCTAAAGGGTTAAGGCCTTTAGGGTAGACTGGGCCATTGAAGAATCACGGCTACAACAGATACCTGCAAAGACAAGCGTCTTTCGGAGCCGGGACACTCAAGAGAACCGGAATGTATATCCGAAAACATCTAAACACGAGCAGTCCAAACAATAAGGACCTAAAACTCGAGAACAAATCCTGACTCCTGCCTTCTCCTAACATCATCAATCCTCCGCCGCTCTAAACAACAAGAGAAGACCTAAGTTGCTAAATCCTAAAGGAAGCCTTTTTGGGAAGTGTGGGAACCCATAAACGGCGCGACGAGCGCTTAAGGAGCCCTTGCAGGGACCCCCTACAGCGAATACGGCTGAGAGCTGACAGCTTCGGGTTTCATGCACAGGGGTTAAAAATTTCAATTCCAGAGCTTTTGGATTTAGAGTTTTGGGTTTCGTGTGGTGTATGGCTCAGGGTTTAAAGTTTTAGGTTGATGGTTGAGGATTTAGGGTCGAGTTTCTTTGCTTCCCGTGAACCCACAGCACAACTTGCAGACAAGATGCGACTGAATATAGTACCCGCTCCAAGCACCACTGAGCGGACTGGCCTCACAGAAACAAGCCACAAGTGGGGCCTAACTGCAGAACCAAACACCAGGCGAGACTGGCTGTAAAGCCCACACCCGACTCGAGGCCTTCGTCGTCGTCTCTTCTGTCCTTGCGAGAAGTCGCGCTGCGAACGTGAGCTACTGTCCAAACTACGAAGAAGGCCACATGGGCAGTCTCCGCCAATAAGGCCCTTGTGCCACAGTCTTGCGCCAAAACTCTGTTGAACCCTACATCTAGCAAATGTGCTGCCTTCATGTCCCAGTTCTACCTTCTGCATCGAGCTTTCCTGCCATGGGCGAACTCCTCCCCACCCTCCAAAAAACTCTCCATGTGACCCTTGCAAAACTGCAAACCCTAAACCCTAAACCCCAAACCCCTAAACCTCTCGACAAAAAAGAGCCCCTGTGCAGGAACCCAGAACTCGAAGGGCCTGGTAGGAAGCGACTTTCTTCTCCAGGACCTGGGATTCAGAGTTTTCAAAGCCTTGAGTTTCGGGTGCACTGTCAGTCTATCACACCATCAGGGCCCCCAAAGTATGCCCGGCTATGCCCTTCATCACTTCATCCTTCTGCGCCCTGTTAATGACCTGGATTCTTCTTCAAAGTGAATTGGGAACCACGTTGCTGACCATCGGACTTTGTGGCTACATGGCTCCAGATGCCGTCCTGTCCGTATACTTCGTATCCATGACAGGACGCCCCAACTATGCAAACTACCAAGCTTACTGCGTACAGGCTTCGTACGCCTACATGAATTTGACCTTGCAGGTTGAGGGAGACATCCGAAAATCCGTGAAACTGAACCCTCCCTCCCAGCGTAGCCCAGAAACAGCCGTGCATCGCTAGGAGCCGGATTGAACCGGAAAACCTGCAAGTCTGTCAGCCGGGAGCCAACTATTCTGGGGTCCTGCACTAAGCTCTGATGGAAGGTAAGTACCGGTAAGTGAACTTTCAGTTGGAACAGACCCAAGCTGGCTCGCGAGTTGTTGGACATGTCGTTAGGAGTCCCAGGGTTTTCTGTTCGCTTCCGAGGACGACACTCACTTCCTCAAACTGGCCTTCGCGAAGTTGTAGTGTTTTGTGCGTGGTTGGAGTACCTTTGCCCCGAGCCTTCCGCCTCGAACGTAGGGCCTTTACAATTAGCATAGGATTTGGGTGCAAGTTGCAGTAGAACTGCATTCTCAAAACCAGAAACCCTAAGAAGCCGTGTTGCTGACTATATGCTGACCATTTACACTCCCATACCAAGTCCGAACCAGAGCCCTGAACTCCTCAAAACCCAAAGCCTCCTAAACCCTAGACCCCTAAACCTTAAACCCCTAAACCCCTAAACCTTAAACCCTAAACCCTAGACCCCTAAATTTAAACCTTAAACCCTAGACCCTAGACCCCTAAACCTTAAACCCCTAAACCCCTAAACCTTAAACCCTAAACCCTAGACCCCTAAATTTAAACCTTAAACCCTAGACCCTAGACCCCTAAACCTTAAACCCCTAAACCCCTAAACCTTAAACCCTAAACCCTAGACCCCTAAATTTAAACCTTAAACCCTAAACCCTAGACCCCTAAACCTTAAACCCCTAAACCCCTAAACCTTAAACCCTAAACCCTAGACCCCTAAATTTAAACCTTAAACCCTAAACCCTAGACCCCTAAACCTTAAACCCCTAAACCTTAAACCCTAAACCCCTAAACCTTAAACCCTCGACCCTCGGCCCGGCCGAAGGTAGACTTTGGCGTCTCCTAGGAGGGATGTGGTTCTGGGCTTACGGTTGAGGGGTCGAGGTGCTCGGGCTTTGGGTGTAGACTTGGGGTTTAGGGCTTAGGGCTTGGAGGTCTAGGGGTGTTGGGTTCAGGGGTCTAGAGGTTTAGGTTTGGGAGTTTTCGGACTTCGGTGTTCAGGGGTGTAGGGCTTCAATTAGCGCTAGCACAAATAGGGGTTGTAGCAGCAGCAGTTAGAGCAACAATAGTAGTTAGTAGTAATACTGGTAGGAAGCACCCCTCCCCTTACCAACCCCAATTGCTGCTCTACACCCTCATAGCAGCACATCGGTACTTTGCTATTGCCCCACGACTCTTCGTAGTCCGGAAACCGGACTGCTGGCATTTTGGCCTGTAGTCTTTGGGGGGCTCTTCGGCTTCAGGCTTCAGAGGCGTTAAAGCCTCGCTACAGTAGCAAGACCCGCTGCAAAATGCACAGCATTCACCACGCTTTCGTACTCTCCTACCACCTTTGGTTTGGCAGTTCCTTCCCTGTCGAGGTGGTAGTAGTAGTAGTAGTAGTAGTAGTAGTAGTAGTAGTAGTAGTAGTAGTATAGTAGTAGTAGTAGTAGTAGCAGTAGTAGTAGTAGTAGTAGTAGTAGTAGTAGTAGTAGTGGTAGTAGTAGTAGTAGGTAGTAGTAGTAGTAGTAGTAGTAGTAGTAGTAGTGGTAGTGGTAGTGGTAGTGGTAGTGGTAGTGGTGTGTAGTGGTAGTGGTAGTGGTAGTGGCAGTGGTAGTGGTAGTGGTAGTGGTAGTGGTAGTGGTAGTGGTAGTAGTAGTGGTAGTAGTAGTAGTAGTAGTAGTAGTAGTAGTAGTAGTAGTAGTAGTAGTAGTAGTAGTAGTAGTAGTAGTAGTAGTAGTAGTAGTAGTAGTGGTAGTAGTAGTAGTGGTAGTGGTAGTGGTAGTGGTAGTGGTAGTGGTAGTGGTAGTCGTAGTAGTCGCGGTAGTAGTAGTCGTAGTAGTAGTCGTAGGAGTAGTAGTAGTAGTAGTAGTAGTAGTAGTAGTAGTAGTAGTAGTAGTAGTAGTAGTAGTAGTATGAGCTATGATGAAAACCAAGCTATTATAATTGCGAATATCCGGACCAAAAAGGCCCGCTGTTACCTCGACACGAGCCGGCTTAGGTGTTTAGCGTTTGGTTGAGAGGCCATGGTATCGCGCCTGAACCCGACAACCTACAACCGAAACCCCGAAAGCCCAAAAAACTCAAAACTTCAATGCTTTCCGACACCCAAATGGGTGGTCGTCAAAATTATGGCCCCCTTTTGGGTCCCTAATATAGTACGGCACCTATTATTTAGGGTACTCAGAAAGGGACCGTACTTGTGACAACCACCCAAATGGATCCCCACAACACAACCAAAAACTCCCAAGACTCCAAAACCCAGGAAGAAAACGCATCGGACAAAACCAAACACCACTTAAACCATCGCAAACCCCTGTAAGACTTCCAAGGCCTTTGCAAAGAATCCTTGAGAACCCAAAGCTAAAAACTCTTAGCCCTGTAGAACCATCAAGAAGCCCTGCATGAAAATAACCAACGCACCAGATAATGACCAAAAACATCCCCTCAAACCCCTGAACCCCGAGCCCTTTCAACAAAAAAACCTGGAACCCAAAACCCGAAACTCCGAAACCCGAAACCCCGAACCCCATATTCTGAACAGGAAAACCGAAACCCCAAAGCGTCGCGGCTGCATCCCAGTGTCTTGGACTTCGACCCGGGGCGGTCCGGCGGTGGCTTTCTCGCCGCGGCCGGAGCATCTGAGACGTGGAAACCAGAAGGAGTTGGGGTTTAGGGTTTCGGCTTGGGGTTTGGGATTTAGGGTTAAGGGTTTAGGGTTTAAGGCTTAGGATTTGGGGGTTTAGGGTTTAGGGTTTCGGTTTGGGGCTTGGGGTTTAGGCTTAGGGTTGTGCTGGGCTGTTGGTATACGTCGCAGTAGTAGTGGTGGTGGTAGCAGCAGTAGTAGTAGTAGTAGTAGTAGTAGTAGTAGTGGTAGTAGTAGTAGTAGCAGCAGTAGTAGTAGTAGTAGTGGTAGGAGTAGGAGTAGTGGTAGGAGTAGGAGTAGCTGAGTAGCTGATGGTCCCAGAGACAGTCAATACTTTTAAATGTGAGGTTTCAGGCCAAGGGATCCCGCATCCCACATCTTGCAACAGAAACTTCACACCCTCCGCCATCACACCCATGAATGCCTGTACTGCTTACGGTTTAGGGTTTAGGGGCTTAGGGTTTAGGGTTTAGGGTTTGGGGTTTGGGGGAGGTGAAGTTGCAGAGAGACACTCCGAAGTCTTTCGGACCCCTACACCCACGTGCCTCGAACCTCAACTGGCACTACTTAGAGGATCATGGGACTTAGTACGTAAGTTATAATTGGGGTTGTAAGTCCCCTAAGTGGGGTTATCCTAATTATAACCTACTTATCACCTTACTTACTAAGTCCCATGAGCCTTCAAGTAGGGCGCGACACTCCTCTCGAAGCCTGCACAGAATGACCCTTCTTGTAGAGACCCAATAGCACCGTAAGCTTCGACCCACATAAAACCCTTAAATCCTCGAAACTCCGAAACGAGGCAGACCCCTCTAAGATCCTTAAACCCACGTTTTGGCGAAATCCTCCGAACAAGCTATGAAATAGGAACCCCTCAAAACATACACTTGAGAAAAGTGGTGCACCCTCTGCCCTAAACCCCTAAACCCCTAAACCCCCAAACCCCTAAACCCCTAAACCACTAAACCCCTAAACCCCTTAACCCCTAAACCCCCAACCAGCACCTGGTCCCCGAGCTCGGCCCCTGCCTTCCTCGGCCCGCGCAAGCGGCGCTTTGAGGTGATCGCTGCTCGGCGACTCCTCCGGGGCAAACACCCCGAAAACCCTACTTGGAGGATCAGGGGGACTTAGTTAGGTTCCTATAAGGGGTCTTTAGAGGGATCTATAGGGTTCCTTAAAGGGATCTATAGGGTTTAGGGATTAGGGCCTACTTGGAGGATCAGGGGAACTTAGTAAGTATGGTTATAAGTGCCTTAATTGGGGTTATAAGTATACTTACCGTAATAATAACCATACTTACTAAGTCCCATGATCCTCCAAGTAGATGTGAGGCTGAAGAGAGCTTGGGGTTCAGAGGGCTGATTGAAATCCTCGGCTCATGGTGACCTCGCCCGTTTTTGATGACGATGATGGTGATGATGATCATCATCATCATCACCATCATCATCATCACGGAAACGGTGGCGATGATGTGGTGTTAGCGACAATGATGTTACTGATGACGACGGGTATGATGGTTATGATGGAAGGACGCCGGCTACGACAAGGATGATGCTGAGAGGGAGCAGGATTGAAGAGCATCGTGTTCTTCATCATCAGCAGCAGCATGCCATCATCGCGAAACAGAAAGATTTACGCTTCAGAGCTTCTGCACCTTGTGAGCTGCGCGGTAGCGCTTCGATGCGGTTGCGAGACGGCTGGCTTGGCCAAAGCTCGCACCCGATCCCATGGCAACATGCTACGGATTAAAGCTGCAAACGCATTCCCGGTTTTGCCTGAGCTCTGCTAGCGACCATAGCTCACCCTGGGAATCGGAGCTTGCCTGCCCCCAGGGCTACATAAGCGATGCCGTGTCTAGGATGTGGAGCTTCGTGGCAAGGCTATAGGCAGATACACTACTCTATTGAAGCCTAGTAAGAGCAACACCGTTGGTAGGAATCCAACATGAAACCAGATCACAAACATAAAGGTAATAATGAGACTTGGAAAGGTCAGCGCTCAGAAGTCCAACCGGGCTTTGTGTTCTCCTGCTATTATTATTACTGTTATTTGTTGTTGTTATTCTTGTATGCTGTGAAGTGAAGCTGCGGGAGAAGAAAGCACCTTGCACTGCTAGGGCGTGCATGCGTATGCTCTTATAGATCTTGCATCTTACATTGTAGGATACAGACATCATAATTTGCGAATATGCCGCGCACCGTATACTAGAAGTTGTGATGCCTAATGCCCTAACCTTTCTTGCTCATCACTCTTCACAATCGCTGAATGCGCAGGGATTGAGGCTTCCAGGACTTGGTGGGCTCAACTATTTCCCATGCTCCTCCAGTGCGAAATATTTTTGAGTTTCTACGGTGCCCGAATACTATCGTTTTGAGACTATCCTTCACTGAAGGTGTACTGGGCTGTCTGACATGGGGTTTTGGGAACTAACCTCGTTTCGGGTTTAGAGTTGCAGACAAGCCACATCCCGAAGTTGTCAAGTTTCAAATCTGCCGCCTGAACCCATCAACCGTGGGCCCTGAAAAACTCCGTAAACGCACAGCCCTTGTCAACCTTGTCAGGCAGCAAACGTCGGACACCGCCACGGATTCACGCTTCGGGCTTTAGCGTTTGGGATTGCAACTCGAACTCACCGGCCAGTATCAAGCTTGGGTATGACCGATATGTGTTAATACTCTGTGGAAGCTGCGAGAACAATTTCGTGCCGAATCCAATGGAACCTGGTACACCACTAAACATGATTACTCGGTCCCTGGTGTGGTCGATTTCCTGCTTCTTCTGCACAGACATGGATTTGGGGTTTCGAGCTTCGCAAGGCTGTTGAGCGGCATCGGATATCACCATCTACTGCTCAGGATTAAGCTTCCGCAGTTCGGGCGGTAGACTTTTGGGAAAACTTGAAACAATTTTTTCGAATTCCAAGCCTTAGAACCTGAATTGGGCTCTGGGACGTCGGGATTCAGAGGTCGGGGTTTCCGATTTTTGCAACTCCGTGAACATGGTCTTCTTGCAGTCTCCTGTTCGCTTCAGTTCATGTATTCCGGATCAATGGGCAACGACGACAAAGCTGCTTGCCATCAACTCGGTCTGATGCATATCACTGCGTAGACCGTGCGCACTCCCTGATAAAACCTAGACCCCGAACCCCCCACCCAAAGCCCATTCACCCTACCAGAAGCTCTGGACCTACGCCAAAGCACGAAACTCGGCTTTGGCTGGTTGTTTCTTAAGGTTTGGGATTTAAGAGTCTGGGGGTTTAGGGCCTTGCAAAACTTTCTTCCGTGTCTAGCGTGTATGGGTACTGAGACGTGTTGAACGTGTTCTGGTTCCCCGAAATCTTTATGCCAACGGTCTTTGTTCAACCTCTATTCTATGCACATGGAGTTGTAGAAAGAAAACGTATGACAGTAAGGTAAAACCCAAAGCCTTATAAACCCCAAGACCACCAAACCCGAAACCCCAAACACTGCAGTGCCTCTGTAGTGACGGCAACACCAAGGCGCCACGAAGCCCAACGTGCACCGTTGCTCTGGGGTTTCAGACTCAACCTGTCGAGTTTTGAGGTTTAGGGTTACGGTTGGGGTTTTGGGGTTCGCTGCCTGCCGATTGAACTCTATGCTGTCATCTGCAAGCTGTTTGCCGCAACTGTGCATGCTGATTCTGTGTCTGGTTGCGCTCACCACGTCCCAAGTTTGATTCTAATGGCATGATCGGCTGAAGTTTCTCCTGTCATTTAGCTGAACCCGGAGCACTAATCCAGGCCTTAACCCCGCAAAAACAAATCTATAAACCAGCTCCACACTTTCGAACGTTAACCGAAACTCTAAATCTTGCTTCGATTCTCTGATGGATTGTGCGCTGCTCGCCATGCTACCAACATTGAATTGAAACCCACAAAAAACTTCAATCAAAACCGTTTTAACGGAGCCCTATTCCAATTACAGGCTACCTTATGTTCCTTTTATGTGTCAACCGGGCGTTCCATATTCCATATATCAAGAAAAGCATACGTATACAAAATCAGGATATGTCACACTTCAATCCAAATGTATACTTCATAACATATAAAAATTCGGCTCGCACTGACGGCTCGCTTTAACTCGAAAGTGGGGCATCGCAGTGCCTTGCCCTGGGCTCGGGCGCAGGGCGCTTGCTCTTTGTTCATTCTCCACAACATGGCAGAAACGAACTTTCTGTCATCAAATTCCTCGCCCTGCGCTGTTGGCAGGCTGCACGGCCGCCCGCTGGTGGAATGCTTGATCTGCTGCTTCAACTTTCTATCATCAATACCGCAATCCCCCAGTCTAAGGCTTCTTGGTGGCTTCAATTGCATCAGAAGATTCCCAACCACCTGGTCTTCGGCTTGAGCAGCGCGTGCACGGATGGCGACGCTGCGCAAAACCGCTCATCCGCCTTCGTGGTGGCCTTGACATAGATGCAGTGGGCGCCTTGCGCCTTCACCGCCTGTGCTAGGTGCTGGCTGGTGAAACGTGCCATGAAGTCTTTGGACCTGACGCACTGGTGAAATGGGGCGTCCGCCACGCGGCGCGCCACCTCCTTGCCAGCTGGGACCTCTTTTGGGCCGAAGCCGCCCTGCGCATCGATGCCGACGAAGCGCAGGATCTGCTGCTCCTGGCACATGGCAACACTGCGCAAAGACAAAGGCGCAAAACAAACCCGTCCTGCTCGCCGATGGCTTCCTGCTGGACCTGCTCGAAGGTCTGGATCTTCAGGTTCTTGGCAACCTCCTGCGAGGCTGGAAAGGCTTCGCAAAGCACACGCACCGCGCTTAACTCCGAGGGCCTCCAGCTTGCCCACATTGCCGCCGGTGAGGTGCAGGAGCTCGGCCTTGTGCTCGACAGCAGCGGCTCCTCCGTGGTGCTTGAGGAACTCCTCGACCTGGTCAGGCAACATGCCAAACAAAGGAACCCGCTCGGCAAAAGGCCCCCGCCTCCTGCTGCTCGCACTCCTGCTCGCTCAGTGATTCCAGAAAGACTCGTTTCTCTCGCGAGTCGGCGTCGAAAGCCAGTGCAGTTGCAGCTGCACTTGCCAAAACCACGACATCAGCTAGCTGCGCGTCGTATGCGAACTTCTTGGCAAACGTGGAGCAGCTTTGAAGAGCATTTTCATCTCTGATCTGCCGTGGGACCTCCACGATAATCAAGGGCAAACGACCTAGAGCCGCGGCCGCCTGCTGCAACGTCTCTGTTGCTTGCGCTGAAGTCTCCACACCTAGCTCACTGCAAAGCATGGCTTCCGCGCGCTGTTCGTTTCTTGTCAAATGCAGATGCAGCACTCCCTGGTCTAGGGACATGCTGTGAAAGGTTTTCCACAGCAGGCGGCTTTTGCCGGCTTGATGGTTGCCCCACAGGACGACGGGGCTGTGGTACTTGGCTTTCAGCATTGACGCCAGCTCAGCCTGGCGCGAGCAACTCATGAACAGCGGAGACAGGACTGCCTACTACAAGCGCGCGCCCCGCCTCAGCAGCTTTGCGGGGAATCTCCACGGCAGGAGGCTCGGCAAAGAAGGCCGACTTGATCAGGCGGTCCACTGCGCGGCGGCGGTCTTCTGCTTCTCGCAAGTACTGACCTGCATGCAGCAGGAGTTGTCCGCCCCCAAAACACGCGGCAGCACCACTTGCAGTGATGCCAACTCCAACAACGATTTTCGTCATCGGGCCGCCGGATTGCACGCGAGCGAACATGGCTCGGATGCGATGCATCCCTACCAAGCTCACGAAACAAACGCTACAAAACAACTTGGACACTCAGTTTTCTGCGCAAAGAAACATGCAAGAACTGTTTGGCACTGCTTGCGAAGCACTCTCTGCCCGGCCCCCGTCACCACCTCTTCGAAAAACTTCAAAAGCTCCACACATGGCCTCGAAAAGCGCCAAGCCTACCCCCTGGCCCAACACGGCAGCCACATTGAAACCGCAGGCCTTGTCGAAGAGGCGCTCGCAGAGCTCAACATGAAACGGCTGCGGAACAAGCAAACAACCGTCAAGCGCAAAGCCCAAAAAGTAGCCATGGTCAATCTTTAGCACAACTAATCAAATCAAAAAAGCGGCTGCCCGGCAATATTTGCAGCGGATACACAAAATCCCAATAATGGAAGAAACAAACAAAAAAACTAGGCTATAAGGTTGCACTTGCACGGCAAACCCACTGCCAAATCCACGGAACTCACGTCAACGAGCTTTGAAAATGAAGGCTGCAACTTGCCGCCCAGGACGCGATGCCCTCCTGGCCGCAACGGGCCGCGCTGGTATCCGGCCACGCCCAGCGCTACTTTCGCACCTAAGGAAGCCGCTCTCGAGCCTTCTTGCGCGCATCGCAACATGGAACATCAGTTCCACTGCTCGCAGAGCTCGGGGTAGCGCCGGTTTCGGAATTCCTGCAGAATCTCCTGAGGGACGTGCATGTTTTGCGTCCTTCATTGCCACTCCTGGCGGTTGTGAAGCTCCTGCAAACACTGCTCTAGGTTCCGAGGAGACCGCCAGGGCACCACAGTTTTTGCACCTTCGCCTCGTCGGAGGCGCGCTCGTTGGCCTCCAGGCTGCGGGTGAGAGCACAGCCTCGGGCCTCGTGACAGCACCACACGCGTCCAGGACAACCGAGCCCTAGGTGATGCACCGTCGTGAACAGGGCCCGGCCCACGGACGACTACCTCACAGTCGCCGGAGGCATGCAGGGCACCTTCTTGAACTCGGTATGTTACACCGCCAGCGCGATTCGCCTTGCCCGTGCCGTAGCCAAAGGCGTCCAAAATCGAGGCCAAAAAACAATCTCTGGTGGTGGGGGGGAAAAAACAACTTAGCGACGACCGAGCGGCTTAAGGCGACGGGCGGGTGGCCGCGAGTCGGCGGCGGGCTGCGACGGCGCAGCGACGACACACGGTGAAGCGACGACGACGACGACGACGCGGCGAGGAGACGACGATGCGGCGACGACGACGACGCGACGGACACGACGACGGAGACGCGGCGATGGCTCAGAACCGCGTTACCCCAAATGTTTACCCAGAGCCGGCGTTGCCCAGAGCCGCGTTACCGAAATGTTGCCACCGAAACGTTGCCACCGAAACGTTGCCACCGAAACGTTGCCACCGAAATTTTGCCACCGAAATGTTGCCACCCAAATATTGCCGCCGAAATGCTGCCTCCTGTCTCCAAAGGTTGCAGCCTCCAGTCTCTGTTTCCACACCTCCAGTTTCACGCCCAGCCTCCACCAGCCTCAGCCTCCAGGCCCTGCAGCTTCCAGCCTCCAAGCGAGGGCACCTTGGGGTGCTAGCGGGCGGATGAACATATCGAGCCGCACGGCGGAGGTGCATCCTGCGCGGGGAATGGCGACGAGGACGGCGACAAGACGTGAGGTGAGGATAGAGGTGAGGAGAGAGATGCGGCGACGCGGGAACAGCGACGATGTGGCGACGACACGGCGCGACGACGCGACGACGCGGCGACCACGTGCGACGACGAGACGGCGCGGCGCGCCTGCACCTTGCGGGGCAGCAATGACGACAGCGGCGACGACGGTGCACCGACGAAGGCCGAGCCGCGAGTGAGCGGGCGGATGAGCGACGACGCGACGACGACGACGCGGCGACGACGGCGCGACGACGACGGTGACGCAGAGCCGCGTTACCCTTAACCCCACCCCCGCAAACGTTGCCCCAAATGTTCCCTCAGAGCCGCGACGGCGCGGGCAGCGGCGACGACGACGCAGGGACGACGACGGTGAGGATAGGGCGAGGATAGAGGTGAGGATAGAGTGGCGACGAAGATGCGGCGACGACGACGGCGCAGCGATGACGACGCGGCGACGACGCAGCGGCGAGGTCACTGGACATGGAGGTTGTGTGGGTCTTTGGTGAAGTGAGTTAGGGTCTCAAGGTGTGCAAGGCTGTGGACACTTGACTTGGGATGGAAGACATGACAGGTGAACTCATACTGGTACTTCGTTGTCGAAAAAGTTGTTTTGCGGGCTGCAATACGACGACGACGTGACGACGACGGCGCGGCGGGGCCCTCGCTGCTGCTGCCAGGTGCCCTCACATGTGCCCTCACTGCGGATGCCCTCGCTGCAGCCTCCACGTGCCCTCATTCCCTGCCGGCCCCAGCTCCCAGCTGCCTGCAAGCCTCACCAGGCCTAGGCCCTCACCTGCGCTCACTCAAGTCCTCACTCTTGCACCGCACCACGGTGCAATGGCCCCAAAAAGCGACCAGGAAGGAGGCAACACTTGGTAACGACGGCGCAAGGGCCGGAGCGGCGACCTGTGGGTAAACCGGCTGACTGCTGACGACGCACACAGCGGGCGCAGCTTCCCCACCCTGCAGCCTGTAGTCTCGAAGCGTCCAGTCTCCAAGTCCAAACCTCCTCCAAGCCCTGGAACATCGCAGTCTTCCAGCCTCAGGCCCGACAGCCTGCGGGCTCCAGTCTCTAAGCGGCACAGTCTGCCTCCAGGCCCAGCCTCGGCTCGATGAGCGGGCAGAGGATTAGAACTTCTGGCTGCCAACCCCCTCCACCTCAGCACACCAGTCTGAGCAGGCAAGGACGAGCCTTTGGACGCAATCGGATCACACTGGTGAATACGAAGCCAATCCAGGCACAGATAGTTGCAGCAGCCAGCTTGATCTCATGGAACTGGTTCGCCAGTGGCGGTCAGATGTCCAAAAAGTCCAGGAGATTATGCTGCTGAAATGGTAGGTTCTGGGGCTTGGAACAGGGGCCAATCTGGCGCTCTTGGCCCAACAACAATTTGCAAGGAGTTGGCCTGTGTCTGCGGTTTGCCTCATCGAGCCGAGCTTGCAGCTGACGAACCCCTCCCTCCGTAGAATGGAGCCTGGCGGCTGCCCCTGGGCTATCCTTTGCACCGGCCCGTGGTCAAATGCGGCCATTTCGCTTTGCCGCGCTGCGCCTTCTTATTGATTGCCCAAACACCTTCTTGGCACGCGTGCTGAAGTGGATACTTGGCCTAGCAGCGCGCAGGAAGGGGAGCGCCTGTGCTCCTCACCGCCCATGCCAGATCTCTTCCGCATGTGCTGCTGCTTTGGGATGAATTGTCCCTGTCGTTCAGCTGGGCTCTTTCTTCACCTCTTCAGACGATTTCCAAGCCTTGATAACCTCTGCTAGCAGGCCAGGGGTAAATGAATTCTAGCGGAGCGGGGTCTCAGGAACGCCTGTGTTCTATGCACATGTCGCCAGGACTCCCGCGGCTTGCGCGTTCCCCGGTTGGTTCGCTTGCCTATATCTCACGCAGCTTTGGGCTCGGGATACAAGGGGAGCGGGTCTTTGCTGGAGGCAATTGCTTCCGGGCAAATAGTCACTACGGCCATGATCACCCGAGCAGCAGCCACCAGTCCACCGGCTGCTGTTGTTGTTGAGTGGCCGGCTGAACTGCTCTGCCATGTGTTCTGCCCCTTTGCCCAGCCTCCATGGCCTCCAGTTTCAGGCCCAGCCTTCCAAGTGTCAGGGACAGCCTACAAGCTTCCGGTCTCCAGTAAGCCCCCAGGTCCAGACTCCAGCAATGCAGAGGCCCTCCACGCAGCCAGCCTCCAGTCCAAGTCTTCAAGTCCTGGGTGTCTAGGCCCAGACACGCTCCCAGCAGGATATGAGGATAGCGGGTGAGGTGAGGGTGCGATGATGATGCGGCGACGACGTGGGCGACGACGACGCGGCTCGGGAGCGAGGCGAGGATGGAGGTAGCGGGTGAGGATAGCGGGTGAGGGGTGAGGATAGAGAGCGACGGCGCGGCAACGACGACGCGGCAATGGATACTGCAGGCCGTGCGCGGGTAGGGCGACACTGCGCGGCGACGAGGCGGCGACGACGACGCGGCGACGGCGACGCGGCGACAGTGACGGCGACGGCGACGCGAGAGACGGGCGGCAAGGCGCAGCGACGACATCCACAGCCAGCAGCCAGCAGGCCCAGCCTGCAAGCCTGACGGCCCCACCCTTCACCCAGCCCCAGACCCTCCAGCCCTCACCAGCCTCCAATCCCACCCCCTCTTCACTGCCAGCCCTACACCAGCTGCAGGCCCTGCAAGGCCCTCGCTGCCAACCCGCCATGCCTCGCTGCCACTCGTTGCCCTCAGTCTTCAATCCGACTCCACCAGCCCCCTTAGAAAACGACGCGACGACGCGACCACGATGCGGCGACGCAGCGACGCACCGACGCAGCGACGACGACGAGGCGACACGACGACGACGGGGCGCTGCTGGCCGAAGGACGGCGGCATCGCCAGCACCCTCAATGCCACAAGACCCTTCAACGCCAGCTCCACGATCGCGGCCACGGGCCTGATCTCCGACAGCGTGGAGCTCACGACGGAGCTGCGGAGCAACGACTCCCTGACGATCACGGGCGGCACCCAGGGCATCTACGTGAATGCGGTCTACATGGCGGCCTGGTGGCGGATCCCGGACCACGAGCAGCTATGAGCACGCGGGGCGTGCAGGAGCAGTGCGAAACGATGCAGGTGACGGGCAGCCAGCCTCGGCCAGGCTGGGCGGCGCGGACCTGGAGGTGGCCTCCAGCGGGGCTGCACCCTGGCGAGCAACAACCAGAGCATCAGCTTCACGGCAGCTTCAGCTCCGCGATCATCTTCCCCCAGACCAACCCGTCGCTGCCCGGCTGGACGGTGGCGACCTACGGGTTCCCGAGCGGCGGGACCTCGCCTCGGCGCGGGCCGCGGCGGCGATGCGGAGCGACGTGGCACGGCAGGTGCTCGCGCCCACGCAGAGTTTGGGCAAGAGCGCAGCGGAGGGGCCGAACGACCGGCTGCAAGCGGACCTCATCGATTTCAGCCAGAACGCGCCGGGAGGCGGCCTGGTGGTCACGGATGTGTTCACGCGGGACACGAAGGCCCTACCTGACAAGCGGGCCGAGACGGTGACCCGAGCGCCGGCGGAGATCATCCCCGACCTTAAACGAGGGCAACTACGTCGTCGGATCAGGGCAACGAGTTCCGGGACCTGGAGGCGGCGCTGCCTGGCGGCGGGGTGCACCGACAAAAGGACCCGGCGGATCGGAATGCTACGGCGGTGGTGGACCGGGCGATTCAAATGCTCAAGAAGGATTTGGCGGGCAAGGGCCCGGGAGGGCGGCGGCTGGGGGGAGCACGTGGACGAGGCGGTGGAAGCCACCGATGCCGGCCGCGAGCTTTCGGGTCTACCAGGATAACGCGGCCAAGTTCAAGCACAACGACGAGCTGACGAGGAGCCGTCAGCGGCGGTTGGAGGAGGCGGGGGCGTTCTTCCAGCCCCAGTACGGCCTGGACTCCAAAACCGAGCTCGTGGAGCGGGGTCCAAGACTCCAAGACCTACAACAAGGAAAGGATGGAAAGAATATAAGAAGGGGCTTGCATTTCCAGCTTTTCCATCCTTTCCATGTGTTGTGCTTTTATGCACCCTGATCTCGAACCCGCTTTTGACGTCCAGGAGCTCCATTTTCCATGCTTTCCACACTTTCCATGTTGTTCGGAGTTCACTTTTTGAACCCTGCCCTTCGAGCGTTTTGGTGTCCAGGAGCTCCATTTTTCCAAGCTTTCCATGTTGGCTTTTTGGACCCCCCAACACCGTGGAAATGCCGGAAGCGACCTGCTAGTGGCCAATCGACGCATTAACGAGGCCGCGACTCCTTTGCCCGTGCCAGGCAATCGCTGCACAGTCGCTGCGGCCCCCCAGACCCTCACAGTGTGCAATCCTGAGGAGGGGTAGCGGTCTGGAGGACGACGACACCGACCGAGGGTTAATGGGGGGGAGGGGGCACGCGGCACGACGACGGACGTTGGTGGGGGATTTACCGGTAGAAGGCACAGTGGCTGCAGCATGCTGGGGCCCAGGCTCACAGTCCCCCCAAACCCTGCCTCCAAACCCTCACAGTCGCTGCAGCCGCCAAATGCCTCTTACATGCTGCAGGCCCCGTCTGCAGCCTCCAAGCCCGCACAGTCGTTGTACGCCTTCACAGTCGTTGCAGGCTCCAGACTCACAGTCACAGCATGCCTCTCACATGCTGCGGTAGAGACGGACGCTGAGCATGAGGAACGAGAACGACCACGATGCGGTTGATGCCGCAGCGACACGGGCTCACGAGGCAGTCTCAGTCGCTGCAATTCTCGCAGTGTTCATGGTTGATGTACGGCACAGTTGCTGAAGAGCCTCACTGCTCTACTTCTGACCCAAGAGGATGGGTTGGCATGGAAAACGACGCGACGGTGGGTTCACTGACCGGTTCACGGGAAGCGACAACACGCATGCACGACGACAAGGTGGTAGGTTTACGGAACTGCAATCCAGATGCCCTCCAGTCTCTCACAGTAGCTGCGTTGCAGTTCCTCGCTGCAGCTTTCGCAGCGCTTGCAGTCTGCAATCCTCCAGAACCCTACAGTTCTTAAAATCTCTATGTGTCTTTGACAGACCCTCATAATGGGTTTTTCACTTCTAATCCAAAAGAATGGAACGTTACAACGAAAACAAACCGGGCGCAGGTGAACCTGTGGGCTCACCGGCTTCACCGGGGCAGGAGGCGACGAACACGCGCACAACGACGACGTGTTCGCAGCGGTGGTAAGAAGGAATGTCACCACACTTACAGTCGCTGCAGCCTCCCAGCTAGACCCGTCTCGCTCTCAGTCGCTGCAGCTTCCAGACTCCAGACTCTCACGGTGTCTGCCAAGTCGCACAACCACCGTCCCCAGATCTGCAGTCCAAGCAGTCGCTGCAGCTCCGACTAGACCGTCACACTGGCGTAGGCTGCCTTTTTTGGTTGCTTCTGATCGAAGAGGATGGGTTGGAGCCGTGAGGATAGAGACAGAAAGGGACGGCGACGACGCAGCAAGGACTGCGAATGAGGATCGAGAGTGGTAAGAACCGGTGAGGACACGGGTAAGAACAGAAGCGGAGGAGCAACGACAAGCGACAATCGAGCGACGCGGGTGGTGAGAACCGTAGGACACGGATGAGGGAAGCGGGAGACGACAAGCGACCAACGAGCGACGACGAGACGAGCACAGGCGGGTGAGAACCGCGAGTGGTAAGACCGCAGAAGGAGAGAACTACGCGGGTGGTGAGGACCGTGTGAGAATGCCGATACGGATGGATATGGGTGAGAATAGAAGCGGAGGAGCTGCGACAACGAGCGAAGAGAACGACAGGCGCTGGTGGTGTAAGCCGGGCAGTAAGAATAGCAGTGAGGACGCAACGACGATCGGCGCTGGTGGTGCAGCCGGGTGGTGAGAATAAGAGTGAGAATACCGGTGAGGAAAAAGGCGGGGTTGGACGATGACGACGCAACGACGACCGACGCTGGTGGTGTAAGCTGGGCGGTAAGAATTGGAGTGCGAATACAGAGGGGGGCCACTCAAGCGAAGCCAAAATTGCTTAGATTGTTCGACCCCAGATTTGGAGCCGCGCGTGCTGCAGTTGGTCCGCACCCAAAGTGGACGTCCGCGGCACTGGCCGAACAGGCGTTCCAGACACAGCAGCTAGAACACTTCCACCTTTGAGCTGCAGGCGGACTGATGGGACAAACAGGATCTGGTCCAAAAAGGTCAAAGTTTTTCGGCCTAGTAGGGCCCTGTTTTGCGGAAAAAACACCGGTAATGTGTACACTGATATATAGGTGGCGATACGCACCAGAGCGTCTTCCGAGAGGGCTGCCATGGCTCCTCCCTACCTGTGCTACGGCAGATGGCTGTGTGGCGAGAGGCATGCACAGGTACGTTCTGGGAGAACTCTCAACTCCTACCTTGCACGGGTGAGGCCGTGGCGCTTCACAGCTCTTCCGGAGTCCGCTACCATGTGAAACAGAACGTGTGGCACTTGATCTTTTTTCTGGAGCCAAAAGCATTCGAAGCAAAACGAAACGAGACAAAACGAGTGCGGTCACTAACCTG